CTTAAGTTTATCAAAATGATAATTAGAAAAATGATTTAAAAAAAATACAGTTATTCAAAATGTATAAATATATAATCAATTTTTAAATTAGGCCAAACAATATGATAAATGTAAAAAAAATGATAATGATTTATTATATTATATTGTGACCATCATATCAATTAAAATATATAATAATAATATCAGAAAACAATCATACATTTTTGGAAATGAAAAAACTAGGTTTATGCAATATAACGTACACAAGATGTTGTATAGGGTTGAGAGTTTGCAGTCGTCTGACAAATCTATATTTTGAATGCTTTATTGATAAGCAGACACATGGAAAGCTGAAAATTAGTAGATGTCCGGGAAATCGATAATAAAAATACAGTATCAACTGATCCATTGAAAGCGATGAATATACAGACATTCGGAATTCTGAAACATTCAATATTGATTCAATAGACAATTTAGAATACTTAGACATTTAACAAATACAGCAAATTCAGATATTTGAAGTACTCTATCGATAGATCCATGAATAGTTCTGGATGGACAAACATTCGACAATGTGATGATATCTAATTACTCAATTTGTGAATATGCAATTTGTCCGACAGATTTTTTAATGTATTCCTCAATCGATAAAGTCATCCCTTTTTCTGTCTTCAAAAATCAGATGTTTCTTGTGTTTTCTGAAAAGAGAAAATAATAAAATCTCTGATTTTGATTTTTTACACCTAGTATATTTAGATATAATTTTTATTGCGTTTTATTTTGACCATTTTTACAAGAATTTAAGTATAACACCTCCTTAATGCCACCAAAATGTTTTTTTTTATTTCGCAATAGCTGTTTAATTTTCTGTGTCATCTTACAGTTTCCAAAAGTTACTCGACGGCAAAAAACCTGAAAAACCGTTCGCCTGTGTTGCGTTTCTAGCAATTTTGTATGGAAATTAAATTTTTTATTACTCGTTTTTACATTTTGCTACTTTAAAGCCAATAGTTTTATCTTCAAATCTATTATCTTCAGGTAATAAGCATCTGGCATGTTGTTAAACATTAAAACATATGCACGTTTAAAACCCATGTTTTTCTTACCTAAAGAAGTACATTTTTATTCATTTCTGAGTTATAATGTGCCTATAATTCATAAGTCATTTGCAGGCCGTTTGTTTGTTGTTGTTGTTGTTTTTTTGTAAAAGATAAATGCCTTATCCTGCTGAATTATTATTATGGATTTACCCTGCTTCAAAGTTTACCGGAGTTTATTAATTAATTGAAGATTTATTATGCTCAAATTTGATTTGTGAAAAAAAAAATGGTTATTACTATACAGTCTCTTTTGAAATGTAAGATACACATATTTTGAATACACACAGAGAAAAGATGTAGAAATTTAAACTCAATACACTACCGGATAATCACAGTACACTTACATAAGGTCGTTTTAAAAGCATAATTCATACATTCATTTATTCAATTTAGACATATTCAGGAAGAATTTACAAGAACCTTTTTCTTGAACTTCTGCAATATAAGTATTTTTACCCCAAGATGAGCATAGTATGTCTAAAATAAAAACAGAAGTACCAACAACATTGTGCCTGGCCTGATTACACAGATGTTAAGGGTGGCTTGGCTCTAAAATGGTGGCAAATGCTTGTAAGTATGGTTAAAAATATTAATAAAATGAACTGAAATGTACAATTAATCAAATAATTTTCTTAAAATGTATTTTATCAATTATGAAAAGTACTTTTAAGTATATTTTTGTGAAGCATTGTTAAAATATAATTGTTCTTTAATTAATAAAAAATGAAGTTATTACATTTCTCTTTCCTTCAGATACTCCGAAACTCTGCGACGACTGAAGCCACTTGTGTTTCTGTTTGGAAAATGCATCTTTTATCTGAAATTGAAAACAGTCGCGACATGATATATTGATGCTTATTTCTTAAACAAAGAGAGTAATCTATAGAAGAGAATCTATTAAGCAAAATGTGTTGATTGCGATATCCAAATCACATTCACAAACTCTTTGGTTCTGGACAAACTTTTTAAAATTGTAATTGTATTCTTAATCTTACTCATACCCGTCTTAAACACTATATGTAAGTTTCTTTCTGTTACCAGAAAAAAATAGAATTGGCTTTTAAAACTATTTCGCTCCAAATGCGATCGGGTCGTTAGTGAAAATTTTGAAATTCATCGAGAGCAATGGAAATATATACAAAGAGGATGATGTCAAAGGAATATAGACTTGATTATCCAGAAAAATAGAAAACTATCGATAAAACAGGGAAATAATTTTATCTGCTAAAATAAGAAAATCTGTTAACGGACATAAATATGAAAAACAAGATCATCACGTAAGAACGGAGTTCAAGGTACGCAACCCCCATTTCACGATTCAGCATCACAGGACTACTGGCAAGGAGCCCAGCAGAACAACAAATAGAAACAGGACAGGGCACAAGGCGCAACGCTCGGAAAAAAAGCCATTTTCCTGAAATCTATAATTGATTTCAACAGTTTTAATGGTTATAGAGGTACTGTGAAATTCATTGATTCTTACGTTTTCAAAATTAATAATAACCATACTATATAGATTAACTAAGACTAATAAATTTATCATGATGACACTTTTGGCAAATGAAAAAAGTTACCTTTTTGTCCATCACGCAGTGAAATATGAAGATCAGCAATCCCTGTAAATTATATTAATTCTCATCAATACAAAAAAGTACTTGAATAATGAAAATATTGATAATCAAAACAATTGTGTCATTGGTACATTATTAAAAACAACACACCAAGATTAAGGAGTATATACTGTTCCGAAAGTAGTCCAAATGTTATTTTGTACACAGTTACCAAACTTAGTTTCTGTACCAGTTTAACCAAATTATATGACACCATTGTCTGGTCCGTTATAATTTAAGGTATACCAATCCTTTCAATGAACAAATGCTTTGCTGTGTTGTTTTCTACTTAAAAATACACAACTAACGCGGCTTTATATGGTGAGAAGGCTCAGCCACCAATTGTAAAACAATGGATACAAATTGCCTAATTTGGGTTCTAAATGGTAATACGCTAGAGTCTAGTGTTAACAAACGAATTGCAGTATGAGCATGGCAAAAAATGTAGTTCCTCATGTAAGAACTGGTTTATTATTGTTAAAGGAAAGTTTCTGACTTTTTATCTAGAAATGTTTGTTTTCATGTGTTTAAATGTACGCCTAGGAAAGGTTTTGTAAAGACTTTTGTTAAACGAATTAATGAATTTATCGATGTTAACAAGGTAAACAAGTATGTCATGTTCGGATGGAAAGAAGAACTTACAGTGCCTTTAAATTAGTTTATTTCATGAAGCTTGTTGTCATATGATAAAACTACCAAAATAGAAGAGACAGAGATACATAATTATGTAGTGTTATTCATGAGAATATGATGTATAAAGTAGGGCTATCATGGCTAAAAAAATTGAATATTTTAGAGATAATTCTTAACTTTAAGTTTTGTTTATAAGTAAGCAATTGATTAGAACATGTGCCAGAACCTTCTTCAAACTTTTAAATAGAAGAGAACAAAACTATTTGTATAAATAACTAATGATTTTTACTCCACTTTTAACGTAACAAATTTGTGAATGTCTCAAATGCCTTATGGTTGTTAATAATATATGTATAGTGTAACAGTATTTGGTAATTCTAATACAGAAAATGACTATACTTATAATCTTATGTTTTATGTATTTTAAACCACGGAAATGTGAAAATTAAAGGGACATTAATCTGCAGTACATATCTGCAATACATATACACATTAAGTTGCTGTAATATAGACTGTGGATTTATTCCCCTTAAAAGCCTTTTAAAGGTCTCTTATACTCTATATCATGTCTTGTTTTTGTTTGTTTGTTTTTTGTTTAATGTTAATATATACATGTATTACAGAATTATTATTAATATTTATAGATATATTCGATCACACATTTCTAATAAAACATTATTAATAGCTACTGTAACGTAGAGTGGAAATAATTATCATAGTAAAAAGTTTGTTTATTTGGAGCTTATACATTTCTTGAGTTCTGTATTTTGTTATGTCTTTTGGATGCGCTAGGCTAATGTATCTATAGGGGTTCGCCGTGTGTGATCCGCGTTTTGTAAATGCAAGAGATACCTATATAAAAACCAGATCAAAGAGAGTCTTACAATAATTTATCTTTTTAAACTACAATTTTAATTGTAACCATGTGCCTTAAAGGAACTAAGGTCCAAAAGCCTAAAACATAAAATTTATTTTTCACAACTATCAGCTGGGTCAAAACGAAATATATGCAAGCGATTATTAAGAACTATACTCAGGAATGAAATGAAAACCTATGTTTGTGTTATTCATTACCCGTTTAGGGTAAAAAGGAATGCATTTGAATGTTTGGTAATTTTTCACAATAAGAATAAATTTTATTGAAAAGCGGTGTTAATCAATGATCTCAAATTGTGTTGCAGTTTTGATGAAATTAGTACCATAAATAAATTGGTGGATACCTGGAAACTGTTGAGAAAAGCGAATAAGTACTGGAAAGCAATTGTGTCACTATTCAAAGACAATGCTCCAAACCCCCAGGTCAGACCCATCAGCGGCATGAGCACTAATATGCAACGTAATGCTGCTCTGAAATTGATATTGTTTTATATAAAGATCAGTAATCACATTTTAAAGTACAAGATTTTCTTAAAGCACGTATGGGATGCGATTCTGTTTTTCTTTGCGGATCCGCTGGAATAGGAAATGATAACATAAGAAGACAGTTCTTTCCAATCCAAGAATTAAACAAAATGTTAATAGTAAAAATAATTCCTATTAAACTGATTTATAATATTCAATGTATTACTTGAATTCGTTAAAGTCAACTGTCTATTCATAAGTAAATCTTCGTGTGCATGAATTATTAATATCATGCTTTCATTGAAGTCTTTGTTAATTGCTTCTAAAACACACATGAACTATTCTATTGGCAAAACTGTAAAACTGAAAGATTATATTTACATTGAAATCACAAAAGATTTACTTGTGAATGTCAAACGGTATTTCATATTGTCTACACAAAGCTTTACAAATTTAGATTAACATTACACAAATAAAAGTCGAAATAATATGTACTGTTTACTTTATTTATTGTTTATTTTGTTATCATTTGATATATAAAATTTGTGGAATACTGATTACGTAGACAGTTTTCTAAAAAGTTTGATAAGCTTCCTACTCAATCCTGAAAATATGTATGTTCTTAAGTATTATGTAAATGTAAAGATTACAAATAAATATTGTTTAAAATATTCCAAAAATATGAAAAAATAAAAGTACATGTTAAAAGGCATTTTAAGAAAATAAGTTGCGCTTAAAGGAACTCAAATGAGGTTTAAAACACAAAAACAAAGATAATTAAAAAAAACAACCAGAAATTAATTTAAAATCATATTTTTGTACTATTTTTTACCCGATTTGAGTGAAAAGCATTGCAACACCTTTCAATTTTTGATGACTTTTTACAATTAAAATAATTGGTTTGGGAATGATCTGAAACTTTGCACACAAATTATTAGTCTAGACCTACATCAAATGGAACATTAAACTCTAAAACTTTTTTTCAGTCCCGTCACATGAATTTCGATAGAGTCACATTAAAGTTACAAAAGGTATTGAAATTCAAAAAAAACAACAATGAAACAACTGTCATACTTTGCCCGCCCTTTGCTTGATTTCTTTGACATTGCTGTAGTGCCGCACATGGTCCGAATCACTAAGACAACAATTATAAGATTAACCTGAAATTTGAATTGTTGAAAACAGCAACATGTTACAATATTACATCAATTAATTAACTTTTTTTCATCATTTTCATCAATTATCATTAAATAAGTTTTCAGTTGTTCAAATTTTCAAATTATTTAATAAACAAAACTGAAAAAGCATATTTCTCTTTGCTACTGACTTTGAGGTTCTTCAATCGTGATTTTCTTTTATTTATAGTCGCAACGACAACTCGCACCAGGAGCCAATACGTTTTTGTCCTAGAGCATTTAATGGATCATCTTTAACGTACTTAGTTGCACGGATCCTAGGTTTTATGAATTCCCACACGAATTATTTGTAAAAACAATCTTGAAGATTGAGTAGCGGGGAGTCGATTTCGCGACTTTAGATTTACCGCTAGATTGCTTCCCCGCTTTAAAAGCAGTAAAATGACTAGATGGACTGTCAATAAGACCTCTCTTGTGATAAGGTATTTTATTACACTTATTTAAGGCTGTTCTTGATATGGTATATACCTTTTCTGATATTGATAACTTTCACATGGTCATTAGATTTTTGTTCACAAAATCAAAGCATCTAACTAAAGAATGAAGAAAATTTCGTGCAAAGGCGATATCCATATCTTCCCTTTCTAAACTTAATAAAACACTTTAATTGTCACAATGATGTCATACTTGTGGAAAGCATCTCTATTACTTCTACTTTATGATTCTTATGATATCACAACTATAACGACATAAAGGTTTGTTGGTTAATTTTATATTGCCCTTAGAACCTTGAAACTAACAAAGCCATATCTTGCATATGCTTGTCACCCAGGCTCTTTATCTATTCCGTTCATGGCTCAATAAAGATTTTTATTAACGTATTAAAACCCTGTCAAATAACAATTTACAATATTTTATATAAAGCAGTGTACATCATTAGAAATTTAGCAGGATCGATATTAGGTTCTAGCTATTTAGCTAAAAAGATTTTAGAAAAATTATTTTTACCCAATAATAATTGTTGTTCTAATTCATCCATGCCGAACGGCGATAATTATATAAAGTAGTAACACATGGCCGTATCCTCTTAATTTATAAAAGAGCATAGTAACATTCGATATGAAAAAAATATATTCATACGACATGCATGAATATAAAAAATATTAATGTCATTATCACTTGATGAAACTAAAACTCAAGCAAGTGCAGCATTATAAAGATGATTAAAATTCATGGCTGTCCAATAAAAAACGTTTAAAATGTTCACAAATATAAGTTTTAATAATAAGGCACGCCAAAACAAAAAAGAGCGGGTGTTTTATTTTCAACAATTGTCTGAAGGCTGAACTGGTTAACAGGTAAACAATTCAGTCATACACACCAGTGCAATTACAAGAACCGGAACGAGAAAAGCCCATATCAATCCAGTATCAGTCGATAACCAGCATCTGGAATATATACATTAATATCTTTTACATGGAAATATTGTTAATTTTAAGCTTTATAAAAGTATGTACAGTTATAAGATGAATCAGCTAATTTCTGGTCCATATAAAATAAGTTCAGTTAATTAGCAGAAATACAGGAACTACAATGTATGTTATACTCGTATAATGGGTTTATTCTGATTGTTGCATTCAGAATTAAGTCAGTCTTGATAATATTTTTTATTTATAGTTTTTTTATAATTAATAAAAGTATATTTTGGCTATATTTAAGAATGCACCGTTAAAAGTTTGCGCTTGTGCATTGGCATATAAATGTCAAATAACTTCAGTGCCGCATATTGATTTTATTGGTATGTGGCAATTATAAATAATCGTTCAACTGCGTGGTTTTATGATATACCAAGTTTCATAATATGAGCAATAAGACTTTTTCAAGTTTGTACGGTAAACATTTGATTTTGAATGTTTTTGCATAATAAATTAACGCACCCTCGTGCTTCTGCAGAGGTGAATGCATGAAAAATACATGTACATTTACTCGCTGTTCACAAATATAACAGAAAGGAAACTAGGAAAAAAACACAAATTCACTGTTGAAAAAATGTTTCATAAAATAAAAGACACGTACGCTTGTTCGGTTCCATATCCATGCAGTTGTGATACACCCATAGATACCACAACTATTATAACGGCGATGACTTGAAAAGAATAGATTAAGTATTTAATTACATACATAAACATGGTAATCACATGACTTCCCTTGTTTTCTATATCCATTATGTATTCATGTATATTACTTACGTTTCATAATATAAGGAAATATATATGTATATAGTAAACTAAATGAAAAATATTGTCAGATTAGATAAAAATTAAAGCATCTCTGGTATATAAAGTATCTTGATAAAGTATATAAGTTGTTATAAAGGCTGCAAGTGTCGGTAACATCTAACGTGCATTGATATCAATCTTAATACATCAGAAAATGAAACCGTCGTGGAATTTATCAGAAATATCCTTGTCGATACCATACTCTGCAATTACGATATTGAGTTTACAGAAATGACCGGTGCATTATACAAAGCAAATAATTGAATAATGCCGAGGATAGTGCAAAGATCCTGCGTTCAACGGTTATATAATACTGTAAAAAGGGATATAAATTAGTAGCATTTACTCAAATACATATATACCATAAGACGCTATCATTAGTGGTATCCCAGGTTTTCTAGTACTTAGTGGCTTGAGAACCGTATACGAAAGGTTACATCCCTCTGTTAGCATTCCGAAGAACACTATAAGGAACACAAGGTGGAGAAGTATCGCCATAGCTGTGCAAACGTCCTGCAAATTAATTACAATATACCAATTAAAAAAAGCCTCGCAATAAAGAACAGGACATTTTTACAGCAGATTCAGCAAATGAATAATCCACCAAACATTTAAGAAATAAAAGAAAACCGGTTTCTTTTATCTGAAACACCAACTTATTTTACATGCATACATAATAATACGTATTATGGTATAGAATATACTTAATATAATTACATTTAACTACATGTGCTTACATTTATGAGATAATTATTGTACATGTAGCTCATTGCTGGAATGGCTGGTCATTTCATGATTTTATCTTTTGACATAATAACTTTCTAAATATAGCATAAACAATATAATCAGGAAATTAACATGTAGCGAAAATGTGTAAAATGTGTTATCTCTTTATTATACACATTAAAACATTACCACGTACAGCAGAATGGTGGAAATAACTAGTACGGCGTAGATAAGTGCATAATTTAATTACAATATTGCTGAAAACATTTACAATAAAGTAAAAGGAAAACAATTAGAGCACTAAGAAATTGACATTATGTCGATATTAAAGATACACTATAATTGCTGAAAATAACTTTTAGAAAACAGTATAATTAAACATCAGAGCACTAAATATGACAAAAAGTTTATTTATAATATACCTCTACCGCGTAGTCTTTTATATAAATGTACTGTTACATAGTCTTTGTTTTATTTTCGTAATGTTCAAATATGTCATTACCTTGTTTTCTGTTCTGTTTATCCCAGCAAGAAACAGGATATAGGCAACAATCAACCAACAGGATAAGTTCATATGAATGATTGACCGCACTGATTTAATGAACCTGAAAAAAAAATCATATTTATTTATTTCACAAATTATCCTTCAAAACGGTGTAGAATTAATGTTATGCCTTCGTCAAAACCGTCATATTTCGCTATATTTCGTGATTGCCACAGAAGTGACGAATAAGATGAAAAGGGGATTTCTTCAGGAACATAATATTTATTTTAAAGCCTTATTTTGCAACAGAAGTGATTTTTATTTGATTTCTAAGAGCCTTTCAGTTTTATTTTTCTGTCTTGTTATCGCTACTCACAGAAGGGTACTTACATAACCCATTTTTGCCCTTTCTGTTGCTTCTTTGGTAAGGACAATTATAGTGATTTAGTATTTTCGCTACTTTTATGACAAGTATTTTCACAGTCAAGGCTAATTCTTCAGAAAGTTAGCATCTTTTTTTCTCTAAAACCAGTATTTCTATATTTTTAAGAGATATGGGTCCGATTTGATTTGTTTTGTTTTGTTTGAGTCATGTTTTCTTTCTTTTTTGTGCAATATAAAGAAGAGCTTCAAACCTCCAGAAAAATGCATGTATGGCTACACTCAAAACTAGACATATTATTGAAACGATACATCCTATCATGGAAATGATTGAAAGTGCCTTTCTATGATCTTCGTCAATCTGAAAGAATAAAAGACATACATAAAATACTGAATGATAAAGGGGAATGTTTTGTAAAAACAATGTTTTAGATACACGTTGTTTATGCGCAACCTCACTTTAAATGTGTCTTTAATTTAATTGATTTTTTTTATATTTGAATCAAAAGGCCTGTCCTAAATGTAGCCGATTCGACCTTACTTAATACCAAATTTGCATCAAGACATAAAAGTAGGTTAAGAAGCAGAACTTTTCCTATTTCCTTATTAAACTGGTATAAAAATGTTGGTAATTAATAATTAATTTTCTTCATAGAATTTTACGCTCTTACCAAATACGAATGAATGACAAGCCAATCATACGTTTATTGGCACTTAAAGCATTATTCTTATACTATAAACTATGCATCGGCAATACATACATTAAAATTCAAACGATACAAGATCAGCAGATACGACATTCTAGATCAATTAAAGGAGTTAGAGGCATGTGTGCATATTAAGTAAGAAAGGCGGGTACTTTGCATGTTCCGACCTGGCTATATTAGTAGGAACACATAGTTGCTTTAGAGATAATTTAATTGTTATTTTTTTTCGTTAGCAACTGTTGTGGCAAGAATTGACGAAATTACGACTGATTTATTTTTTCATCCGCCATTGTTTGTAAGATTTCTCCCTTCCTAAAAGCTTAAAGTGAAATTCCATTGATGAAATTGCAGAATTTATAGCGGTGAAATGTGTAGAATTCTAAATACTAACCGGTGTGGAGGATGGACTCATCAGTACAGCGAAATTAGTAAGATGGTCACAAACGCACACAACAACTTCTTTGTCCTTGTCATATTTTTTCAGTCGACATCCCTCATCAGACCAGTAACCATGTGTCGTTTCGCTTCATAATAAAAATACAATTATTAATATATTGCATTTGTTCGATCGGTTTTCATTGGACAAATTATTATGACGATAATATAACTTAAATACAGAATACAGAGAAATAAATTGTGCACCAATATATATACTTGACACGTGATTTGATAAATAGAGGATATTCAAGTTTTTCTATAAATACAGGTTTTATTTTTTATCGAGTGGTATGCAAATTACTAGTTCGTGAATGGCGCTAGCTATTAGAATATGATAATGTTCAAACGACAAGATGAACATAAATCCTGTATTTAAAGAAAGAAAAACTTGATTTTTCTGTATATTATTTACATTTTTGCTCTGAGTGATTGTCACATAACACCGTTTCATTCAGGGTTAGACTTGACGAATTTTCAGAACTTTTCTTAATCAACCGTATTACCTTTATAACATATATTTTTCTTATCAATTAACATAATTATTCTATTTACAAAAAACATCATACCAATAACCAAGTCATACATTTATCTCAGCTTATTTATTGAATGTAATTTTTAATAGTGCAACATTTATAAAGAACTTAATATGTTACAAAATAACGGTTTTGATTCTTGACATTAAAATGATACTTTACCTTTTTGACTCCTTCCAAAAAGAGCATCTCGCATTATCCAACGAATTCTGAATTTAAGAAACAATTAAATTTTAAGAAAAGTTATACACTTCTCACATCTACTATATCTCTCGCACTTAATGTTTTTTGTATCAAATACCAACAAAAAAAAATTACGAAAGTATTACATTAATTGCGCATAAGCATATCTTTTAAAGAATTTGAACGGTTGCTTTAGTAGCAAAGTTTAGGTCATTAACATCTTATCACTTGACTTTGATTATATCATGTCAAGAAGATATTCTGCTATATATTGAACGGACAAAAGTTTCTAAAGATACCGGCTTATCCCTTTTATAATGCGCGAAGTTGCTCCTGTGGTCATTCACCAGTCTATTCCATTTATAAACCAGTAATAAACCAAACTATTCAAATTAAACAATGTAATGCGGTTGTTAAGCACGTTTCGTTGATTTGCATTAGGCTTTTTACCAGAACCCTAATTGATACTTGATCAGATGCATGTGGTCTTCAGTCATGCGTAAGAACTTTAATATGTTAATGTCCGACACAAGCATCGAAACGACTAATTCAATCATATCAAAATAAAAGTCAATTAACAAAACACAGTCCCGTGAAATGGCCATACATACAGTTTCATAAACATAGTCCATGTAATTAATAAAAAAATGCATGCAAATATTTTTTTTGTGCAAAAATGTCACTTACATTAAACAGCTGAAATGTAATTTCCACTGGGCCTACATCATCTCGCTTAATGTTGGGATAGAATGTAAATGATATGACTGGTGCATTTATTTGAAGCCCTTCGTACCTGTTGAGAAACGAATAGGAAAATGCAAAAATATATGTCGTAAGATAATATTTAGAATAGATATACATGCAATGAGCCCAGCACAATGTTATAAAGCAAGCATCTGAAAGTTATATTCCGTCTTTTTCTTAACCCTTATCCTACTGAAACTGAGCATTTGGCGCCAGTTTTCACTTCAGTCAGACCACGCTTTCTGGTGTTGGCTGATCAACTTCATCTTAATGTCTCAATAATTGAGAACAGATAGTTTCAAAACCTGAAAGCTGGACAAATTAACCATTTGATTTTATATATTAAATTTTAAGAGATGAGTGTATATATATTAACTTAAAGCAATCATACGCGCAAGGAAAACATATTTTTAAAAACACACTATCTGTAGTGATTTTGTTCATGAAAGCTATTTATTTTAAACCATTTGAAGTCAAGAATGTGAAGAGATAAAAACATAAATAGTGTGCGCATATTATTTTTATGTCATTTAAAAGTATTTTGTACGGCATGAATTAGACAAGAATTAAGCTTGACGAGAAATTTCAAAATCGTTTTTGAGTCGAATGTGAGTTACAAACAAGACATTATGACGAAAATGTTGAATAAATCTACTAAGACAAATAAAATTAAAGAGAATTATACTCACATAGTGCTGTTTGTAAACGATGGTATAATCATTGAAAGATTTCTGTACATAATTCCACTAAAGGATTCAACATTGTCTGCAAAAAAAACAACATGAGAGTATGATATTTTCAAAAATTAAAAAGAAAAATGAAAAATTATAGAAAATACTTTTAAAATGATTAAATATAGCGATTTAAAAACTTACCTTTTATCAGGAAGTTTATTCTATGTGTTGACAGCAAACGTTACACAGGTAACCGGTCACGTTGCTTCACCAGAAGTTTAATTATTATCGTTCGAATAGCATTTGATAAAGCTTCTTGTTGCCCATACTCTATAAGTCGGTAAAGAGTGGAGCATAACAATTTATACGATCTTTATATTCACATATTCCTTGAGTAGCATATTTCAATGTGTCAAGGAATTCTATAAGAGTTGTGAAATTGGAGAACTTATTAAAAAAATAATATTTGAATCGTTATTGTTTGCAACCATATAAGACATGTAATCAATCTTAGCCACCTTTACAGTCAATCAAAAGTTTATCTTTCCTTGGTCCAGCCCACTCTGGGACATCTTCTTTTTCACGTTCAGGGAAATTCAGAGCTTCGTTACAGGATTGTACTGATCCCATTTTTAAATCTGCAATATAATAAGTAATTATTATAAGAGTCATTATCAGATTAATGTATACTTTTATGTAAAAATGAAATGAATTTTCATAATCTATGCAATTTAATTTTATAATCGGTCTTAGCGATTGATATTTCATTAATTTGATAAGTTGTCAAAATACAGAAAGTTCTATATATCGGCAATTAGTAAAATATATTGTTACAACCGTTACGATACTTCTTAGAGCAGTTACTTTGAAAATGAGTTATCTCTAATTCTGAAAAAGCGTACATAAATTTGACTTTGATATTTCTGCAGTGAAATTTTTGGAAGTTGTTAATATCTTCTCAACAAAACTATCTGCTGTCTTCAGAACAGCGTCTGCCCCTGAGCCTGTCTGAATAAAACAAATTATGATTAGAACAATGTATTTACCTGTAAAATGTTTTGATAAAACATACTAAAACCAGACCAATGTCTGTCACAGAACCTGTCTAACAACATTAATTATAATCAGAACGTGGTCTATTCTATCCTACAATCTGCTAAAAAAATACCAAAGTAAGAACAATGTATAACATGGAATATGTTATATCAAAAATACCATGATGAGAACAATATATTCAACGTAAGGTGTTTATAAATGCATTACATATCATGATCATAACAATTTTTATTATATGATCTAAAAATAGCTGCAATCTCATTGGTCCAAACTGTAGTCAACAGAACTTTTTATAAAATCATATTCACTGGGTGTAGTATCATATTAACTGGCTGAATTGGATTTTCCAAGTCTAAAAATAGATTGAGACTCATATTCAATGACCATACACCGTAGACTGTTAATTACGTGTGTTAATTAAAAAATAATTGTTGCGTTTTGTTCTTTGTGGGATATTTCTCGATTGAAATACCATTACTTTACTGTTATACTTAAAGGCTAAACCGCATTGATGAGTATAAACTTGAATTACTTTTGTATGCGCAGCGTTCGCGTAGTCGTTGCACGCCTAACACGTGCGTCTTTTTTCCCGCGCTTCAACGAGGCAAAATTTGTACATGTATATAAGGATGTACTTTTTCGTGATTTTTTTTAATTCTTAGCCTATTCATATAATAAAACAATTATTGACTAGTGAGCCATTGAATATGATGTGATATTCACCGGCAGAGAGTCATATTGACCTCGGCTATCGCCTCGGTCAATATGTCATCTGCCGGTGAATATCACATCATATTCAATGGATCACTAGTCAATAATTGTATAATGTTACACACCATGTAACAATAAGATATCACTTTATTAGAAGAATGCGGGCCCCGGAATCGGTCAAGATTCAAAACATATTATCCAAACAACGTTTGCAAGGAGATATATCACTACTTCAAGAAATACAAGAACAAGTTGTGCAAGATATTTAAAAGCGTAATTAAGCCAGAAGTAATATTTTGTTGATAAATGAAAGTATCTGCTTTTGTTAAATATAGGTTAAAAGGTAAGGCTCATATATTATGGTTTCGCACGGCAAAGAATAACATACTGAGTCTCGAAAAAAACTTGGTCGACACCAAAATTATATAAGTCATTATAACGTTTTTGTTACTAGTAGTTTAAAAGCTTATTTTTCATAAATTGCTGTCGAAACACTTCCTTAATCCAAATTGAATAAAGTCGTGATGACCAAATTATGTTATAAACCTACGGTCACTATGTCTGGATAGTTGTACGGAGGCTGCTTTAAGATATAAGACACGAACACACCTCATCCTAACTAAAGCTTACACGACTCAAAAATCATATTTAAATGGAACAAAGAACACATAATTATATTGTATTTGAAAGAAGATCGAAAATTATCAGAAAATAATTCTAATGCAGTATTATTTATAATAATAATTACAAAATCAGCAATTAGTTGTTTAAGTGGTAAGCGAAAACAAGGATGTTTAAAATGCCAAATGTTGTTGTGCAGTTTGCTACCCAAAGCAAATAAAGCAAAATTATTATATAACGCAGCCTGTAAAGAAATATCCTTCTATCATCAAAGACTATTTAAAGAAATAAAGCATATCTATCGTATGTTTAAAACTTTTTATACATTTGTTTAATATTGTAATAAATCAACACTATTCAAGTAACTATATGAAATGTCTGAGCGCTAGAACTAATGACACATATTTTACGAACTGGCCATCTTTCATTTACTGCTATTTCGTTTGGTTTAAACATATTTATTTCAGCTCGATTGCGAAACAAGTTCTTGCAACTTATATTAATCACTTTCGAGTCCGCTTCCTGGAACCAACCAGTACTGGTGTCATATGAAGAAACATGGTCGTGACCCGATTAGGGCCCGAACCCATGATCTCTGGATTGAGAGGCAGACACCTTAACCACTAGGCCACCGCTCCCCTTGCTATTTCGTTTCATACTCATATTTACAATCAACAAATCATGGGATTAGAAATGCCTTATTTCAATGACGGATAACTTAATTTCGTTATTTTAGGACAGTAAGTTGTCACTAATATTAAGTGTAAAGTAGGATAAACCCGTTGTATAAATTTGGTGCGGGAAACAATCAAAATTCTAAATTAATTACTTCTGCCCATTGTTTTCTGGTTAAGGACACACACATCTTTTTAATTAGGGACCATCCGCCGCTTTTCATGGAATGTGCCTAACGTGTCACATTGAAGGTTCCATGATAAAGGTCGTATGAACATATCTGCCGATAATTCAAATTTGAATTCTGATCAAACCGGTGCTGGGGGGCTTGGACGGTAACTTACAGTTTTCAGTTGCATGAACATGCTCAATCAAATCGAGTCTTTTCAATTTTGATGATTTGGGCGTTCTTTGGGGATTACGTTTTTCTCTTTTGCATGAGAATTACCTGATTTATGTTCACCTTCCAAGTTTGTGTTGTACTTTCATCCAAAATATTGTTGATTGTTTGTAAATATGCCTACAAAGAAACATGACATTAGTTTTTGCAATACAAAAGCGTTTACTAGCATTTAATTTTAATGCTTGCATAGTTTTATGTCTATATGACATTTAAAGTATATTGTAATCTAAAACATACACTACCGGTATTTCAGTATTTCCAATTACATTGTTGATAAATACACCAGAAAGGGTAGAAATACAGTTCCTGGAGTATTATCGGTTAAAACACTATAAACAAACTTCTTGGGAATTGTACTTAGTGATAGCAAACCACGTTGTATATCCAGTATTGACGGAATGTGATTTTGCATATTACGAAGCTTTCAGGGACGGATTGGCTGTATATATTTTCTACGTAATAAGACTAAAACATATTCTGTATGAAATGAGTTAAAGTTTCCCCACAAAAATATTTGATAATTGCTCTTACTTGCCGATAAATACGTTAAACCTGTGCAATAATTCAGAACCATATATACAAATAACATTTTCCGGCGAAACCGTGAAACACTATTCGCATACGTCGGCATTACCTCATAAAAACGGCTAGAATCAGCTACTTTTTTTAATTTTCCTATGTCACCAGATGTTTAATAAATGTCATTTGCTAACCAAAAATCGAAATTATATCGTATTATATACATTGTTGTACTAATAGAAATCGACCAAAGACCAAAATGACACTAAAAACGAAGGTCAAGACACCATTTTCACGCATTATTTTGAAAAGAAAGCGTGGAAATAATCTTGATGAGGGATAAACTACAATGTATTTGAAGCCGTATGGGCTATTCTCTTTTTTTCAGTATATTTTGCCCAGTTTATGTACCGTGGTGTGAAATTCTGCTAGGTATCCGCCATTTATTTAATAATTTCTGCGTTACGTTTTGAATGAATCGTCCGTTATTTTCACATTCCGGCGTTACTGAATATATACAGTGCAAACGGCATAATTGAATTATATTAGTAACAGAGCTCCGGATATTTTAACATTTGCATCAATTAACCCTCGGACAAGTATCTTAACTAGACAAGAGCGATCAGTGATCACATGTGTCGCCTCATGATGGCCAATTTCATGTTGGGACAAGTTTTGTGACAGACGGACAGACAGACGGACAATGAAAAACTATACTTGGAACTGATCATTCCTATAAAGTTTGGATAAGATTGCACCAGAAGTTTATGAGGAGTAGTCCGGACAAACTTTTGTGCATCTGGCAACACACAAAAAAACACCTTTTTATCTAAGGGCCATAACTCGGCCAAAAATCATTCAACCGGAAAACCCGTGCAATATGCGCAAGGACTTGAGCTACAGATCAATCCTGTAAAGTTTCATTGAAATTGCATAAGTGGAATAAGAGAAGTAGTCCGGACAAACTTTAAAAATAAAAATTATTAAAGGGCCATAACTCTAACAAAAATCATTGAACCGGAAAATGCTGACAATATGAACAACTAGACTTAGTACTGATCATTCCTGTAAAGTTTGGATGAAATTGCACCAGTAGTTTATGAGGAGTAGTCCGGACAAGTTTTGTGACGGATGGACAGACGGACGGACAGACAGACGACGGAGAAGTGATCTCTATATGTAGCCACTACTCCGTAGAGGCGACACAAAAATGAAAGCGTTTAATTATATCAGGCTAGCAGTGAAATACTGAAGCTGCCAAACAACATTTTACTATTAACATCTTGTTGTAATTCTGGCGTAGCGGGCTTATAAAATATGGAATGGCATGTCAGATATTAAATTAGTCATTCACCATATTGATACTATTTAATTTCCAGGGTATTTTAGAACAATTTTAAATGATTAAATTATCTTACATTTGTTATATTTTCAAGGTTTGTTGTGTTAACTGTAACCACATCAACTATCTTTGCTAGTGTATTAATTGCAGTGTCAATATCTCCGATAAAAAGCGTACTATTCTCGTCAGTGGCGGTTGTCGCATTTGATAGGTCATCCAATACTTCAACTATATCTACTTTGCCAGTCTTTGTGTCCTCAATCAACTGTAATATAAAAATATATTGTTTACATCTTCAATAATTGCAAAAGCAATTATTAAGGTGTAAAGAATAGTTTCAATTTTACATTACATAGCAAAGCGTTTAACTTAGTAAACCATTTTAGAATTCTGAATTTCAAGCCAACAAATATTAAGTGTATACATTACCTTATATTGGTGCATTTTTGCATTAAAATGTGCAAATATTTACAGTTTATTGATAAATACTGTACGTTTGCATTGTCATTTTTTAAAATATAATCGTGACGTTTTTTTGTTTTTTGTTGTTTTTTTTTAAATCCAACTTATTGACATTTCAAATTTTCTGTTGTTTGCAGAATTTATCGTGAATTTATTTGAACCGGTATGGTTAAAGTTTTTAGATTCTTTTAAGTAAGGAAACTTTCAAGTTAGCGTGTATAATGCTCTTCTAGCGCATGATAATGCCTAATTTGATGCACTGAGGTACATCTGAGATGTGGCTATCTGGGGCTACTAAATAAAGCTAATAGTGTCGGTTTGACTAACCAAAGTCTCTTCTTTCATTACCTTTTTATAAATGTTATCAATGGAAGATTTCGTACAGTTGTACACGGGGTCCTGATAAACTCCACTTTTGGAACAGTACCGTGATACTTGACCTGGAGAAAATTGAAAATTTTGGTAATGTATGTAATATATAATATATTTTTCTTGACATGTACTAAGTGAAAGTTGTATTTGTTTTTAGTGTACTTTGCTTGGAAAGATTAAACGTGCCGCGGAAAGAAATCGAAAACGTTCTTTTTCAATGTTGCACCTTTGTATCGTATATACATCTATGAATTTTCAAGAAACAAGCATTACGTTATAAAAGCAATGTCATACTTGATCACATCCTGTAGGCAATATGGTCTGTCTTAAAACATGTGAAGTAAAACCGACTATTTTTAGTTGCGTTATTGCGAACAATAGCAACCGACAATTGAACGTATGACCACGTAATACCATTCCATTTGTATTATGTATAACTTTGAAAGGTGACGTAATAATAAACTTAATTTGATACAAACTTCACATGTGTTTAAAAACCCCATCAAGAATACCATTAAAACACTAAAAGCTGACTCGGCAGTGCAAGGTGTGGACCGGGTCTAAAGTTCAGGTGTAGTTTAGTTTATAACATTTCATTTCTAATTATATAAGTGCATAACAATTGAATTACCGTCTATCAATTTTATTGGAAGATTATTATAGTCAAACTGCATTATCTTCAAAAATTCTTACATTCTAAAAACTGTTATGGTTGATTTTTTTATTTTTTTTATTGCGATTTCAAAATTTAAAGTTAAGAAGCATAACAGAAAATAATACCAATATAACCAGCCGGGCATTTATGCCAAGTGGTCTGTCCTGGGATCCCTGTATCCCATTGTATATTGTTGTAATCTGTATCGCTTAAACACCGTGTAACTGAAATGAGAGTAAGAAGAAACTTTGTTGTATTATGACATACAAACATTTTTGTTTACAATCATGATCGGTTTCTTAAAATATGTTGTATGTTGTTATCATCTCTTATTGGGCACTATCAATGTCCCGCCCTGTATGTACTTTACTACTTTTAAGTCGATGTCCTACTACATGTAGGTGACTTTGCGAGTGTCCTGTTTTTATTTTAATGTTTTTGTTTGTTTATCAAAAGATGTAATTACTACTATCTCATTACTGAAATACATTACTTGAACACATTGCTCAAATACATTATTTATTATATACACAATTTATCAAATATGTTGCTTAAACCCTTTACCTGAATATGTAACCTAAATTCAAACATTTTTCGGTCAAATGCATTAACTGGTCAACTCATTTCCAAATACAATACAATACAAAAATAAGAATCCCTCAAGAAAGTCTAACATGGCAAAATTGAAAACGTTGCAGGCTCGATTTGATTCAGCCTGTTCATGGACGGTACTGTCAAGTGCTAACTACCGTCCACGCCCGCTAGCACCGGTTTAAGCAGAATTCAACATTTAAAATGAACTGGTACAATTTGGAATTTTGAAACCTGTTCCAAACCACCAAGAAATATTTCTGAATGTTATAGATTTTCAGCTGGAATACTTACATTCAATAAGTAAAGCAAAAGTGGTATTTAATGTTGGAAATGCTTTGTCAGACGCCCTAACTGATAGAGTGCAATTCGTGATGTCGTTCGGAACTTCATCTTGCAGTTGTACCATTCTATTATAAGTAATATTAAACACTGAAAGAAAATAATATCATTGATATTATATTGAATTGATACGTATTTATACTTTTCAATCTAAAATGTTAATTTGTGATTGTAATTGCAATTACAATGAAATTATTTACATTTCATGGCCATATGTTTTAAAACTATACTATAGCTTGCAATTAACACTTAAATAACCTACTGATGTATAAAGTTTATAGATATGGAACAAACAGAATGCAGGAACAAGTTTAAAGATATTACTAATATAATCCTTTTCACAAAAAAGTGTATGTGGTAAAAAAATACATGATTATCTGTCGAATCTTAGTCACAACGATACTTTTGATATTTCTTTCTTGACGACTTCTTAAAATGAGTTGAGGAATTTAACCATCTTGATTCAAAAACACATGGATTCAATCAAGAAACACTTGCATCCACCTAATATAAGCTAACTGGAAAAAAAAACTCTGTTATACATAACTATGAAAAACGTGAAGGAATAGTCTGATTATATACAAATGAAATACAAATTAAAATCTATGATAGGATAGGATCACGAAACTATGTGATCAATCATTACACTTTGACTGATATTAAAGCTATTTCAAGGGAAAACAAGGACATTAATACTTATGTTAGTTATGATGAAATACAAACGCAGTTCACAAATAAAAAGACTTACAGTTACAGCTGTCTGAAATCAAAGAATATGCTACTTCTTGGAAGAAATCGACAGCGCTGATATAGTTTCGAGCACGGCAAAATCTGTCTAAACTGGTAACGATTGCATCCTTTTTTGTCCTATGAGTTTCGTTTTTTAACGTGTGATGATTGCAAACAGGAATTATATCACCGATATCTATAATTGTGATGCCGAATATTGAATGATAACTTAATCCTCCGCCGTCTTTTACCTAGAAATATATAGTCATATTTTGATAAGGATTGACAAATCAGAGTGATGCTCTCGTTATATAAAGGTAAAAGATCTGCACGGATAACTTGTTCCTTTCATTAAGAGCAGATAACAAAGTGAACACAAACATTTACGCCATCCAAATGACTTTGAAACAAATGCAGGTACAAGATATGATTTCTCTTATTATTTCGAAGTACATGTTCCATACAAGAGAGTATTAAAGCAAACACCGTCAACATGAGAAATTTATAGACAGTTAATTATAATAATAAAGGTTTGAAATAAATAAAAACCAAGCAAAAATTCTTTGATAATGTGTTATTAACTTTTCTCAAATAAAATTTCATTTATGAATTCACAAAAATAATTTTTGTATTATGCCCTAGAAATTCGTGAAATAGAGAAAACAACTCTCACCTTGACATCAAAAGTGAAGGTTGGTCCACGTGCTCTTTCAATGTAATCATTTACTCTGAAAATGGTGCCTCATTTTAAATGTATGCAAATGATAATTTTGTAAAATAAAGACAATCATAATGAAAAAGCTAGTATTAATTATAAGTTCAATAGCAAAATTTATTAATTAATCAATGTATTCATTTATCCGCTTTGTCATTTGTTCTTCAATGATAAATAAGCTTTTTTGATTATATATAATTATTTAGTGACCAATTTAGAACGTTATCAAGAAACGTCATAGAATATCAGCCACCAGAATAAGTTTATAAGTTTGCCAATCCGGAATGTTAACCCTTTTTAATATAGTTTCAATACAAAATTAAATCCAACAGTAATTTGAATGAAAATAGACGAAAATTGGCCGTTTATATAAAGATGCTTAATTTTACTGCGCACACAGGTTAACATTCGCATAGCAAATCACGCGAGAACCACTTTTTAATATGCGTGACTAAGGAAACTATGTATGTTTACATTTATCTAAATATAATTAATCAACCGAACCAAAAAGCAGCAATACAAATATTTTATAAGAGTTCATATACCGTCAATAAAACAAAACTTCCATACATCAAGAGCACTTTTCATGAGATGGAAAAGTCATGTAACAGCTTATCTAGGACAATAAAATATGAGTTTGTTCCCTCATCTAATGACAATATAAAACCTGAAAATGTTCTTAGGTCAGCCGGGCAAAAAAATCCTGTTCACGAATTCCTGTACAAGACATTTTGTGAAAATAAATAAATTAACATGTAATTCATTTGACCAAACAAAAATAAAAATCATAAAAATACTGTTCAAGATTTCTTGGTTAAGATATTTGTTGCCATTCAATGCTTTTAATACTATGCCGTCAATTGCCATGAAAGTGTTTCCCAAAAAATGCCCATTTTGTGATAATTTATTTATTTATTTAAAAAATCAATTTATTTCTATTTATCTATTTTTGTATTAAAATTTAATATATTTTTTGGGGGCGGGAGTATTTTACTATCAAAATATTTATTCTCAGTCTGGGAAATCGAACTGAGTGAGCATATAGTCTGATATTATGCACAAAAGTTACTTGTCCAGACCTTTACATAACACATTGGCCGTCATATTAAAAGGTTAATAGTGGAGTCCCTTTAAGTAATAAAAGATATATTATAGTGATTTTGCACAAAATGAAATTTGATGCTAAAGTGTATTATTATCACCAAAAATATTAAATAGGCGTTAGATTCTATCTTTACCTGTCCAAGTTTCGATCCGCATCTAGTACTGAAGCTGTCCTAATTTGGATTATATCTTTTGTTATGTTTACTACTTCAAACCATTCATTTATATCTATATCAAGAAAATAAATGGAAGTAAATGTACTCGTATTAAACATTGTCATATCTATATCAGTAAGCAATATTGTTTTTCTTTATAGGAAAGGAAAGTTTGTTTGCGTTTTGTACCTGCTGTTGTTTTAAAAAATAATCAATAACAAAATGATATAGAGATCGACATTTAACATTCAGCACGGCACAACCTAGAATGCTTATGCCTTGAAAGAATATGAGAACGAAGACAAATCAAAAACGTCATATTTGGTAGGATATCGAACAAAATTAACATATTTTTAGAATATCTTTCAAATGTTGGCATTGGAGGCAATATCAATGAAAACTAAATATCAAACTTATATAATTTATCTTAACAATATTGTTTTCAATTTTAATTAAATGAAACACTACTTCTGTGAGTATTTTATTTAAAAAAGATGAATTGTTAAACTACCTCCCTGACTTCTCAATTCAGCTTGTACTTCTCCGAATATTCCATCATCCGGATCAGAAATTGAGAAGTTTGCTACTATTGTACCTACTGGGACATCTTCACGTACTTGCGTTTCAAGGTAATGCGGTTGAATAGTTGGTCGGTCATTCATTTCTATCACATTTATCATAATTGGAACTTCATTTATCGTTTCATTTCTGTACGGCTCATTTAGTACAGTGACAGTTGTCTGTTTTCAAATAAAGTAATGCATTATTTAATTTATGAACATACATATGGAGTATGAAGTTTCAATTTTACATTTATAACGACCCCCAGAACAGAAACACATTTTGCCAGAGCCATTTGCCGTTGCAACTGAGTTGTATAATGAGGTATAATTTGAACTGTCTTGTCGAGACTCAAGTCAATGACAGACAGGGTCTACCTACCCACTCTCGTACCTTTAAAAATATCGTCGCAAACGATTTCACTTTTATTTCATTTGCGTGTTCCGAAACCTTTTACAATCAACATCAAAATTTCGTACTGAAGTAATTTTGATTTTATGTTGTATTATTCTATTCGGGGAAAGACTTTATGAATAACTTTCATACTTTATAAAAACTGACCGAGCTATTATTGGTTATATTGTTAACTATAATATAAATATGTATGAACAGATTTAACAAGACGAAGATGAAATCATTCAAATGGCTAGCAAGTTTAACAATTCATTTAGCATTCGGCTAATTAAGTGTAGATCTATTTAATTTTGTAAACACGACTCTGTTACAAAAACAATGGTAATACACATTAAACAACAAATTTAAGAAGGAGATATTAATCAATTTCAAATGCCTTGTTAAAAACATCTCAAATATGCATGTATATTAAAAAAAACAATTGAACGCTACACAATGCATTTAAAAACATTATGCATTTATACTGCAACGCATAATAATGATCAGTGACGTCATTTAGCTTATTGACGTCACATCTGAGAAGGATAGTGTAAAGAAGTGTGTATAAAGTCATTTGAGGGGCTCAATAAAATAAATTATATTTAGGATAAAACACAAATTTTCAAAAGATGTTGATTTTTAGGCAGTGTTTTCTTTATTTCTTGTAGGGTTATAAACGTTAAGAATAATGAAACCATATATTATTTTAATTCGAATGAAAGAACCGGATGTTATTACATCTAAGAATTGAAAAAAATTAACAAAAAGTAATAAATTTAGTTATATGTCCTCCAAAAAGGTGTCACAAACGTGAATCTTGTGTTGTTGATAAATCCACGGCCTGTGATGCCGTTATCAACTGAGAGACAGACAAACGGACGGAAAACTTAATATCCACTAAATAATATGAAAAGTTTAGCAATATAAAAGAAAGACGTGGATGAAGGTTTTTAAGGAATGGTCATAAATTAAGATACAAAAATAATTAATACATCTACTTACGTTCCAAGTGTTTATATACAAAGTATTCTTTATTGTTAAAATCAGGTACTTTAAATTTCTTTCACTGGAATATTCTGTCGAAAAGTATCTGTGTTCGTTATATTTGATATCTAACCGGAAATAGACGCTGATACTGTTCCAATTGTTGCACATGAATTGAACTTTCGTTGAATTGTCGTTCTTTGGAAGGTCGTCACTAATTGTTACATTTATAAAATCGGGTGTGCAGCCTACAATAAAAAAGAATAACCATGATTAAAATTGTTTAGACGTTCAGTGTTTAACAACATAAGCGATACATATTTAACCTGATGGTAATTGCAGTCATGAGTAATTGTAACATGTATAAAACGAGATAAGAGCATGCACATCCGGGAATACTTATTCATTATTTTGCCAAAAAGAAACAGAAAAAATAGATTTCTCAGGTAATTGATCAATAGGTAACTTCTGTGAAAATAAAACCGAACTTAAAAAATATCAGAAGGCTTTAAAAACATTTATGAGGTATCAGGGGCCTTTAACTGACACAAATTAATGGAAAGGACACTAAGAAACTTTAATCTAAGAGACATTATCTTATTGAAAATACAAACAGTGTATACTTTTGAATTATATACTATGATGTTTAAATATTAAACCATATTTATACAAAAAATGAGAGACATTTATTTTTTCACCTTACCAACATTGCACCGACAACAATTCCTTTATTTTCAAAGGTTAATGTGATGATATCTTGTTATCGTAATAAACTTTGTATCCAAATCTCATCTATCTTTACCATGCTTACCATTTCAAATGTAATAAACTAATAATATATGAAAGTCAAGATAAAACCATTAATTATATCTAAAAAAATCTTTAAAATAACTTGCTGAAAAATGAGTATATCATATTTAGTCCATACCATTTTTATAACATATTTCTAAAGCTAAAAATACATAATGTGCTTGATTACTTTTTTGTAAATTTTTATCTGGGGACGTGTCCCTTTAACACAAGATTGCCGTACACTATTTGCATATATGAGTAGAACTATAAGAGTTATTGCAAATGAGTTTTGTATTTGGGGAGAAAAAAAATACTTTGACATTTCATTATGTAATAGAACTTGGATTAATATAATAAGGCAATAGATATTATTTTTGAGTCTATTATTGTATAATTAATTGAATTTACCAAGTTATATAATCATACCAGCCGGTAAGTGAATAACATGAAGTATGTTAGAATTATAACTCGTATTTTGTATAAAAAAATAACTTTACGTTTTGCCTTTATATAAAAAAAAATGTAAAAATGAATCTCCTTGTACAAAAAGAAATAAACTTTGCATTTATTACTCATCTAAACTTGTAAGACATCCTTTATCTGGTAGTTGTTAAAAACACATGACCATTGATATCCTAAATACCCGTTATTTAAGTAAAATCAATTAATTTTCCAATTACAAATTCATACACTTTACTTTCCGTGAACCACTCCTTACAGGCTAAAAATAGCAGACAAGAGTATAATGCCTAGTATGGAAATCGCATTTTTTAATGTTTGTCGTGCGATATCGAATAATTTACCAATTGGAGCTCTATTCGCTATGATTCACACCATTTATTTGGTGAATTACACGGCGAAAAGCTTGAGTAACGTCGGAAAAGCTCTCCTAATCAAAATAATAAAAAAGGATGTCAACGGAAACTGTAATTTACGAAAGAAATATTTGTATGACATCCTTTCTGTGTAGTTTCCTCTATGGCCAGAGGTTTCACAGTTTTCCCTTTTGCTAATTTTATCACTTGAGCACAGAAAAGGATATTTTGAGCTGTTGATATATCACTTTATAATTTGACAAACTTAACAGTAGTGGTTATTTGCTCGTTAAGGCAACCAATTAAAAAGGTGTTATGGAATATAATTTTATATATAGGTCGTATTTTTTTTATTGAACTATGTCAGAAATGACAACAGACAGACTGACAAAACAGCAACAGCACAAATCAAATCTCATGGTGCTAATCGTAGAAAGAAAGACTTAAATAACCACAAAATGTCATTTCTGCAAAGAGAGGAGGACGAATTAAAAGTCTGGCGGACAAACAATGAACCTTGTATTATACTTTAAATATTAAAAGAGTCTATGCCAAATTTGGCTTCAATTGTTTGAGCTTCAGAGGGAAAGTTATACTAAATACATATAAAGGAAAACCATGACCCATTAGGAACAGCAAATTTTACCAATTTTGGTAGAAGTGTAATAGACAAATTGGCATTTTAAGAATGTAACATTTAAAAAGAATGTTTTATTACTATACATACATGCATCCATATATGAAATATCTTTAGTGACCCAAAGGATTGGGTTATTTGACCCTAGACATAATTTGGACCTAAGATGATGTTACATATCAAAGCAACGCTCTAATTGTTGTAAATTCAGATGAGAATTTTTAAATTATCATTTTGAACCACCATTTTGCTCTGGTATCTGTTGATCTATACGTTGAATAATAGTTGAAAAACACTTATTGAGATACTGTTTTAATAAATTGTTGGCAACGAACGACGCACGTCACACAACGATGAATTGAGGGCTACATGGTATCAAAATACCATACCATCAAAAAGTTATGCTTAGATGAGCTCAAAACGAAAACGAGTTCGTCTTACATATCAGTTTTTAATTAATCCCCCCATGCTCAGGATATTTTACTTACCTCTACTTTTCTTATGCTTTCTTCTATGCCAGCAGTTCAATGTAAGCTATAAACGTTATTATGATCTTATTCAATGGTTGCAATTATGAGGTTACTAGAAGAACAGTTTTATTTTGTATAGCTTGCCGGACATATTTCCTAAGATTTCGGAGATTGCGGCTTCTGCTCTTCAGATTTGTTTATATTAATGATCATATTAACTTCAACAAGGATATTCAGATTTAACATCACATGGACTATTTTCAATAGCTTTTTAGTGTTGTCTAGGCGAATATATTAACATGCATTTTTGACTTTTTTCAGCAAGAAGGAATAGCTTGAATCTGGATATGTTTCGTTATTACATTTCTAGTAGAATTACCGTTAAATAAGTAAATCTGATGGAATAAAAAAATGAACGATAATAAAACTGAAAGTTTTGCTTTTTTAAAGCATTTATTATTATTATTATTATTATTATTATTATTATTATTATTATTATTATTATTATTATTATTATTTATATATATAAACATAACAATCCACGACTGAAAACTGTGAAATTGACATTTTTTAACGGAAAAAAAATCAAAAGATTGAGTTTAACAAATTATAGATTTTAATAACTTACTCCAGTCTTGTTCATCTTCTCCTCCAGGACATTGAAGATGCCGTTCAATACATAAAACTTCCTGGACATATGACTGTTATTTTCTGGACAAGTGAAATCTTCTGAAAATCAAATTTTTTTAATGATCACAATATTGAGCAAATTCATTGTGAATTATTGAAATTAATATCCATTTTCTTAAGTGATGAATGACTGAGAAGTATTTGTGATGACACTCTGTTTTACTTTGTTTCCAGTAGAATAAAATAATAAAGGATTCGAGACATAAAGACATGTAACATGCAGAGCTGCAAAATCCAGTTTACGGTTTAGTACTTAATTACCAGTACCACTACTTGCCAAGTTATGCAGTACCATTACCAGTACCAGTACTAGATTTTCGCTCGGTACTGCAGTTTAAAGGAAGTTAAGGTATTCATTTCCAGCACTTTTATATATTCATCATATTTTGAATAAATATACACTTTCAAACAAAATAACATATTATGTATATTTACATATTCATTTTAATTATACATTTTTTAAACAAGTTTTTTCATTTTCACATGTGTACAACTTCAAATTAAAAAAACAACATCAAACTTTATTCAGCAAAAATTATGGAAATTATTATTTACTGTAGAAGTTAACATTATATTTTTATAAACTTTAATGGTTTTAACATTCTTACACACATCATATATTCATTGTCATATCTTATGGTTTAGCAAACCAGTCAACAATCCTCTTTCATTTAAAACAACTTTCTCATCTTTGTTCAATATATACTAATTATTAATTTATTTTATTATTATATTATTTATTATTATTATTATTATTATTATTATTAATTATTAATTATTATTTATTATTTAAAATAGAGTAATGGAATAAAACAGTACAATAAAGAATAAAAGTCACGTAAATTATGCTTCGCTTGAAAATCAATTGACTTCCACTTCATTCGAACCCCAGTCTCACCGGTTGTACAGTGTTTGAACGTTTGATGGAACACTTGAAATGTTGATAACGGAAACGAAACTCTTAAATAGATCTTAATCTCAATTAGTTGTAATAGTTTTTCGTTTGCAATCTGAGATATAATAGTTAAGAACCTTTGTAATTAATTTACCCTTTAAAATGTTATTTAAAAAGAGTCTATGCCAAAATTGGCTTCAATTGTTTGAGCTTCAGAGAGAAAGTTATACTAATACATAAAGAAAAACCATGACCCATTAGAACAGCAAATTTTACCATTTTGTAGAAGTGTAATAGACAAATTTGGCATTTTAAGAATGTAACATTTTAAAAAGAATGTTTTATTATATACATACATGCATCCAATATGAAAATATCTTTAGTGACCCAAAAGGATTGGGTGATTTGACCCGTAGACATAATTTGACCTAAGATGATGTTACATATCAAAGCAACGCTCTAATTGTTGTAAATTCAAAGATGAATTTTTAAATTATCATTATTGAACCACCATTTTGCTCTGTATCTGTTGATCTATACGTTGAATTAATAGTTGAAAAAACACTTATTGAGATACTGTTTTAATAAATTGTTGGCAACGAACGACGCACGTCACACAACGATGAATTGAGGGCTACATGGTATCAAAATACCATACCATCAAAAAGTTATGCTTAGATGAGCTCAAAACGAAAACGAGTTCGTCTTACATATCAGTTTTTAATTAATCCCCCCATGCTCAGGATATTTTACTTACCTCTACTTTTCTTATGCTTTCTTCTATGCCAGCAGTTCAATGTAAGCTATAAACGTTATTATGATCTTATTCAATGGTTGCAATTATGAGGTTACTAGACGAACAGTTTTATTTTGTATAGCTTGCCGGACATATTTCCTAAGATTTCGGAGATTGCGGCTTCTGCTCTTCAGATTTGTTTATATTAATGATCATATTAACTTCAACAAGGATATTCAGATTTAACATCACATGGACTATTTCAATAGCTTTTTAGTGGTCTAGGCGAATATATTAACATGCATTTTGACTTTTTTTCAGCAAGAAGGAATAGCTTGAATCTGGATATGTTTCGTTATTACATTTCTAGTAGATTACCTTAAATAAAGTAAATCTGATGGAATAAAATAATGAACGATAATAAAACTGAAAGTTTTGCTTTTTTAAAGCATTTATTATTATTATTATTATTATTATTATTATTATTATTATTATTATTATTATTATTATTATTATATATATATAAACATAACAATCCACGACTGGAAAACTGTGAAATTGACATTTTTTAACGGAAAAAAATCAAAAGATTGAGTTTAACAAATTATAGATTTTAATAACTTACTCCAGTCTTGTTCATCTTCTCCTCCAGGACATTGAAGATGCCGTTCAATACATAAACTTCCTGGACATATGACTGTATTTTCTGGACAAGTGAAATCTTCTGAAAATCAAATTTTTTTTAATGATCGGACAATATTGAGCAATTCATTGTGAATTATTGAAATTAATATCATTTTCTTAAGTGATGAATGACTGAGAAGTATTTGTGATGACACTCTGTTTTACTTTGTTCCAGTAGAATAAAATAATAAAGGATTCGAGACATAAGACATGTAACATGCAGAGCTGCATCAGTATCTTACGGTTTAGTACTTAATTACCAGTACCACTACTTGCCAAGTTATGCAGTACCATTACCAGTACCAGTACTAGATTTTCGCTCGGTACTGCAGTTTAAAGGAAGTTAAGGTATCATTTCCAGCAACTTTTATATATTCATCATATTTTGAATAAATATACACTTTCAAACAAAATAACATATTATGTATATTTACATATTCATTTTAATTATACATTTTTTAAAACAAGTTTTTTCATTTCACATGTGTAAAACACTTCAAATTAAAAAAAACAACATCAAACTTTATTCAGCAAAAATTATGGAATTATATTACTGTAGAAGTTAACATTATAATTTTTATAACTTTAATGGTTTAACATACTTTTTACACACATCAATATATTCATGTCATATCTTTATGAACGTTTAGAAACCAGTCAATCAATCCTCTTTTCATTTAAAACAACTTTCTCATCTTTGTTCAATATATACTATTATTATTTATTTTATTATTATCATTATTATTATTATTATTATTATTATTATTATTATTATTATTATTATTATTATTATTATTTAGTAGAGTATGAATAGAAACAGTACATAAAGAATAAAAGTCACGTAAATTATCTTCGCTTGAAAATCAATTGACTTCCACTTCATTCGAACCCCAGTCTCACCGGTTGTACAGTGTTTGAAACGTTTGGATGAACACTTGAAATGTTTTGATAACGGAAACGAACTCTTAAATAGATCTAATTTAGTTGTAATAGTTTTCTTTGCAACTGAAATAGGTTTAAGCAACCTTATCATTTTGAAATTTGGCCACCATTTTGCTCTGGTATCTGTTGATCTATACGTTGAATAATAGTTGAAAAAAGCAACGCTCACTTATTGAGTTGATACTGTTTTTTAATAAATTGTTGGCAACGAACGACGCACGTCACACAACGATGAATTGAGGGCTACATGGTATCAAAATACCATACCATCAAAAAGTTATGCTTAGATGAGCTCAAAACGAAAACGAGTTCGTCTTACATATCAGTTTTTAATTAATCCCCCATGCTCAGGATATTTTACTTACCTCTACTTTTCTTATGCTTTCTTCTATGCCAGCAGTTCAATGTAAGCTATAAACGTTATTATGATCTTATTCAATGGTTGCAATTATGAGGTTACTAGACGAACAGTTTTATTTTGTATAGCTTGCCGGACATATTTCCTAAGATTTCGGAGATTGCGGCTTCTGCTCTCTTCAGATTTGTTTATATTAATGATCATATTAACTTCAACAAGGATATTCAGATTTAACATCACATGGACTATTTCAATAGCTTTTTAGTGGTCTAGGCGAATATATTAACATGCATTTTGACTTTTTTTCAGCAAGAAGGAATAGCTTGAATCTGGATATGTTTCGTTATTACATTTCTAGTAGATTACCTTAAATAAAGTAAATCTGATGGAATAAAATAATGAACGATAATAAAACTGAAAGTTTTGCTTTTTTAAAGCATTTATTATTATTATTATTATTATTATTATTATTATTATTATTATTATTATTATTATTATTTATTATATATAAACATAACAATCCACGACTGGAAAACTGTGAAATTGACATTTTTTAACGGAAAAAATCAAAAGATTGAGTTTAACAAATTATAGATTTTAATAACTTACTCCAGTCTTGTTCATCTTCTCCTCCAGGACATTGAAGATGCCGTTCAATACATAAACTTCCTGGACATATGACTGTATTTTCTGGACAAGTGAAATCTTCTGAAAATCAAATTTTTTTTAATGATCGGACAATATTGAGCAATTCATTGTGAATTATTGAAATTAATATCATTTTCTTAAGTGATGAATGACTGAGAAGTATTTGTGATGACACTCTGTTTTACTTTGTTCCAGTAGAATAAAATAATAAAGGATTCGAGACATAAGACATGTAACATGCAGAGCTGCATCAGTACTTACGGTTTAGTACTTAATTACCAGTACCACTACTTGCCAAGTTATGCAGTACCATTACCAGTACCAGTACTAGATTTTCGCTCGGTACTGCAGTTTAAAGGAAGTTAAGGTATCATTTCCAGCACTTTTATATATTCATCATATTTTGAATAAATATACACTTTCAAACAAAATAACATATTATGTATATTTACATATTCATTTTAATTATACATTTTTTAAACAAGTTTTTTCATTTCACATGTGTACACTTCAAATTAAAAAAAACAACATCAAACTTTATTCAGCAAAAATTATGGAATTATTATTTACTGTAGAAGTTAACATTATATTTTTATAACTTTAATGGTTTAACATACTTTTTACACACATCATATATTCATGTCATATCTTATGGTTTAGAAACCAGTCAACAATCCTCTTTCATTTAAAACAACTTTCTCATCTTTGTTCAATATATACTATTATTATTTATTTTATTATTATCATTATTTATTATTATTATTATTATTATTATTATTATTATTATTATTATTATTATTATTATTATTTAGTAGAGTATGGAATAGAACAGTACATAAAGAATAAAAGTCACGTAAATTATCTTCGCTTGAAAATCAATTGACTTCCACTTCATTCGAACCCCAGTCTCACCGGTTGTACAGTGTTTGAACGTTTGGATGAACACTTGAAATGTTGATAACGGAAACGAACTCTTAAATAGATCTAATCTCAATTAGTGTAATAGTTTTCTTTGCAACTGAGATATAATAGGTTTAAGCAAGAAATAAATGACAAACATTAAGTATGTTTAAACGATAATTACGGTTTGACAAAATGATTTTTATCTCTAAATTATTGATTATAATTTCGCACTGGCACTTATTTATCCCGTTATAACTGACTTTACAAATAACGAAATTAAATTATTTAACACAACACCCGGCCAAGTGGACCAATAAGTTACCTGAAATATATATACATTAAAAATAGTTCACTTGAAATTATTATACTGTGCACAGCATCAATATTGCAGGATAAATAGTCGTGTTTGTCACAAAACAATGGGTTTTCAGCAAAAAAAGGAAACATTGATAGTGGAATATCATATAATAAAGCGTTCTATACAAAAGTGATGTGTAAGTGTTCTATCATGTTGCTGTGGTTATTTTGATTATATTTATTTTAGGTCTTAGATATAAGAGGCTGATATTAAGTAGAATGTAAGAGCAAAACGAGGGTGTGTACTGTTTTAAATTTTTAAATCTTATGTTGTATAATACAATCACTTGTAAGACTTGTAAGACTTGTAATGAATGTACTTTTTCTAATTAGATAAGTTACACTTTGTAATATTTAACTTTTGAACTACACAACGCAGTTATCTTGATTAGCTTAAACAGGATATATGATTAGCTAAAACAGGATATACTGTTGTGACGACTGTTACATAAGGATGATATAATCATATAGCGTATTAAAATAATTGGTAACAAATTAATATTGTTACCAAGTGTACACTTGCAACAAGTCGTATTATTGTCATCATGTATTACATAGCCATTTATCATACCATCACCAACAGGCACACAATCAGTCATATTATTGCCATTAGAAATGCAATTGCCATAAGCCTTACTTTTGTCATTAGGCGTGCAATTGTCATCAGCCATACCTCACACCCGGGTTCACCATTGTCATCAGGCATACTATTGCCATAATACATACTTTTTGCCATTAAGCGTACCATTGCTATAAAGCATTAGGCATAAATGTACCCTTGCTACCGCGAACACCATTCGTGGCATATTATCGCGATCAGGCATACCATTACCATCAAGCCAACATCCGCCATCAGGTATAAATAATATAATGAATCGCTAATTAATTACGCAATGACATTTAACACGAAAATGTCCTTTAGTAAAGTCAAAACTTTCATAAAAGAAATATCATTTCTATATTCCAAAACTTGCGTCATTTTGTCTGATGCAAAACAAATAAATCATAATTAACAAAAGAAGTTCTGAAAAAAAAACTTACCATTATTTTTTGCTACAGTTGTTGTTGTTTTTTTTGTTGTTGTCACATTATTAATTATTGAAGTTGTCGTCAGATCATTAATTCTTGTAGTTGTTGTCAGGGCAGTGATAACCGAAGTCGTATCCGTCGGAAATTCTGTTGGCGGCGTAAAGCTTCCAAATTTAACAAATATGATGTGTAACAAAGCTATATTCACAAAAGAAGCTAAAGTTAACTTAAACATTGTATGAATATGTATTATCAGATTTAATCAAAATACCATCCAGGTGGATTAATTCAATTTGAAGTCGGCGTGTTTAACGCAGATGCCTTTATATCACTGCTAAAGTTAGCAGTTATGCTCTACACCATACCAAGGATAACCAACTGTATTTGTTTCATGTAACTTTATAGTTGCGAACATATAATTATATATGTATGTTTACATATGAGTGTATAATTGGTTATACGGAGTTTTACAAAGTTTTAAACTGGAGTTAAACAGTTGTAAGTACGCATTTCCGACAAGAGTAATATATCAACCAGTCGATAAACCAAGGTAATATAACTTACAAAAGTTTTCATAATTGTTTTATGAAACTGATTAACTGCTTACTTTTGTTAAGATATAAGTTTATACCCGCAATTTGCAGTAGCCGTGTATATAGCAAATATAAACGCCCTGAATATCCAGTAAAAACTTATATTACTAGTTTATGTTTATTATTTCACTTTTTGTATACTTTATTGTGCAATATACCGGGAAATACCGGTGTTAGAAATACAAACGGCTTTGTAAGCCTACAAAATTAAAGAACCAATACACAAACAAAACTTACTTGGAGTAATAGTGAGGATTCTTGGGGTCAAAATCGTCACCCTTACAATTCTGGTTAGCATCTTCATGAACCTATGGTGCTTGTGCTGCTTTTCAGATTTACAGAATTATAACTACTGATTGTATCATAGTTTGGGGACCTTTGAAAATGTGTCAGAGTTAAATCATATACATATACATGCACAGTGCGTTAACTGGAGTGCAGGTATTAGTTTCCCGCACACCAGAGCATGCCCATTGATTGGTTCATTTTTGCTGGGGTTTACATATTGTGACGGCAGAGCAAGGGAAAGCGACAGGAATATCATATTCAGATGTTCGTTCATTGGTTCCTTTTTGTCGGGGTTTCATATTTTGACAACAGGAAACGTGTTTTTATGTTTGACTATGATAAAAAAAGAGAAAGAACATCAAACACTCGTCAATATGATAAATACCTGGGGGCTACGCTCCCTCGTACCAATCAGATAGCCTCGTGTTTCGATGCTCTTTCTATTACTTATCTAAATCTTTGCAATGCACTGCATGTCAAGAATTTATTTAATTTGTTAAGAACTTTCCTACTTTGTGTGTCCATTACAGCTTTTGATTTTATTCATTTTCTCACAAATTGGTTTTCTAACGAATTGATTTTCTAACTGATTGATTTTCTAATTGATTTATTTTCTAATTGATTAATCTGGATAGCTGAAGAACCAGATATTTCGTACAAGGCAGTGTTAATGTTTTATAAGTGCTTTTGACCATAGTTTGTAAACTTCTACGAAGCATTTTTCAGTATGTAAATAACATAAACTAGATATTATGTTGTAAATGGAATTTCATTTTGCAAAGGAAACTTAACATTTGTAACAAATTAGCAATTTGTGTAAAAATTATATATCGTATTTAGGTGATTACAGACATAGAAAACAATTATTTCAATTTTAGCACTTGAAATTAATTCTGCCTAATTTGTCATTTCCTGTGTCAAGCAGTTGGGGGATATTGATTAAACGATAAACTACTTGGACCCACTAGAGGAAATAAAGGAAATTGGTTGATAATGACAAATCATCTACGTATAGGATTATTCATATTAAGTTAAGATATACGTCTTTAAATTGCGAACAATGAGAAAATGTGGGGCTAACTTTACTTCCGTACTGAATAAATGTGTATTGAAACAACGTTTATTTAAAAACCGCTTTATCATATATAAAGTGCATAATTGTTCGGATGTCGACATTGTGTATAAGTCTGCACGTAAGTTTAATTTAAGTGAAGGTTCAGTTTTCAATTAGTCCCCCATCTCCACACCAATAAACAATCGGACCTTTCCTGTTAAAATCTACCAAACACCTATTTCTTTGTATTAAATGAACCACTATCAGAGAATATTCCGTCTGAAAATAACCCTTTCAAAACTTTATTTAATTTGAACAAGAAGTACCTTTTTAAAATATACTCGTTTTCAGTGTACCTAGTTTATTATTTTTTATTATTTCATTAAAACCGCAAGTAAGAGGGGTTATCTAACATTTCGTGGATTTTGTTTTAAATATCTCTTAAATGTCAACGTGTATTGTAATGAAATTTAATCCGTATACCTTGTAGAACATTATCAACACATTTTGAAAGGAAAAGTTAATTGCGTCAACAAATATTGATTTTATATTGCTTTTAATGTTGATATCACTTGAAATGGCAAACGCCGGTATTGTTTACAACGAGAAAATGACGGACAGAAATTAGGAAATCGCGCGATCATAAAGTTTTAATATAATTTCGGAATGACACCTACAAAAACTGAAAAAAATCACCAAGCGAACAGACCAAATATAATTTCAAGATCATTAGTGTTTAAGTGGCATATTAAGAGATTTAGTGATGGACATTACTTTGAGAGACAGTAACGATAATTGACTGCGTAATTTCATAGATCAAATTGTACGTTATTATGACGTTGACGTCAAAAACGTTTTGGAGTGTACTGTTGTGTTTATGTAAAATTAAATATTTAACAAATAATACATGGCCTTGAGGGCAACCTGGCGGAAAGTGGCTCCCTACTGCACCACCCCTTCACCAGTCTATAGCTCTGCTTCTCTCAAATGCCGCCTAATGTTAGCATTCGCCGTATAGAAGTGACAGATGTAAGAAATGTAAGGCACTGAATGACAATAAGCCGGTAATGTCGCCGTTTACAAGACATGTAATTGTATATCCCATCAAAATCATGCAATTATTGGGATGATACCTAGACGAGTTATAACGGATACGTCAACTCGAATTCATGTCAGGGGACTATCTCAAAATATTGCTGAAACAGAATTTTCCAAAATTGGAAAGAAACCTGTTTTATACTTGTTATAATATAAACATTAATTTTTAGTGCTTAGCAAAAAATTGAGTAGTATATATGTTGCTGGAAGATTTTTCAGTATATGGCTTATCTTAGTAAAAGCAGTCGATTTCTTCTCTTTTGTTTCTGTCTTTTTCTTTAATTTTGAATTCTTACTTATTCGTTGTTTTGTTTTTTTATGTTGTTTTTCTTGTTTTCTTTCTATTTATTTATTTATTTTTTAATTTTTTTTAAATTTATTTTGGGAGAGGATTAATTTTGTATTTCATTGTAGCTATTGTTGTTGTACATTTGATAACATTTAATCCAGAAGATTGAACAAATGCATCTGTACTAAAAAGTCAAATGTTAGTTGTTTTGCAAATATGACAATTCCTTTTTGTTTAAGTTTTTTTTCCAAGAAGTTATCTTGAAATTATTACCGTTTGCACTTTTATAGACATTGACAAATTTCGTTAAATATTTATGAATCACCTAGATTTCTTTTGTTTATCGTGCACATATTACTGTTGTTAAAAGATTTGTAATTTCTTACTGTATTTCAACATAAAAAAAATAAATGAAAAAGATAATCATAATTCAATCAATGTGATAATTGACCATTTATAAAACATTCGGTCCTCAAAACATAATTATTTCAAGAACAATTAATTATCTTATAGTTTCAACAACTGGAGACACAAGAGTAGACAAGTCGGTGCCAAAATATTAGTTTTTCTGACATTAAGATTATTTATTTCCGAGAGGCAAGACACTGATCTGTTTTAAAAAGAAGAAAAAAAATGATTTAAAATACTGAAAAGATGTGGTTGATAACTTGCAAGGCATGGAATGTTAGGCAATTTTCCAGTGTTTAATTGCTTTGCTGTTTCCCATAAAACATCGATTAGATCTTGGAAAAATATTTTAGTTTGTTAAACGGTTAGTTTCTTTGTTGACTTGTCATATTTTTGATGACGTTCTGTCACTACTTAAATCCGAAAAATAAACAAATTCGTTTAAAATATATAAGAAATATATATGTAATAATAAATCAGTGAAGCATTGAGGAAACGTCGGGAAAACTTGTGTATGACGATTCCAATAATTACATTGTTTTGAATGATTGAATTGAAAAACATGTAATTGCATTAAAAGCTCGAGTGACAACTTCAAAGAATAAGGTCTACAAATATCTTACGATTAAAAACGCGAATCAGTTTGATTAATTGCCGTCATATGAATCTATATATTTGTAGAAGGCTAATAATCTGAAAATGATAACCTGAGCTTTGCGCTCCAGATGTTATTTTTTTCAGAGGCAAGATAAATGAAATGTTTTCTTTTTCTTTCAAACATATTCCATTGATTTCATTTGCGTTTTTGGCCAAGCGGTTAATGTCCTTGGTTTCAAACCACTTGCCTCTCACCGCTGTAGGTTCGAGCTACGCAAGCGTCTTCGATTATTTCATGTGAGAAAGTTATCCAGTTAGCTACCGGAAAATCGGTGGTTCTTCGTGCCCGTAACGCACAGACGCACCTGGGGTCTTCCACCACCAGTAGAGCTGGAAAGTCGTCATATGACCAAAAACAATACGAACCTTACTACATCGGTATATATTGACAAACTTCAGGTAACATCTTAAAGTTAAAATCTGATCTTGTTGTCTTTTGACAATTTTCATATCATTTATTATCAGTACATTTTGCCACTTGTTAGGTGTTTTCTATTGCAACGTAAGAAACCATTAAGTTGGTCATTTATTTCGTAAAACAATCATACATTTTATTTTATTATGGATTTCAAATAGCATAATTTCGATTAAATTTTATTTTAGTCTCATAAAAGAATTAAATCGCATATTATAGTTGACGACAGTGAAATATCTTTGAGTATTATTTATATATCGTTTGAAAATTCATAGAATATATCTAGTAATATAAATACGTCTATACGTCTTCTTTTTGAAATATCTTTTTTCGGCACCTTTGGAGAGATTTTAATAAGCAGGTTTGTTCTATATATTGTTTTATAGAAGGGAGCTAACTATAAGATACGGCGTTTACCACACTCTGCGTTTCCCTCTTGATATTATGTCCCTTTGTTTGTTAGGAAATTGTCGTCTGTTAAACGATTGAGTATCCTTAATTTTTACTATCATTGTTTTCCCTTAACTATTTACACTTGATGGTGTACATAGACCATATACTAGTATTTCTTTAATGTGTTCGTTATTTCACGTTTACCTCTTTTGAAAATGATTTTTTTTTTTGTTCTTTTATGATTTTTTTAAAAGTATCTCTAATGAATGCTGAAAAGCGCAAAATTGAAGATGTCGTAGGTTTGGTTGTTTCATTCATACAGCATTATAGTTTTTAAGTTATTGTGATATTGTAGACATTTTACTTTCCTGATTTCACCTATATGCTTGGACATATTTAGGGACCATTAGACATAAGCGTCAGAAGGGAATGTCATTTGTTTTGGAAGAGGCAAACATGTGTTCAATAACGTTTTTGATGGTTTTAAACCATATTTAGATGCTTACCAACGGAAGTTAAAGTCGAAATTGTGACATTATTTGTCATACATGTAGCAAAATGTAAACAAAATATTGATTTACTTACAAAAACTTTAAACGTACTAATTACCAAAAGAGCAAATGATGGTTCAGCTAAAAATATATGGACAATAAGTTGCTGTTTATTTTTCAAAATTTGTAAGAGGACACAAAAAAAAACTGCTGAGAAATAAAAACACTATCGTTTTAGACTAATTGGGTCTTTAATTCCAAAAATTACAAGTACAGTGATGTGTATCGTTACAAAATGAAAATCAGTATTTTATTGCAAAGCATACCTTAAAGCATTTGGCTTTTACAATCTAAAATAGTGGTCGTTTAAAGCGGTAAATTATGCTTTATTATTGAGACCTTTATTAGAAATAAAACTCATATGAGTTTAGAATATCTGTATGAATATCAAATTTCTGGAGAAAAGGTGATCCCTCGGAAGCATTAATCACAACTAAATTACATGGATATTGCAGACTCGGGTTGATTGAGTCTGTATATCAAGAGGATGGAAAGTACAACAACTATAGGGCTTCTAGCACCAACACTTTTCTAATACAAATGTTGAAGTCTGTTGAACATGTTTTCGTCTTGATCTTTCTAAATAGTCCTATATGCACCTCTTTTTTAGTGAATATACATTTACTTTTCTCAAGTTTGCCTCAGTATCAATTTCAAATTATAAATGTTTTGACTTTTAGAAAAAAAATCATACTATATATTAGCCTGCATTTTTAACTGAATTTTGAGGTCGATAATTAGTCCCGTCTTTTAACATTTGAATGTCATATTAAATACAATAAAATGTATATTAAAATACATGAACTCAATTACAATGTCCATATCTGCTTTAAAATGACAAGAAATATCTCAACTAATGCTCAAGCTTCACAATTAATAATGATATCATATTTGTCAAAGCCTGTTGTTCCATAGCAATGTCTTGGTATGGGTAAGTTAGAATTTACGAAGGGAAGTTTATAAAACTGACCTTTGAGTTATAATGACTGTTGACAATGAATTAAACGCTAAAGATATTTCCGAAATTGTTAAATAGAATAGGTAACCTTACTCCAGATGGTAAAAAAGAATAGAAGTTATCCATCTAAAACATTAAAATCATGTGATATCGAGTCTAAACATGTATGGCATTGAAACCCTCATCTAAGCATTTGACAGTGAATCTGAATAGAGACAATATGATCTTTAAACTACCATAAATCCGTTTTAACATGATTCGGTAAGTGCATGCAATTTTTCACAGGCGTTGCTTATGTTTCAATGCTTGTCACAGTGATAATCATCAGTGTCACAAAATCGCGTTGAAAGCTTACAATATAAAAAATTCAGATGCAGATCAATGGCGTTTACGGGTACCTTCTGTACTTTCTTTGTTTATACTCAAATTCAAATGAACATCAGGAAGAATTTCCTTTAGCAAATTTAGTATGATGTTGTTTCTCCAAATATATTTCCTTTTATCAAAAGTGTTATTTGCGTGTTTCTTGTTTAGTTTATTTGTCCACGAGAACTTCTTTTTAACCATATATCAATTTTATCTGTTTAACAATATCTAATTCTCTACTTTACATAAGGTAAGTGATATCTGCAAAGAATAAAATTATTTATGATGTATTTTGTCTTTTCACGTTAATTCAGTGGGAACAAGATATCTTTACATAATAACATTCACCATAAAGCTAAATTATCAAAAAGGTTTGGTATCGTCTAAAATTATTGAAAGTGTATAAATATTTGCGAAACATTCGCTTTTTTTATAATTTGACATTTATATTTTAGAATAAAGTGAACTTTTTTTCACTCGGTCCATGTCATATGTCATATTTAATTTAACAATGATGAACTATGATTTACATAAAGAACAAAAAACGCAAGTGATTTGAAATTTTGTATTAACATTATCATTATATGATGGATGATTCAGAATTAATGCAATGCAACTAAAATCTCAAAAGACCCATGCATTGTTAATGCAAAACAGAATTTTCAATTTAATTTACAGTTTAAAACTTCATATAGTTTCAAAGAAATCTTATTGTATAGTAGTAGAATTATAGCAGTGACTCCTAGCACCAGTTATCATTACCAAATACATAATAAAATTATATATTGATATTAGTAAACCAAATGGTCATTTGTTTCAATTTTTTTTTTCATTCTTTTTTTCTTGTTTGATTAATTTTTTTACCTGGTTAACGGGACATTTTTTTGTCTGTACGCAGTCATTAATCTAGAAACATTCTAATTTTCAAGTGATACACAAAATTAGTAAATTCAACAACATTTTGCATTGCAACTGCCACCACATTGTTATGTACTGTTCATCTATTATTAAGGCTTTGCAAGAGAACAAAACGGGTTTTTCAAATAGTGTGAATCATATACATGTATATAGTTTTGAAGCTTGACTATAAATGCGACAGATAATCTTTATCACTTATTGTAGCAACAAACTATAAGTTACAAGCAATAACTATCAAGATACCAATAAACAAGATAACAATTTTCGCAAATCGGGATTAAAATCCAAAATGTATCACAGCGGCTATGGGTATATATTTATCGTTGCAAGAGCAAAGTTTCATTTAATCCACATATTAAGAAACAAAATACTCATTTGCCGTGAATATCTAAAAAAATGAATACAAAAACAAGCGTAATTGTGATATCACGTGCACAAAATGTTGTGTAAAGCTGAGAATATGCGGTCGTCCGACAGAACAATGTTTGTAATATTCATTGAAAGTTGTAAATAAGAAGATGTCGTACAGATCAATGTTCACAATACTCATTGAAAGTTGTAAATAAGAAGATGTCGTACAGATCAATGTTCACAATACTCATTGAAAGTTGTGAATAAGTAGATGTCCGACAGATCAATGTCTGAAATAGATCTAGTCATTGAAAATGAAAATTGTGAATACGTAGATGTCCGACAAATCAATGTTTGGAATACTCATTGAAAATTGTGAATACGTAGATGTCTGACAGATCGATATTTCTTTAAATAAGATATACATCGATGGATCCAATGAAAGCTATGCATATGAAGACCTTCGATAAACTGATATTTGAAATTCTCAATAGCTGGATACAATAATAGTTGTGAATATGGAGACGCTGGACTGGACAAAGTTACAGTTGAATACTATATCAATAGTTTGAATTTTTTTATGAATATGCAGAAGTCTGAAATATCGGCGATTCTAATACCACATCAATGTACGTCATCGATTGATCATGATCCACGAGACGCTTTAAATGGCATGGTGCTGTTATAAAATTACGCCAGCCTTGAATAGCCAGAATGTCAGGGATATCATATTTTGAAATACTCCATCGATGAAATAATTCTTCTTGGTTTTTCAAAAGACGGATGAGTCTTGTGTTTTCTTAAAGGAAAAAGGAAAATAAACTTAGTCTGGTGCTAGGCCTATTAAAATACAAATATAAATGTTACTTTCTTGTCTGATCGATTCAATGTTTAGAGATTTCAGTACCCCCAAAAAAAAACATATAGAGCTAACATAAGTATAGATACTGGTCAGACTGCATGTACGGACTGCGAATGTCAGTGCTTGTAGTGAATCATTGTGTTCTTTAATAAACAATCAATTTAATAATTTTATACAAAAAGTATTATTCACTTTTTAAATGGACTTTAAGGGACACTTTGTTAAAATATAAATAAAACAGAAACATTATCTAAATGTTATTTAAAATATAAAAGGTATAATAATTACGCTTCTCTTTCCTTCAGAAACGCCGAAACTTTGCGTAGACTGAAGCCATTTGTATCTCTGTTTTGAAAATGCATCTTTTATCTGCAATTGAAAAAGTCGTATTATGTTGCTGTTTTATTGTTATCAACAAAACAAAGTAACATTTGCTTTTGGACTCCACAAAAAAAAACTATGCTGTCCACATTTTTATTTAGGATTTATAATTTAAGGGATTTTAAAATCTGATTTTTATTGATAATAATAAATGTTGTGATCATTAGCATTTTAATTATTTTGCGGCAGTGCGAAGATAAATGCGGTCAGTCGCTCTGTGAAACCGAGAGAAATTATAAGAATCTTACACCGGCTGTCGGTACAGACCGGAATATCTAGCTTGAGGGTAACTGTTTACAGCGGTAACAAGGTTCTGCCGAGTTTCCGCTAAACAGTTACCCGAGAGCTAGATATTCCCTACACCGACGGATAGTGTTTGATTCTTTTTCTTGCATATTACAATTAATTATTTCGGAACAGAAATTGCGAAAACTTATATTCTCATTACGCACTTTTTCTTATTATGAACTTACAACTTCATTCATAACGGTAAAATGACGTCATCGTCAGAACGCAATTCATTCATAAAAGACGCTCGACAATGACGCCATTTAAAGCACGCGACTTGTCTTACATGGGGGATGTAAGACAGGATTTTCTAGCACCGGTGTTAACGGTAGATAATCCTGTCTGATATGCAAGAATATAACAGCGATAGCATTAAAAACAAATCGTTAATATATGAGCTAAAATGAAAGGAGCAAATGACGAGGGAATCGTTTTGTTTGATCAGTTTCAGTATACTTGTTAATTGGCGCAGTCATTGTGCTACACATTTGATGAATTACAACGGTTTAAATATATAAAGTGATTAAGATCATTAAGTGTTCAATGTTTCTCACGTTTTCAAAACTAAATGTAACCAAAATGATATATTTATATAAGGACTTTTAAACCAATCATAAGTATGAGAATATTGGCAAAAGGATAAAAACGGTTACCTTTTTGTCCATCACGCAGTGACATATGAAGATCAGTAGTCCCTGTATACAGATAATGTAAAATCTCCATATGTTCATAATTGTAATATCGTCATATCATTAAACGCAAACATTAGAATACCTTGTGTATATAATACGGTGCTCAGAAAACAGTACGAAATATAAATTAACAATTACATATTTATAAAATACACATTGATATCTGATCACACATTCCTAATAACACATGAAGAGCGTCTATGACGCACATACAGTTTAAATAATGGTTTATTAGTGTGTGATTGTTTTGTTGGCTAGTACGGCGCACAAACACAGTTTAGTTCAAATGGCCATTAATTACAAAGCTTTTCGTTTAATCACATGTAACAAAAATGACATGCCATTACGACTAGATCACATTCATACACATTAATCGTCTTTCTGTCAGGTTGTATTTGTGCATTTAATACATGAAATAAATATAGCAAAATCAAGTTAAATTTTTGTAAAAGTATGTTCCTTATTTCAGACTATTTTCTTAGAAACAATTTACTTCAAAAGAGCTTTTAAGGCAACATTGCCATAGGTTCTGATTGTGGTAAGTTTTAATCTATGATCCGGAGGCTAACAGGCAATAATCTAAATAAACGGCGCACCTCTTTACATTATGAAACAAAGGTGATAAGCGTTTGTTACCAGTTAGAGCCTGGACAGACTACATATTCTGTCCCTTTACTGTATGTAGATCAGGTTTTTTTTACAATTTGACATTGACCGTTCCAAATTATATTACAAACAAGCCCTTTTCATGAATTACTTAGGTAAAAAGTAAATCAATGGAGCTCCTTTGTTCCTTATTTACATTTGTATGTTGCATTTTAATTAAATATATCACATGGTTTTAAATCGATTGTTGAATACCTGAAAACTATTAAGAATAGCGAATATGTACTGGAAAGCGACTGTGTCACTATTCAAAGATAACACTCCAAATCCCCAAGTCAGACCCATCACCGGCATGAGCACCAATATGCAACGTAATGCTGCTCTAAAATTATATGATATATGGTGTTATATTAATATAAGTCATCATACATACAAGCAATTACATAAACTGATGGAAGTTCTGGGTCCAATCATTTTGTCTCCCAAAACATAACACAAAACAAGCTCACATAGAATGTTTCCAATTAATCTAATTTATCATCTAAATTCGCCAAAGCCAACTTATCTTTATAAGTGAATGTTTGTCAATATAAATATTTATTCATTTTACAAATGTCATAAGAAATGTTTAACAGGTGGCGTAACAATATTCAAATATGGGATGCCCGTAGTCAAGCGATCATAAACAGTGGAGAGAATTGGAAACCATAACAATGAAAACATAAATCAAACAGCTCTCAGTATCTGAGAAATTTTAAACTGTTTACAATTGAGTGTGATAATATCGGTATATCTCAATGACGTTGAAGCGTGAGGCACATTGCCTTATCAGGAAGTGTTATCATTTATTCTGTGTCTTCAAATAAAATGATATCATGCTGGGTTTTTGCTAACACAATCGTTCTGAATATCGTAAAATTTAGTTATAGAAGTCCTTTAAGTATTTTGTATTTAAAAGATGTTATCCATGACTTATTAGAACAGTCCTCGTATGTATGAATTTATTTCTCGCTTTCAATTCAGTGCATTTAAAAAAATATATTAAAAATATTAAAATTGAAATCACAAAATACTTATTATAGGCAGAAGGAATTTCGTAGGGCCTTCACAAAGCATACATAATAAGTAAACCATTAAACGAACAGAGAAAATAAAACCAAAACATTACAGAAAAAGCAATTGATTTTTAAATTACAAAAAGCCACTTTAATTACAAAAAGGCATAAGGAAGAAACTGTTATACTTCGCCCGTCCTTTGTTTGATTTCTTCGACATTGCTGTAGTGCCGCACATTGTCCGAATCACTAAGACAACACTTATAAAATTTATCTGAAATGATTTTTTTTAAAACAAGACCATGTTTTAGATTATTAAGTAATATATTAATTAGTTATAAATTGATTAAATAACAAATTAATTTCGATTTGTCCTTAGCTTTATTAATCAATCAATTAATTAATTTATGAATAAATTACAATTAACAAATTTATAGATAAATAATAAATTTATTAATTCTGAATAGATTGATTGAGATTACTTCATTGTAACTTACAGCGGCGTTGTATCTAGATAATTTAAACGCCATGACTACCTTATGCAACTAGCACTCCTTAAAATCAGGGTTCATGATAATTTGTTTATAAGTCAAATATTAAAAGACAATATTAAAAACGAAAATTACACAATTTGCGTTGACCCAATGTTACCGAAGACAAACTTTGAGTGATTATCCATCCTGTAAAACGTAGCATCAAACAAATGTCAAAATGTTATGATTGTCCAATAAAAATAGACGTTACAAAGGAACGAAGTTATAGGCTGCAAGAATAAAGCCAATCTCCTACGCAGTGATCTCCCCTTATCAGTACAGAGATCTCTGCCATCACAAACATTTTTATCAATATTTTGATATTTTATATTTTTTAGCTTCCGAATTTATTTTTCATTATTTAGTACACTTTTGACTTTTTTGATAAACTATAACGAACGTAGGTACAAATAGTTAAAACTTAAATAGAAAGAGAAAAATGACGTTAGTTTTTCTATGTAACGCCGATATTTACATTTGAATTTCGACGTTACGTCATTTAACTTTCATCATGTGTTGTCTGTGAAAGCAGTGATTACAATCTGCAAAGGGAGGTAATCACTATAAGGTTATCACTGTGAGGAGCGTACAATGGTTCAATAATACAGTCACACAATGTACATACCACTATAACAACAAGAACCGGAACAAGAAAAGCCCATATCAATCCAGTTTCCGTCGATAACCAGCATCTGGAACATGACTTGAAATATGATAATCATTTACATGGAAACGTTAGATAATATAAAAAATTGTAATATAGTTTGGACACTTTGCCTATTGACAACGTGTCAGAGTTAAACCGTATACCAATACCTGCACAGTGCATCAACTGGAGTGCAGGTATTAGTTACCTATGGTGGCTGATTTGTGCCATTTGTGTTTTCGTCCCGCGACCCCGCCAAGCGAAAAGTCGAGAATTAACAAGTTAAAATGTCGGGGTCGCGGAGCGAAAACACGCTTATTAGCAGGGGCACGCGGCGAAGTTTAATAAATAAAACTTCGCCCCGCGACGGCGCGGAGCGAGAATTAAGAAATAAAACGGCTGGGGCGCGGGGCGAAGTTTAATAAAATACAACTTCGCCCCGCGCCCCCGCTAATAAGCGTGTTTTAGCCCCCACGACCCCGCAAAGCGAAAAGTCGAGAATTAATAAGTTAAAATGGCGGGGTCGCGCAGCGATAACACGCTAATAAGCGGGGGCGCGCGGCGAAGTTTAACAAATAAAACTTCACCCCGCACCCCGGCTAATTAGCGTGTTTTCGTCCCGCGACACCGCCAAGCGAAAAGTCGAGAATTAACAAATTAAAATTGCGGGGGCGCGGGGCGAAAACACGAATGGCACAAATCAGCCACCATAGTTACCCGCACTCACTGTCTGTCTAGAGCATGCTCGTTGATTGGCTCATTTTTATTTTTGGTGGGAGGGGGTCAACAAGAACGAGATAACGATAGAAAAGTCATATTCAGATGCTTATACATTGGTTACATTTTTTCTTGGGTTTAATATTGTGACGACTAGGAATGTATTTTTCTTTTTGCCTATAATACAAAGAAGAAAGAATTATATCAAAACAATCGGCAATCTGATTCATACTCAAGGGATACAAAGATCGTATATAGGTACATTTTGTCAGGTCAATCTGATACAAAAGTTGGTAATGTTAAACTTAAATTACAGTAACAAAATATGCACCATGCAAAACGTTAAAAGCTATTGTTGGAAAATGTGCTGGTTGTATTCAAAATGAATTTAGTCTTTTTATTGATTTTGCTTTGTATGTTTTTCACGAGTTTTGGACCATACTCAAGTAAATAATGCACCTTTTTAGGTTGACACTTCTGCAATATGTGGAATCGTACAAAAACTCCTTTTTTGCGTGGCAATCTTATTAGTTGAGGGCAATAATACTTCTAAATTTATATAAGAACAATTATATAATTCCAAAAAAAAACCCAAAAAAATATGATATTAACTTCCACCAGAAAAGCAAATGCAAAAACGCAAATCACCGTTTAACAATGGCAACATAGTCGAAAAATACGCCCGTCACAAAAGCTATTGACAGAGATGTGGGCATCCTAGATATGCATATAGGACAATCTGATTAAAATCAGCTCTAAATCACACTCCGCTTTAAGATCTGAGCATGACTATATACGGAATTATTTCTGGTGACTATTCACACAGTCAATCATCGGCGAGCTTTCAAAATTTTGAAAGCGATGTTGTTTCTAATTTTAACCCTGGGAAAACCAATACTGAATAGGTAATATTCACGATTTCGAGAACAAACATGGCATTGTCTATATAGCCGACAGGTAAACAGGCAAAGCAATCTTGTTCATAAAAAATTGACTCTATTTTTTCAAGTTACTTGTTAAAAATTATTTCCAACGTTTTCTAACAAAAATCAACAATGTTTAACTTCCACGTATAACGGTATTGTAATACTTCTTCTAATGCCTATGTCAAAATCGGTTTGATTGCATGGCTAAAAATAGCTTTCTCAGGTAATCCGAATTAAAAAGAAGGCAAAACATATACCGTCGTCATAAGATCTACATAAAAGAAATTAAGACATCTGAACATTAGTCAGATTGGCATATAGGAGATATGCTGTGTGCAATATCCGGAAAATATACGGATATTTTATCATCTGTAGTGACCTCGACCTTGCAAATATTAACCTATTTACATATGTCACACTAGTAGTCATGATAGTTATCATTTGTGTTACAATCGATCAATATTAATGATGACTAAATGGTCCCCTTACACAAGTTTTGATCTCACTATGTAACCTTGACTTTGGTAGCAGGGACCTGGGTTATGTGCGCAATAAGCCTCACAATGGTGATCATTTGTGCCAAGTTACATTAAAAAATATCCAATGAATGTAAAAGTTCTGCTCCAAACAAACATGTTACAATGACCTCTAAATGTGACCTTAACTTTTACCCGAGAGACAAATTTTATGCGCATGACACTGCTGAACATTTTTCTATGAAGTTTCATAAGAATCCCTCCATATGTGTATGAGATATGCTCTGAACAAAATCTCTATTTTGACTGTCATCTTCAGTGACCTTGATCTAGCATATATTAACCTTAATCACATGTTTAACACCACTAGTCATGATAATGACCATTTGTGTTTCAAAAAATGATGACTAAATGGTCCGAATACACATTGTCATATATTTATCTGAACTTTAACCCCTATGTGTTGACCTTGGCTGCAAGTACCTAAATTTTGCACGCAACACTCCACCCACTGCACAATGATAAACATTTGTGCTACGTTATATTGAAATCCCGTTTTGCATGTGGAAGGTTTGCTCCAGACAAGCGTTTTTCAATGATTTCTAAGTGAGACCTTGACCTTTGACCTAGAGACCTGGCACAGCTCCTCATAATGCTGAAAATTTCTATAAAGATTCATGGTGTAGGAGATATGCTCCGGAAAAAAATGGACACCGCTTGCCCGCCAGACCGCCCGCAATTGGAGAAAACTATAATATGACCCGTTTTTCAAAGGGTCGTATAAAAAGTGTTACATAAAATGATAGAAACTTACGCCTGTTCGGTGCCATATCCCTGTAGCTGTGTTGCACCCATAGATATCACCACAATAATTACTGCGAGGACTGAAAATGAATGATATTGAAACATTCTCTCAAAACATGCATAATTAGCATGTTTATCACATAACCCTACTGGTTATAAGCGTGGGCCCAAGCCCTACCACAGCGGTCAACCACCAGGTCATGTCAATACAAAATCAAACAATAATGACAAAAAATATTACTGATACTATTAACTATTATATTGAATTTCATGAATATTTACATTCTATTAATATTTACATATAATGTTTAACTAGAATTTAACAGATATAATGTAAAAGATCAACTGATTATCATATACATATATACCATAAGACGATATCATTAGTGGCATCCCTAGTTTGATAGTACTAAGTGGTTTTAGAACCGTATATGAAAGGTAACATCCCTCCGTCAGCATTCCGAAGAAAACTATTAAAAACACCAGGTGGAGAAGTACTGCCATTGCTATGCAAACGCCCTACACATTGATGAAAAGCATATTAAATTCAAATAAAGTGTCAATATCAAGAAAGTCATTTCTCTAACAGAAAATTCGACAATATTCTAAAAGGCATGTTAGTTAAAATAAACAATTGATGCTTTTATCCAAAGCGCCAACCAACTAGCAAAAATGATGTTTTCATACTAGAATATGACACCTTTCCCTACACACACAAAAGCACAAGCAGAAAAGAATAATTATCATCTTGCCAGGCGCTATGAAGATGGCTGCTACATTTTATTAGCTTATTGCTGAAACCCGTTTTAGAATAGTAAAAGAAAAACATTTTAAGATATCAACCTTGAAAATATTATGTTAAGAAAAGTTATAGATTCCAAATTCAAGTGTTTATTTACATAATTATTATGTGCGATTTCAGAATTTCACCATATTTTAACTGCTTGAATGACTCAGTAGTGACTGTTTTGCTTATTTGTGTAATCTTTTGGATAGTGAGTGTTGTTTACAATATGTAAATGATTTCCTTTGCTCGCTTCACAATCGTTTACTCTTAAATATATTTTCCAATTAGAATGGATCTGCTTTAAGATTAACATATGGTTGAAAGCAACGTTTGAGGATCAATCTTGTATTGCATTACCTTGTTTTCTGTTCTGTTAATCCCAGCAAGAAACAGGATATAAGCAACAATTAACCAACAGGATAAATTCATATGAATGATGTACCGGACCGATTTAATAAACCTGCAAACATATTTTCAAATATGTATTTAAGATCAATACAGGTCTAGGTGTATGAATATACCAGTTACGAGATGAATCATCATGATATTTTGTTTCTATTTATGCATAAATCCCTGGTTCATACAGACACCAAATGCCAATCAAGCACTTTCTAAGCTATTTTTTTCCATTTTCAACAACCAACTATCGATTTTACCAACACAAAGTCATTCATTCTTTTTTAAGTACCTTTGCAGCGAATCCAAACACTCTTTAAGGGAATTAACAAATTCAAGGACTTATAAGCACTTTGTAAGAAAAGGACCCACATTTAAGCATTTTTTAAGACTGTACGAACCGAAATTAATTAGCATTTCCCCACGTTATTCTGCAGATACGTTCATTCTTCATATGCTCTATTCTGTATGAATAACTTTCTTCAAATATCCAAATATAAATTTTAAATAACTTAAAATGCAAAGTTCCAGATAATGGGACTCTCTGTATACAAACAGTTCAAAATCTGAAAACGGACAAGTTTAATACAAGAATGTAGTAGGAAAGGTGTGTTATGTTGCTTTATTTCATATGTACCAAAACTGTAAAAAATTTTGGTGTTTCTTTGTTGTTGTTGTTTTTTTGTTTTTGTTTTTTTTTTGCTGTTATTGTTGATGTTGTTGGTTTCCTGGTTGTTTTGTTTCATAGTTTTGTATAAGTTTGTTCTTGTTTGTTAAGGTTTGTGTTTGTTGTTTGTTGCTGTTGTATCTGCTGTTGATCATGCGGCTGTTAAAGTTGTCGTGGTGGTGTTTTGTGCGTGGTATTTTATTTCAGTTTGCTGTTTTTCATTGTGATATTTCGCTGTTTCAAGGGCTTATTATTTATAACTTTTGTAATTGTTTATTTTCTTTATTTCTTTGTTTTGGGGTTATTCGTTTTCTCTCATTTTTGTTTCAGTCGTTTTAATTGTTCTTTTTTCTCTAATAACAAATAATAATTGCAAACCTCCAGAAGAATGCGTGGATAGCTACATTAAGTACTAGACATATCATGGAAACTATACATCCTATCATGGAAATGACTGACAGTGCCTCCTTATGTTCCTCCTCAATCTGAAAATATAGAGTACTTATGTAAAGTGTTTGTAAAATTGTTTTAGAATTGTTTGGAGTGTGCCTATACAATTTAAATATCCATACTACGAATGTGTTTAAGCTTTTATGTGTTAATATGAAATCGACAGGCCAGATTTTTTTGTAGTTAATATGATATGTGTCAGAAATACTTTTTGTTGTAAAAACTACCTTACTCGAGACCATATTTGCACAAAGACTTGTAAACAAGTTTCAGCAGAGCTTAGATATACATGTAATTGTCAAGTACTAATTTTTTAATGAGAATTCATTAATTCACGCCCTGATCAAGTATCAAATGCATGTCAAGTGAATTGTATCTTTTTGTGGCACTTTAAGGCACAGTAACACTATTATTGTCATTTTAGCACATTCTAGATAAACCGAAAGAGCCAGTCCCTTGTGCGCATAATTGACCAAAAATCGGGTTTCCTAAATAGTTACAACCTTGCTATATAACAGTAGCTTACTTGAGAAAACATTTGGTCTGAAAATCAATTTAATTTTGGGCGTCTGTTAAATAAATGCAAGTAGTGACTAATTTTTTTATATTTTTTTATTTGCCATCCACAGATGTTTCAAATAATTAATATATATTTGTTATCATTTTGGAAATTTATATCTTCAATTTGAACTCATTATATTACTTTAGGTGCAAATCTCTTCACAGTCTGTTACAAGTGGAACGTAACCCAATTATTATAAACTTTCAGATTCTACGTCTTATTTCAAGCTAGTCACTTAATCATATATAAAATCTTGTAAGTTTAATGCCTAATTCGTACTTATGAAAGCGATGATATATGCTAAAATGAATAGTATTAAAATACCTACATACCTGGTGTTTGGATGGACTCATAAGCACAGCAAAATTAGTAAGATGGTCGCAAACGCACACAACAACTTCTTCTTCCTTGTCATATTTTTTCAGTCGACATCCCTCATCAGACCAGTAACCTTGTGACATTTCGCTTCACAAACAAGAAACATTTATTATATTATGTTTTTTACGTCGAAACATACGCAGTATTTTTACTTGCCAATTTATGGATTACCCCAAAACAGCAATTGAACAAATACTGTTACATAGAGATATGTATAACTTATAAATGCGCACGTTAGCATATCGCGGACCACGTATTGTTTCCCTGTGACTAACATCCATGCGTGCTAGCATATTATGCAGTCTATAAAACATGTCCTATATGCTACATGAATTAATTTACGCAGTATTTACGTGTAAAAATATTTTTCTGAAACCCCGCTTGTGGCTATAAAGCTAAACTGCTATACGGTCATAAACCATTGTTTTACAACTTAATATCAACATTAACATTAATTATCAAATCATAACTACATGTACTATAATATTATATTTCATGTTATTAGATAGATTAATAGCAGGTATTTATCTCGTTGTTTTTAAAGTAAATAATGATTCGTCATTTTAATTTTAAGTAGATAAAAACACTTGTTAATCAGATAAATATCGATTGCACATTTTTAATCATGAAATAGATGTTGAACTGGTGATCGAAAGACGCCCCATCCGAAATATAGTCCCAAAGATAAATGTTGATCGGCGACAGTTTTAGCTCTTTTGCATTAATATTATATTTACCTTTTTGACTCCTTCCAAAAAGAACACCTCGCATTATCCAACGAATTCTGAATATAAGGAACAATTTTGTTTTAGGAAAAGTTATCTATTATTCTTTAATCTCCACAAAATCCTATAAAAAAACATTTACAAATACATAATTATATTATGAAAATATTACAAAAATATAACGTTTTCGAGAACTATTCCAAGCTACTGCCTGCCAAAGCTGTTAATGAACCATATCAGGAACCAAATAAATTATATATATGATAAAAACAAATCTGGAACCTCTTGCGATAGCCTTATAACTTAACGGTATACCGGTTGTTTCATGAAGAATTAACCAAAGTGAATTATGTTTCAGAAATATTAGTTACATATATTCAATAAATGCACGCATTCTTTTACTTGGGAACCATACGCCGATTGTCATGGAAAGGCACTACTGTGTCACTTTAAAGGTTCTATCATAACCGCCGTATGAATACATCTGAGTATGTTCCAAATTTCACAATTTTGGTGTTTAAATGATGAATTCTGCCTTAGCCGATGCTAAAGGGCGCGGCAGGTAACTTGCACTTACTTTCCAGTACCGTCCATGGACAGGCTCAATCAAACCGAGTCGTGTTGGGCTTTCTTTAGGGATTCTGTTTTTCTCTATTATAATGCCCTTCCATGTAACTATATAAAATTGCATGGTATTGAACAATTTTGAACATTTGTGAAAAAGTGACTTACGTTATACAACTGAAATTGAATTTCCACTGGGCTGACAAGTTGTCGCTTAATGTTGGGATAGAATGTAAATGATATTACTGGAGCATTCAGCTGAAGATCATCGGACCTGATGTAACAATAAAAATAAAAGCAATGAATTTATTTAAGGTATCAAGCATATGCATTTTAAAATATGACTTAAACAAGCATAATTCAAATAGATATTTATAAAACAAACTCAGTACAATGATTAAAAGCAGTACGGTATTAACATTATGACGTAAATGTTTAATCAATCTACTAGACTAAGTATGATACATTTAAAGAAAACCTTTAACTTACATAGTGATGTTAGTCTTGTTAGCTGAGGATGGTATTATCAGTGATAAATTTCTGTACATAATTCCACTAAAGGATTCGGCGGTGCCTGCAAAATTTCAACATTAAATGCACTTCTCATTAAATATAAGAATCATATAGCGTATTGATATATTTTCCGATTAAAAAAAGTAGTAGTGCTAGTGAGAAAAAATAAAGTTATTAGAAAATAATAATTATTATGATTTAAAGAAAGGCGACTGAAAAAAAGTTATTTTATATCTGCAAGTCTTTTTCAATGTGTTGAAAGCGAACTTTATACGACCTCTTGTCACGTGTGGATGTATATATGTGTGATGTCCCCCCTCCCTGACAAGGCGTCTTGTTGCAAATATTCAAATTGACAGAAAATTGCGGACAATGTTTAACGATCTTTATTTTCACGTATTATCGTGAAAAAAAAACCACCAAATATTTCAAGATATCAAGGATTTCCATAAAATTGGCGAATATTCTACTCATACAACCTTTATAAAAGCTTTTACTTGTTAACAATCTACACTTTTAATATTATTATGTTTAACATTCGAAACCTTTACTTTCTTTGCCATCGTTATTTTAAAATCATATTTTTATACATGTTATTAATCGATATATACTGTCACAGTTAATCACGAGCCCATCTTTCCTTGATCTAGCCCACTCTGCGACACTTTCTTTTCCATGTTCAGGGAAATTCAGAGCTTCGTTACATGATTGTACAGACGCCATCTTTAAATCTGCAACATAATATAACAAGGGAGCCATAATGGCCCTAGATCGCTCACCTGACCCATAGAACTCATCTAAACAATTACTTAGACAAGCATTCTGACCAAGTTTCATGACAGGTAAGTCAAAAATGTGACCACTACAGTGCTTACAAGGATTATCCCTATTTGAGCAGTGTGACCTAGTGTTTGACCCCAGGTGACCCTTATTCGATCTTGATCTAGAAATCATCAGAATAAATTTTCAGACCAATTTCCAGGATATTTGAATCAAAACAGTAGCCACTAGAGTGTTAACAAGATTTTTCTATTTTTAGCTCGAGATGACCCATGTTCAAACTTATCCGAGCAATTACCTAGAAAAGCATCCTGACCAAGTTTGATAATAATTGAGTGAAAAATGTGACCACTAGAGTGTTAATAAGGTTTTTCTATTTTTAGCTCCTGTGACCTAGTATTTCATCCGAGATGACCCATGTTCAAACTTGACTTAGATATCAATAAAACAAACTTTCAGACCAATATTCAAGATATTTACATCAAAACAGTAACCACTAGAGTGTTAACACGATTTGTCTATTACAGCCTCTGTGACCTAGTTTTTCATCAGAGATGACCCATGTTCAAACCTGTCCCAGGAATAACCTAGACAAGCATCCTGACCAAGTTCGATGACAATTGATTTAAAACTGTGACCACTAGAATGTTAAAAAGGTTTTTCTATTTTTAGCTATGGTGACCTTGTTTTTTATCCGAGATGACCCATGTTCGAACTCATCTGAACTATCATCTAGACAAGCATCCTGACCAAGTTTGATGATGATTGAGGCAAAAATGTGACCGCTAGCGTATGGACGTACGACGGACATTCAACGATCCTAAAAGCTCACCCTGAGCAAGCTCAGGTGAGCTAAAAAGAGGAAGTTTAATATCTCGGAAACATTAATTCTAGCAATTAAGAAAGGTAGTGTTACCAGAAAATCATTTCTACACAATACTTCTTTGTGAAGTTACTTAAAGTTTGAAAATCAATTAATTTCTAATTTTAAAAACAGAGGCGTACATAAATTTGACTTTGATATCTCAGCAGTGACATTTTTGGATGATGTCAAGATCTTCTCCACAAAACGATCTGTTGTCTTTAGAACAACGTCTGCCCCTGTGCCTGTCTAAATAAACCATTAAATGATAAGAACAATACTTGAACCGTAATCTGCCTGAATCAAACTTAATAAAACATAATATAAACTACTACATACTGTATAAATATCTGCCCTAGAACCTGTCTTAATTCAAAAATGTCTGCCACGGAGCCTATACTATACTGACCAAGTACTTGTTTATGAAAAAACATATCATGATGGAAACACTGTCTGCCATGGAAATATTTAAATAAAACTTACTACGATGAGAACAATGTCTGCTAAGGAACCTGTTATATAAAACATGGCATGCTGTCTAAAGCTGTATAAAAATCATACCATGATAAGAACAATCTCTGTCCCGTAATGCGCAATGCATTTATATCTCTTAATGAAAGTAAAACTGCGTACATCAGGATAAGATGGAAAACCCTCACATTTCTCGAGTTCCGGCTATATGCGAGCTCGATGTTGCTCGCATAGCAATCTTTACGGTAACGCGAGTTCCTGCTTAAAGTGATGTTCGTCGGAAGTACTGAATTGACGCATCGCAACTTTCCGAATTACAATATAACGACAAGTGCCGAGGAATTCTAATTGAAAACGGATGCGTTGATTGGTCTCTGCGCACTTCTATGGGAACCATACTGGGTAAGGGAATCATAATAAACTGGAGCAGAGTATAAAAATCCGAATGACAGTTTTTAAACGGAAAATGTAAAATGAAAATGAACGATTAATTTATACTATTTCACGGTAAAAGTAAATCGAGCTCACTTTAAGGCTTTGCCTTTTTCATGTCATCTATTTTAATAGCTGGAAAGAAGTGATCTCTCGGCAGCATTGAAAACAGCACAATTACAGGAAAATTGCAGGATCGGTCTGATTGTGTCTGTACATGAAGTATAATGAAAATGTGCAACATCCTTTACACACCCTAGCATCGCCTTGACCGGTACTCAGTTTTCAACACTTAAAAGTGCTGGATTCAATGATCCCGAAGAACCAGAATAACATAACAACACTGAAGTGAAGTACGTGACAAATATTTACGGCTGCCACACCGCACTTAAAACTATATAAATCTTTTACGTAAAATTAGTAGGGGAAACGACGAGACGTTTAATAATTACCTGATTTATGTTCACCTTCCATGTCTGTGCTGTACTTTCATCCAGGATATTGTTGATTGTTTGTATATATGACTGAAATAAAGAAAGATGATATTTTATCTCTAAAAATAAACCAAATAATCATATGATTTCGCTAGTACTATCTAGTTTTATATTCACAAGGAATGATAAGAAGTTTAAAATGATAAACTATACTTTCCTGGTATTTCGGTATCTCCAACAGGCAAGCGGGTCTATACAAGCTGGTGAGTGAGCGAGCGGAAAGGAATAAATGCAGTTTCCAGAGAGTTATATAGTCTAGCGCGCAATTAATAAAGTTCTCTTTGGTGCTTGATAACAATTTCCGTTAAAGAGCAAAGTAGAACAGATGTTAAAATAAGCTGGGAGAAAATTGTTATATGTTTATTCTTATTACGTTAATAATTGCTCAAAAGGTCAGTGTTTGCGTCCCTATGTCCGCTAACCGTGGTGAGGCATATGTAGGTCTTATTGCACCAAAACAAGCTATATGATTGATTTACGATCTTACCTGTATAAGCATGTTTCATTAAATACGGAGTAAATTTAAACAGCCTCCAAACAGAAATTTACCTTGAGCATCCAAATTACAGTTTTCTGACGTGTTGGGCGCAGTTTCGCTGCTCAAAGAAAAAACTAGTTGACATGACAGAAATTTATCAGTAACCATAGTGATGATTTTTTTTGTCACTAAAATGTCTTTGAGTGATCAAATGTACTTACATCTGTTACATTTTCAAGGTTTGTTGTGTTGAATGTTACCACATCAACTATTTGTGCAAGTGTATTAACAGCTACGTTTATATCTCCAATTAAAAGTGAACTATTCTCGTCCGTGTCTGATGTCTCATTTGATAGCTCATCCAATACATCAACTATATTTACATGACCTGTCTTTTTGGCATCAATAAACTGTAATGCAAAGAAAAAGCAACTTTTGTACATTTTAAATAGATACAAAAAACATAGTCATAATGATTTTAAAAAATGATTACAATTTTAAGTTCACAAAGAAAAGCATTAATAAATCAATTCTTGATTCTAAACTACAGGTCTATTCAAATTTATTTATTATCTTATTTAGTACATTTTTCGCAGAATTCAATGCGGCATAAACAGATGTGAAAAATAGTCATTCATACTGTACATTTATATCGTTGCTTATGCATTGGAAAATTGTAACGATAACATATGAAATCTATTTTATTAAAAATATTAAGTCTTTTGTTGTTCGTAAAATATATAAAATAGCGTGTGACTTAAAGTCTTTCGATATTTTCTTGTAAGAAGCAAATCAATTTAAATTTCGAAAGGTTCTACTCAGGTGCATGATTGTGAATTAAATGATACATAAAAGGGCATCTGAGATCTTTCTCTACCATGGAATATAGAAAGTAATTGAATAAAACAAACAGCGCATGTGTGATAAACCAAAATCATAATTCTCTACAATCATTACCTTATCGTAAATGTTCTCAATTGAAGTTTTCGTACAGTTGTAGACGGGGTCCTGATAAATTCCAGTTTTGGAACAGAACCTTGTTACATTACCTGAAGAAAAATGAAAATTTTGCTTTGTATGGTTAAAGTTACAAAATTATAGCTTTGAAGGTAAAACATGTTTGACGCTAAGTGAAAATTAATAATATTAAATGCCCGCGTCATGCATTTTTTAGGAGTTGGAAAAGCAACAAAAGCATGAATTTGAAATCCCATTTTAATTCAAATTAGATTTTCTCTCTGAAAGATGACGCCTACAGAACAAGGTGGGGACTGGGTCCGAAGCCATACTGTCTATGGAGAGAGAACGCAGAAATAGTATTAAAAAAACTCTTCATGAAACGTGCAAAACTATTTAAAATTTATTGGTCTTAAATGGGCACATTTTGGATGGCTATTCTAAAATGTTGCTCGAAAAAAAAGTTGATAAAGTTCTTAGAGATAAAATATGAATTTTGTATGTTGAATAATAAAAATATGTCGTAAAAGTTTAATTATCTGTTTTTTAAAGACACCTAACATCGGATCATGTATCTGGTTCAATATACAATTATTTCATAATAGTTAAATATTTTTCATACAAACTACTATTTACGCAATTATTTATTGTATAAGAGACCTTCTATAAAAGACAAATTCATTTAAACTATTGTGCAGCGATTTTATTGGAGAGATACGAAGATTATCTACTCTTTAATAATGCCTACAATATATTATGAAACAGTTTCTTTACTTTTGATGACAAAAACTAATCTTTAAAAGCTAAACAAAATATACCTTTATATCCAGTCGGGCAATTATGCTTAGAGGTCTCCCCTGGGATTCCTGTATCCCATTGGATATGCCTGTAATCAGTATCGCTTAAACATCTACGAACTGAAATTGGTAGGTGTGAGAGTTAGAAAGAGATGTCAGTAAGAAATCGAAATAGATAATTATTAAAACGTAATTTTTTTTATGCATTCATAATCTCTATCTAAAAACCTATTCTTAGTTGCTCGCATTGTCCATGTTCCGTCTGAAATACATTCCCCTGTTTTTAAGTCGGTAAACTACTAGATGGCATTACAATTTTCCCGTTTTTTTTTGTTTTTGGGGGTGGGGGTGAGGGGGCGCTGCGTCATGTTGGTGCTGCATTTCGTCGCTTTTGTTCTCATATTTTTACATGACATCACATATGTTTTCTTGAATACATAATTTTCATGTAAAGAAACGAAACACACAAGTTCGATGAATTACCATTTTAATCAGGTCAGACTAAAGTCAGTCTAAATAAGATCTAAAAATATAAGTTCAAATTCTTAAAATTGCTGACTACTTTCGAATTATCCGGAAATATTCATGAATGCCTTGAAACAAAACTTAAGGTAGACCACCCCTTATGCATAATTATCACCTTGGAGAGTATTCAAATAGGCTATAATCATTGTCAACGGTATTGAAACTAACAACCTGGGTTCATTCCCGGAAGGGCAACTTTTTCCTTTCCTTTATTTTCTTTTTTACATCATTTATGCATCTCTCAGATCCCTTAAGGAAAGAAAAAAGTGTTTTATTTTAATTATATCATTATTTTAGGTATGTATTTGCTAAATAATGCCAAATTAAATAGCAAGTAAAAAGATGATATCAGATTTTATTTTAAAGCCTAATAAAATAAAAACTACACGGTATGTTTTTTATGTTGTAAGAACAACCAGTATATTTTAAAAATATAATAAGGGAAATTTTGAAAACACCCTTAAATTATGTTTAAGTTTATGGATATTTTGAATAAGGCTTTCTACAAAGGGAAATGGTCAAATAAATGATAAAAGTGGGTGGGTAGAGTAGGGTACTAACATTTTCATATAATTAACATCATTTTGTTTAGAAAAAATAATTTTTCTCCCGTAATGTGTTACCTGAATGTTATTATTTGTTTCTTGACAATGGGAAATTGGAAAATATTTTTCATAATGCTGATATTATAGATTATTAAGAGTTTCCTCATTTCTTAAAAGGAGCCCTTCGAACAGCAAAGTTTTAGTTCAGAAAAATGCTCATAACTCATAAACCAAACGGTACAATTTTGTTAGAATTTTGCATACAGGTGACCTTTAACGCATATGTTGTCAATTTTCCAGTTCTTTATAGTGCCAATTAGAGTTGGTTTACCTCAACGGAAATACTTACATTCAATAACTAAAGATAAAGTGGTAATTGATGTTGGATAGACTATGTCTAAAGCTTGAACAGAAATAGTACAAGTCTTGATGTCGTTAGGAACTCTATTTTGAAGCTGGACCGATCCATTATTAGTGATGTTAAATACTGAAAAAAAGCATTATGTCATTGTTATAATATTGTACACGAATATAGAAAATGCATTGCAAGATCCATTCGAACAATGTACATATATATGCAATACAATAGCTTACACTTATCACCTTTTTAACCTTTAAACATTCTGATGACCGATGAAGAAAAATTAAACGTTTGGTATTAAGTAGAAAAAGACCAAGCAGAAAGTAAAATATTTTAAAATGATGGAACAGTTGTACATTAACCAACCAGTATTTTGGTCGAGTTTTTGGCCGGTCTCAAAATTTTATTTGAGGAATCTGACCATTCAAAATAAATGTCACTGTATGCTATCAAGGAGCGCATGCGTCCACCTAATACAAGCAGAATTCATAACTTTTTGTATGAAAAACGATACTTATTCGGGGCCTGGCCTTGGTGAGGAACATTTTTAATAAAACCATTATCTGTAATAAGCAATAATACTAAGATTATCATGCACCTTCAGGAAGTCAAAACATGTTGACGAGTGACTTATCTAGAAAGGAAGTAAATTATTTTGGTTATGATGAAATACTTACGACGTTCAACAAATTAAAACACAATTGTACAGGTGTTTAACTTACAGTTACAGCTGTCTGATCTCAAAGCGTATGTCACTTCTTGGGAGTAAAAGACGGCACTGACGTAGTTTCGGGCACGGCAAAAATTGTCTAAACTAGTAACCGTTTCGCCCTTTCTTGTCATATAGGTTTGGTTGTATAAAGTAGGATTATTGCAAACTGGCTCGATATCACCGATGTCTGTGACTGTGACATTGATTATTGAATTGGCACTTAGACCACCGCCGTCCCTTACCTTGAAATACATAGACATATTTTGACAAGCAACTCTATGATAAAAAAAAAATATTAGAAGGAGAAGAAATATCAGGATGGCCATGCCCGATAAATAATATGGATATAATTATATTGGGAAGATCTACATGGATATACATAATTATAATTAAAAGCAGGGAACAAAGTCAGACCCGACTTTTACGCCATTCATGTGACGGGGCTCCTTGCCGGTGGTTCTTGTTACTTGGTGGTTTCGGGGTTGAGTTCATTGGACGCTGCCTTTCCTTGTTGATCTTGTTTATCATATTTACAGCCGTGGCCGGTAAAAGGGATTGTGAACGGTAGCTTTCACTTCCCAGTTCGTCCACATGGTCAATGAACAAAGTTAATCAAACCGAGTCTTTTCTTTCAGTTTTGTCGTTTAAGGCGTTCTTTAGCGAATCAATTTTCCCTATTTTGAAACAAATCCGACATACATTTGTATTCCCTTTTTGGAATTTAGAATTGAAATATTAAGGGTATGTTCTATGCAAGTCTGTATCAAAGCAAATAAGATAATATGAAAAAAATAGTCATACATTAAAAAAATCTATGACATAACATTTCATAAAGTATGAATTCAAGATAAAAATTGTATTATGCACGTTGTCATTTATAAAATTTATAAGAAAACAACTCACCAAAACATCAAACAGGAAAGTAGGTCCGCCTGTATTTTCACTGTAAGTCTCCTGACTGAAAATGATTTCTCGTAGTAAATTTAAGCAAATCATAATTTATCAAAATATAGACAATAATGAAGTAAGTAGATATCTTACAATTTCATAAAGGAAATTGAACACTGCATCAGCCGGTGGTAAAAATGTGGACGGTACCTTGCAAATGCCGTTTCGGACGTTCTAAAGGGATTCATATTTTCTCTCTTTTATTTGTTTGCACACTATTGTCATTCGTTTTTAATGCTGTAAAAAAATTCGTGCACTGCATTTATTGTCGTGAGAGTTATTAATAAAAACAAATGAATTATATATCACTTGTAGGGGAAATCTGTCTCAAATAAGAAAACAAAAGAAAAGGCCGAGTAACCGGCGTGTCGTGTAAAAGAATGATCATTAAGTTACCTTAGTAACGTAATACCGGCGCACGACAAAAAATTGGGCTAGTTCATTACTGTAATTGCATTAATTGTTTGTTGCTGTAAAGTGGCATTTGCTTTTAATGTTATAATTTGTTTAACTGTCAATAGAGGAATGATTAATGTAAAGTATTTTGTAGTTTTTATTGTTCTTAGGCAACGTACATGTAACATATTCCACCAGTGCACGAATATATTGGACAACCCTCGTCACATGCGCCGGCATTATACGGACGGACGCCTGTCTGACCAGTTGTCATCGTCTACCGACTCTCGCCCTTTTACAGAGCGTTTGTGCCATTTAAAAACCAGCCTTCGTGACACTGAACTTGTCCAGCTTGCCCTTTTAAGTTCTTTGTAGGTATCTGTTGGTGTTTTACCAATATTTGCATAAAATTTAATGATTGTCCGTATTTCCAGACGTTTAGCGACTGACATTTTTCAACGTTATTACATTATTGACGACCACACGGAAATGTTTGTTTACGACCGTTACAAAATGGCAAATGAAGTCATATTTTCTAGTGACGTTAGGAATACGTACACACACTTTTCCCTGAATTTTAACGTTTTATATGTAGTGTTTAAAGAATACCGTGATGCATCAAAGTAATGAACTAACCCATTTTTTTGTTGTGCGCCGGTATTACGTTACCAAGGTAACTGTTTGACGATTCGTTTTCACGACATGCCGGTTACATGTTTTTTCTTTTGTTTTCTTATTTGAGACATATCTCCCCTTCAATTGATATATAATTTTTGTTTTTCTATCAAAAACCCTTACGACAATAACTGCAGTGCACACATTTTTTGGACAACCCTCGTATATCTTATGTTATAATATAATAAGTTTTAAAAACAAGTTTTTTTCATAATCTTTATTCTCGAAAAAGTTGTTACATAGAGTATCTCTGTTTTTTAACTGTACGTAAAGAGAATAAAATACTGTTAAACAAAAAATGATGCTGCTTTTTCAAGTAGGGTTTTAACCGCCTACCAATGACTTTGTGTACGCGCTGGCTTTGAATGATATTTACCAACACATTTCTATTTATTCTAAACCTTTGGAATATTCTGTTTCATCAGCCGTTTTGGAAAATGTATATGTGCTAAACAAAACACTTATATATCATTCCAATTGTGTTAAAATATAGCATTAAATGCCAAATTTTATAAGCTGACTTTTTTGAACGAAGAAACGTATTAGTATCTAGTTTTCATAAAATGTGTATCTTATATTTTAAAAAAGGCTAGAAAGTAGCTTTAAAGGTACGATTTACCTGTCCAAGAATTTGTCCGCGTCCAGCACTGATGCTGTCTTGATTTGGATAGTATCGATTGATATTCTTTGTACCTCAAACAATCCATTTACCTCTATATCTAGAAAATAAATTTAAGTATTAGATATCGCATTTATACAAATCTACGTACTTTTTTGCAAAAGGGACGTGTTTTGTTTTTTGTTTGTTGTTTTTTTTTGTTTTGTTTTTTTTTTGGGGGGGGGGGGGTTGTGTTTCACTTTTTTGTTGGGGGGGGGGGAGGTTGTTGCTGGGATGCTTTTGAACGAAACGGATCCGAGCAAAAAACCATATCAGTTCGGACCATGTTTTTATTGAATTTTTTTTATAAGTGAAACAAAAGCAATATAATCTTTCAATATGCTTCCAATAACTAATCAGAAAAGTGTGAATATATAAGATAAATCTCATTTCAATAGCCATTATGTTACAATCTTGGGTCCCCGCGACTATGTGGTATAGGTCATCGACTTAAAAGCACGTATTCGTCACTGCTGAGGGTTCAGTCGCAGCTTATACCACCACAATTGCTTGAACATAATTGTATGTTAAGTTGGTTGAACACAGTATCCGTTCAAACCTGAATTGATATTTATTATGATAAAGTGACTTTTAAGCTGAACTGTAAGGATTACACAAAATTGGACTCATTGAAGATCATTGTTCTGCGCCCACAGGCGCGGGTCTATTTGTGTTTTCTACATTTCTTTTTGTACATGGACCCGATTTTTATCAATTTATCTCTTCGATTTACGGCTAAAAAATTAATTCGGAATCAGGAATTCATTCCAATTTCTGTTATTAAATGTCATATGTTGTTTCCCCTGATTATGAATGAATGAGAGTGTGAACAAATTTCACGACTCCATCGCTGGGAAGGCAGTATAAAAGACAAAATAAAAAAAAATCTAATTTGGTAATTTATTTCTTACATTTGTATCTTCTACAGGAAATTACAAATTATTTTGTAGTACACAGTGGGTTATTTATTTTATTATGAATTCGGAAGCTATTAATAAATGACAGTCAGTAATTATATATAAGTAGTTTATGTTTTACGAAACGGTCAATCGTGTCGCGCTATGGTAATAAATAGCAAACTGGAGAATTATGCACGAAATGTAATGCAAAAATATTCAAGAATGAATTGCACTCTTTATAAATTTATAGAAAAAAATCTAAGTAGGCCATTTTGTACAGATTGTCATATTTTAGTATTATCAGTTTGAAATTGTCTTTTCCGTATATTCTTTCCGCTTTTCTTTCTTTACGGCCATGGTTGCACTTATGACTTTTTTACCGTGAATATTCAAATCGGCCTAGTTCTGGCTTCCATAACTTTATATGTCGCTTTTATTTTGACTTTGTATGACAGTTAATAGGTCTAACAGTAGTATACTATAAAACTTATACGCAGTTCAAGTCTCTTGAGCTAAAATCGACTCTGATTTCCCGAATTTTATGCTGCTTTATATTTTGTGTGAAGGCAATCGGTTTTATGGTAGCTTGAGTGGAATGTTGATTTGTCGAATATTGTGACATTTTGTCGACATAAACTTTCGTCTGCAGTTTTTACATGAGTTTTTATGTGTAATTGATAGACATGCAAACAAACTAGTAGATTGACATCCCAATTAATCACTTAATAGACTTTGTTTATTTTGACTAGGTCTACTGTTTTATATGTTCCAAAGAAATACATTAAATATTCTAATCTCTAGAAAGCCCACCAATGTTCATGATGAACAATGTCTTTCGTCCGCCCACTCAGAAATGATATACAATTCTGGTCAAATTCAATTAACCTTTGAAAAGTTTATAAGAATATTTGGTCATCAGATGTCTTCTTGTTCATCTTCGCTTGCTTCATTTTCTGCTTAGATGCCCTGTGATGCTTTGCATCATGATATACTATTTGGCGCAAAACATGTAACGGACATTTTGAAAAATAAAGTTGATGGAAGTTCTTATTTTGGCTTTAGTTATTTACATGTGGATATTTATTTACATGATTAGTTGTTGATATTTTAAGAAAATGAGTAGCATTATAGGTGAAAGAAAATATACATGCTTTAATATTCTTTATAGTATAATATTACTGCCTACAGTAGTGAAACAAACAGAACGATGTTGCACTACTCTCATGTCACATTACAACTTTTGTAAGTCTTTTTTTGTATTGAAATTATTTTTCTTACCAGGTAGGCATCAGTGAAAGCATTTTTTTATATTTAATATCTGGCCCTCTCAAATGGACAGTGCATACCATTAGTATAATTATGCAAATTTAAATGATTTACAAACCATGCGGAATAATGTACAATAGTACTTAATCTAAATAGCAAATAATGTGCGTAAAAATGATTTTGTAAGGTATCTGTAATGAGCGCATGTTTTGCGCGGAGCTTCTCAATTGCTGCATATTGCAGAAAAAATTTTTACTTGTTTATTATATGCCTAACTGATGTGTACGACACTCGGTATTATATATCAATGGGTAAGACCTACAGCATGTTTTTCGGTGCCTTAAGCAAAAAACAAACATGTAGTTTTTAACAAATGGCGGAAATTTGATTGTAAATATTATGTTTTAAGTCATTCAGCAGCAATTGGCTTGGGCATTTTAGCTTGCCAAACCATTTTGCGTCATTGGAATGATACTTTTAGTAAAGTAAAACATTGCAAACTCTATAAGCACATACATAATATATAGTGATTCTATATTCAGCTTTGTAAACAAACATAATAAAAGTGTGTTTTGGGTCACCTGGAGATCATTTAGTGTTAACAAAATTGAAAAATGAATCCCAATGCCACCAAAAGCTATTCAAATATTCCGTTTCAGTCGTACGAATATATTCAAGGGAACGAAACAGCAATAACATTGATACACCTTGCTATCTGCATCATCCATTTTACGTCATCTTCATAGCAATTAAAGAAATTTAAAGTAAAAGGGACAAATTTCAGCGAACACTACGGAAACTTGAATTTGAAAATGGAAAAACATGTCAAGCACTATATGATGTTGTAGATACAAATTAATTTTTTTTCAACACATATATATTCCATACAAATATTCAAATATGTATTATTTAAGTACATGTGTATCATGCTTGTTTAAATAAGTCTTTAAAGAGACGAAATGAAGAGGGGGCAATTATTTGCGGTAAATTTCTTCGTTACATGCGAAGATATTGTCATCAAGGTATGCTAGTACAAGTTAAAGTGCCAAGAGAGGTTTAAAAGACTAAATAAGCATTGACATGTGGCACTTAGTTTATTCATATTATGTATCAACCAGCTTTTGTTTATCTTCAGTACCAAGAAGAAAGACAATTTTCTGAATTTGGGACAATTTTCCTATTATCAGACATAGTGACAATTTGAAACACCTCTGAAAACAGAGGAATATTCTTATAAATAACTCCGTGTTTTAGAAGGTGAAGACGGTCTATTCAGTAAGGTTGGAACTCACTTATTACGCAAACAATTGACACTGGTCGATTGTTGTGTCTATTTGACAATGAACGGGTTATAAATGTGTAATTGTTTTCTGTTTATTAAAACGCGTATCATATAAATTCCGCAAAATAGTAAGTAAAGCTAACCAACTGAAGCATATTACTGCATATTGACATGAAACCTTCATTGGCACCCTTTAAATGACTTTTTGTAACAATGTTTTCTTTCTAAAAGTGCCAACAGTTAGTAAACATAAATGGATAGGTACTGGTCATATTCAATGTACAATTATTCCAAAAAGATCCAATTACATTTTGCTATATAAATCAAACTCCGGAATATTTTCAAATAAAAAAGACACATTTATATGGTCTAGCGGAAAAATATAAGTCTTTTTCAAAACAGCAAATATTTTAAAGTGTTTGGCAAATATAACTTGCCAAACATTTTTAAAAGATATTTCGACATTATTTCAGTAAATTTATGTAATAGTGTGTGGAAGAAAAGAGATAGAAGATCTATCAAATGAACGCAAGTAAGACAGTAGAAATGAAAATATATATTAAGCTTACACTGCTTTAATATAAATTTCAGTAAATGTAGGAAGCCATTACATCTGTTTGCTTTTAATTAAATAAATTTACCTGTGTGACTATCTAATTGAATCTGTAAATCTCCGAATTTTCCATCATCCGGGTCAGATATTGAGAGATGGGCTACTATTGTACCAACTGGGACATGTTCACGTACTTCAGTAATAAGATAATCCGGTAGAATAGTAGGTCGGTCATTCACTTCTTTCACGTCTATCCTTATTGGAACTCTATTTACTGTTACATTCTTGTACGGCTCTTTGAGTACACTGACATGTGCCTGTTGTCAAAAAAAAAAACATGACAGAATATGGAGTTTTCAAGTTTCAAATTTACATCTGCGAACATCCTCAGATGCACATTCGTGCAGTTGTTCAGGGACAGACACACTCTGGCCGTTGTTAACCGAGATTTGTTGTGAGATATAACTGAAACGTTCGTGGCGGGCATCGATTCTATTCCAAGAGGATCAACCTTAACCACTTTGCAGTGTTTAGAAATTATAGTTGCTCAGATTCATGTAGGGATTTTTTCACAGCCAACATGAAAATCGCATATATGAAATCTTCTGTAGCGTGTTTCAAAATACTATCACTAAACATTAAAATGTCGCACTAGGGTCATTCTGATTTCACTAGCATTATTGTAGAAACAACTTCAAAACTAAATTTAAAAAAAACGAGCTTTTTTGGGTATTATTTTTAATGGTTATATGTACTATTAGATTGAAATTTCAAAGATATTTTTTCACAGTAAAATTGTGTGGATCTGGCTATTCAATATTTCGTTAACAAGTTTTCAAGTTTCATTCAGATTTAATTTTATTCCATTTAACAAGTTTTCATGCAGACGAGCGTTTAGTCCATTTTATAACGATTTTGTCTTTAGATAAAATTAAAGAAAATATAGATTTGACAACAAATAAAACAGTTCAAAAGTGCAACAGCAAAGGACCAAAAATATATATATTGCCTTTAATAGTGTTTAATTGTAATATCACAACCCAAAACGAATGATCGGAGACGTAACATTCACTACGTCATAAGATTTATATTGACGACAAGTCCGATGGGATGAAAATATTGATATGTTTTTGTATGGTTTTAATATTCATAGAATTATGAATTAAATTAAAAAAGACGGTCAAATAACATCTGTATTGATTGTAAAAAATACTCAAGAAAAAGAAAATACATACTAAAAAAGGGGAAAAAATACTTTGAAAGAAAATTTCATTAACTTACATTCCAAGTATTTATATAGGGTGCATTTTTTATTGTTAATACAAGGTAGTTTAAATTTCCAGATTTCACGTTTTCTACCATAAAGTATCTGTGTTCGTTATATGTGATGTCTAACCGAAAAGACACGCTAATGTTGATCCAGTTGTTGCAAAAGAAACTAATTTTCGTAGAGCTGTCTCCTTTCGGAAGGTCGTCACTAATGGTTAGATTTATATAATTTGGTGTGCACTCTAAAATATAGAAATAAGAACTATGGATTAAGATGTTCAGACATTCAGAGATGTTTGAGAAATAAGCAATTAATATTTAACCTACGCGAACTAGAAGACATATTTGATGCCAGTATACATCCAGGCCCGAACAGTTTTTCCACACTGGTGGTAGCTATATATTTGTATTCTGCTAATTAATTTCCGTGAAATAGAATGTTCTAATTTTAAACCATGGCTATGGGCATCAATTTGAAATATTTCTTATACAACAATTTGCTTTGACAGAAAAGAATGTGACGCTTCGTTCATTTTATAGAGCTTGGAATTATAATAAAGCAGCTAACATGAGGTATTATACAAGCATAGACTTGTGTTCAGCAGACATTTTCACAAAGAAATCTTACGATTAATCTTAACTTTTTGACTTATGATAATCGTAAGTTAAATCTTAAGTCATATTCACAAAGTCACTCGTAAGTTAAAATTTTATCTTAAGATAAAAAATCACGATAAATCTTACGATAAAAACATCCCTAGCAACGTTCATTTGATATTGATGTGCATTCTCTATATTTGATTCCGGTTTTAAAATCAATAAATAAAGAGCTTGAAATATCTATTGAACACAATCAAATTTCAATAAGAACAAAAAAAATGATTCAAACTTATATATTTTATGATAATTATAAATATCTAAAAGATTCAGAAAGAAGGTCAACTATGTTATTAATAAATAAAAAGGTACCACTAGTACATGCTGGCAATGAAATCGAACTCACCAAATGTACAAATTATAGTTTTCAATAATACTACAGTATAGTTCATAAAATGATACACGGGGCAAAATGATCCATCGCGATTTTTCACGTGATCACGTCATCTGTGTGACGTCAACAATTTTCTCCGACAAAGCGTCCGTAGTTCGGTCATATTTATCGGAAAATACGATATCGTAAACTTTACTGATAATAAATCGTGGAGAAAAAAAATCGATTTTGGAGCTACGTAAGTAAATTTTGATATCGTTTAACTTTTGTTTAAAACAAAAAAAAAATAATTAGGATATTTTTGTTTGTATGTCTTGGTATGATACTATATAAATCCTGCTTTTGTAAACTTCAATAAATGTTTCTGAATTTTGATTAGTTTTTTTTTACATAATGCACATTGAATGTGAAGGGTGCTGTTGGGGCAAGATGATACAGTACGGCCGGGGGAAAAATGATACAGTGTATCATCTTGCCCCATACATTAAAATAAATTTCAGGATTTATGTCATCGTGATTCAACGTAGCCGTAACTATAAAAATATATCTATATGATTGCTTTTGTCTTTATAATATCATAAAAGTAATGAAATGCCATCATATTGTTTCAGAATGGTTCATAATTACGTCAGAAAAACCAATCGAGGTTGTACTCCAGGTGATGTGATACTAAAGGCCATCAGGTGTGTGTCGTCAGATGGAATGTCTATACACTATATATTCCTTATCCATTAGAACTCCCGAGGCCACGAGTTTGTCAAGGGCTACCAGTTTCAACAAGGAAAATGTTGCTTCCTTCTTTAAAAAGTTGGCTGAGGTGATTGACAGGGACTCGATACAACCTTGCGACATTTGAAATGTCGATGAGACGGATATTACTACTGTCCAGAAGCCACGGAATATCGTAGCACCGAAAGGAGTCAAACAAATTGGTACCTTAACTTCAGCCGAGAGAGGGGCACGTGTTACTATGTGTGCTTCTGTGAGCGCAACGGGAATCTCAGTTCCGCCTATGTTTAATTTTCCAAGGGGAACTATCACGATCACTTCGTTCGAGACGGGCCGGTCGGATCTATAGGAGCTGCTCATCCTAGCGGGTGGATGACGGGGGAGAATTTCACGACCTATATCAAACATTTTGCATCGCACGCACCACGATTGTCATATCAGTATTGAGACACTAAACCACGCAAAGTCAAACGGTATTGTAATGTTATCGTTCCCTCCACATTGCAGCCATAAATTGCAACCACTTGACAGATCGGTTTTCGGGCCCTTCAAGAGGTACGTCAATGAAACTCAAGATGCGTGGATGCGCAATCATCCAGGAAGCACTATGACAATTTACGATATTCCTGGACAGGTCAAAACAGCATGGCCTTTAGCTGCAAAGCCCACCAATATCATGAGTGGCTTTCAAGTGTCTGGTGTCTATCCTTTTGATGTCAATGTATTTGGAGAGACCGACTATGCTCATTGCAGTGTTACAGATAGACCTTTGCTAGACGAAACATTGAATGCGCCTACTGTCTCGCCTACTCATGCCGTGTGCACAGAAGGAACTCTCCATAATACACATCCGTATAATACGAATCGGTGGCAAACCTGGGACGAAATAAATCGTTTTATGAACGAAAATGGCAGAGAAGGTTTTCCTGTTGCGGGTGATGGACACTGTCTATTGCACGCCGTTGAAAAGTGCATTGCCTTTGAAGGGGTAGTCAAGCAACACACAAGGAACTGTGCGAAGGACTTGTCAATGAAGTAAAAAACCACATTGACTATTATGACGACTTCACGACCGACAACCAGGACGCCATTTCAGACATTTTGAATTATGTATATGACAAAAAATACAACACAAATATTGTTGATATGGTTTTGTCGGCTCTTTGCAACCTGCTTGGTGTGTCGGACATTGTGTACAGATTCGGGGACGATGGTATGAACATTCATGAAATGGGTCCTGGAAGACCAGGTGTCGTGTTTAACGGCGATATCCATTTAGATTTGATAGGAGACGGTGTAAATGCGCATTGCAATGCCCTCAGACTCAATGACGAAGGAACGGCAGAATCGACAGAATCATTTACTGAAAAAGGTCGCTCTAAAAAACAATCGGCCATTCTTACAGACACTCCTGAAAAGAAAGGAATTGAAGTGGAAATACTTGACAATGTAAGAAGTAATAAAAAGAAGAGCCTTCCTAAAAAGAAAAAGAGCCTTCCAAAGAAAAAAGGAATCAAAAGGAAGAGTAAAAATGATACCTCTGAAGAGGAGGAATGGTTCTGTTTAGTTTGCTCAGAGCCTTATTCTAATAGTCTGCCACGCGGAAAATTTATCCGATGTTTCGGCTGTAGGGAATGGGCTCATCAGGAATGCACAGGATTGAATAAAACGCAGACATACATTTGTCAGAATTGCGAATCCGATGATGACTTGTATATTTAAACACATAGCATAGTGTCTAACCGACATTCTGACGTATTTAAGACAAATTGACTAGCATAAACCTGAGCTTGAAACTTTTCATTTTATGAGATTATTTGATTTGTGTGACTGTTGTTAATAATTTAAGTTTTGAAAATCCATTTGAGCTAACAAATTGTATAGCAATTGAGCAAAATACTAATAGATCTATCTAATATGTAGCACCAAATATTATTTATATGATTGAAATACTAATTTTGAGAGCTATTAATCTTACTGTATCATTTTGCCCCGTATACTGAATCATCTTGCCCCGAGCACGGGGCAAGGTGATACACTCGACCGGCCTTATTAAATTGATTATTTCTCATATCTAAATAAGTTATTTCGAAATGTGCTTATTTAAAACAAAAGCCAATACATGGATGTACATGTATATTATTATGCAATAAAGAAAAAACACTCCAATAGATAAAGAGAGAAGGCAAAATGTTAAAAAGTGGACCATCTTGCCCCGGTCTCCCCTATTCATAAACCTCTCCACCATGACGTCATCAAGTCATGACGTCACAAATGATTATGTTGAAAAATAATTATACCTCAATTTGTGTAATTTATAGCATACTGTTTGCTTAATATATATTTGCCCTCCAACTTTTTGTTTGTTTTTATTCAGTTTAGGTAAGAGATACATGATATTTTACCCTTAAGAGAGAAATAATTACACTTACGAACAGGGAAGACCTATCGTAAAGTTACGACAGATTTTGCACTTTAGATTTTCTTAAGATTTTTTGTGAAAAGGAGATTAATCGTCAGATTTCTCTTACGATAAAAATTGTCGTAAGATTTTTTTTGTGAAAATGTCTGCAGGTCTATATATAATATATCATTCGGTCCTGAAAAATGTTTATCGTCCTCGGTTGATTACAAACATGAAATGTACAATGACCTTGTCTTAGCGCGTCTTATGCACTTGCTTATCCTCTTTCCCTACGGTCATAACGTATATAGATTTAACACGCCTCGTGACATCTTTCTAAAAGAATCTGCACGTTTCAACTCTATAAGATAATCTACACGTATCAACTCTATAAGATAATCTGTCAGTTACTTATATTATTTTTATCTAAATTTTATAACAACAGATTACATAGATTATATTACTTTGAACTTTGTTGTTGTAGTTTTTGTTGTTGTTGTTGTGTGTGTGTGTTTTATTTTTAGGGGGGGGGTGATTATACCACAATGGCCCATTTACATTATAAATATGATTGAACTTCCTGAATGTCTAGTGCGCAAATCATTGTAAAGTACCATTATGAAAATGAACTAGTTGATTGCTAATTGCGACAAAATCATACCGACATTTTTATATATAATGACCTATATCTAGTTATATATTACTATGCATTTTTTCCTCGTTATAACATTATTTGATTTAAAGCAGCACGTCTCAAAGATTTATGTAAATTTCATGAAAATTTAGAATGCTGCAGGGTGACATACCCTTTTAACAACAGATTACTGTACACTAATGGCATATAAGTATCTAAGCAGTGCTATTTACAGTTATTATAAGTCAGTGCAATGGTAAAATAGCTTTGACATTTAGTATATAAGGTACTTGAATGAATACAATTAGGCAATAGATATCAGTTTGAGTGTGTTGATGTAGAATTATGTTTGCACTTTAATATAATAATTAATTAATTAATTATAACGAAGTCCACAAGGAAAATAGTTTAAACGTAATTATTATAAGAAATATAATTAGTAATTGTATTTTGTATCTTCCAAACCAAAGCATATTTCAAATATGTCTTAAATATTACAGTAATATTTCTAAAATGTATACAACTTTTAGTTTCTGATTTGAACGATTTAAGGTAGAACGCGACAGATTGCGAACTTTCGAGTAGCGTTTTGAAAATTGGCATGTAAAACGTTGTCTATATTACAGATTAGATTCCGTTGATTTTATTCCAATAGTTTACGGCAATTTTTGTATATATGACGTTAAAAATTGACGATCAAAGCCTGTTTTTGAACATGACGTCGTATCCTGACAACTTTGACGAATATCGCAACGCCATAGGCTGATTAAATATCTTCTTAAACATTCGACGGAAATTTTTTTTTTCCTTGAAGCTTATATAAAATTATTGTTTCAAGCCAAAAGAATGTTTGATAAATGGAAAGAAAATGGTCAGTTTTGTGTAAAATTTGGCCACTTTTTCGGCTTTAAAGCGACTTATTAAAACATTCCTGATATGTGTTTCTTTTCTTTAAACGTCCTTTAACCTTTGCCCGCATATAGACGTGTTTCGACGGCTCCCCCACTCCTTTTTTGAGGCTTCAAACGGTGAAAAAAATGCCCTATTTAGGCCCCAAACACTATTTTCCGTTTGAGAAATGTTATTAAAAAAGTGACTACTTTTCCGCCCCCTATCAAAATGTTACATCAGGGGGTTGCCAGAAAGGGGATGTGCCCCCTTCTTTGGGGGGGGGTTGAAGGGGCGGCAGTCCCCTCATCGCCAAGAAAATTTTGGACATGTGACAATTGAATCTATTTAGGATAAAAAGGAGTGTACAAAAACGGTTTCCACGCATACATGAAATATTTTAAGATATATATGCGTGTGCAAAAACGGATTGTACTAATTCTACTTAGCTAAACATGTTTGCAGGTTTTTTGAAATAGATGATGTTTATGTATGAAAAAACGGGTTGCACTCTTGAATTAAATATATTTGATGTATTAAGGTATGTGCACAAACGGGTAGCGTATTGAAATTGAATAATTTTGTACAAGAACGACTGTTAATCTTAATATCATAAATAACGCGTATGGCCTCTACTGTATAAATATCTACGCCTACATTGTAATTAATTTTAAATGCAACCTCGAGCTGTTGTAAATCTAATTATTTATTTTAAGTAAATTTATATTATCATTACAGATCTAATGGCGATTAAAAATAAAAATGGTAAAACTGAACATAATCTACCTGCGATTTAAATCACATAAAGATCTTGTTGCAAAATAGTCCGCAAATGTTTGGTTTTAAACAATAAAAAATGCGATAAAAATCTTTTCAAGTCTTAAGTTATCTCAACCTAAAGGACTTATAATTTGCTTTTTAAACTTTGAGAATACATTTTATTCCATTATTTCCTTCAAATGTTTATTGGAAAACGCTCTGCACTGTATTAAGCAAACTCCAGTTGGTATAATAGCTCTCCCCAAAGATTACATCCATGAATATATTTCTATACGGGTATCTGTTTGAGTAAATATATCTTAATTTATAATTCTCGGGCCTGATCTTTATAAAGTCAGAGAGAGATATAAACAATGAAAATGAAATCCATGATGACTGTTGTCTCTTGCGATATTTAAGTAAAATGTAACCGTTAATGTTTGAAATTCATCCGGCGACTGAAAATCAGACATTTTTATAACACCACACATTGAAATCATCAAACTCATTCAAACAAAAAAAGTTTAAAATAGTTCTGTAGGACGACTAAACATCAAATGAATCATAATTTATGTAATCTTGCTGACGTACCATTTGCTTCCCGATAAGGACTCAAAGCATTTTGGTCACCGTCTGAGCATGCGCATTTGTAATCTTTTCGGGAAACAGGTAAACATAGATGGCTGCACGAACTTTGTAAACATTTGCTGAAAACTAAAGGAAATAACTCACTTAACACATATCATATTCTCAAATAAATCAGCTGTTATTTTCTTCATGGCATTGGACTAAATGCAAAATAGCATCATATTTGAATATAACACTTAGTGCCTACAACAAAATTTACACATATAGATTGGTAATGTTATATAATTTTGAATTTGAATCTCTGGCAAGAACTGTCATGTGGTCTTCATTTCTTACATATCAGACTGGATTTTCATCATTAAGTCGAGTAAAGTGCATGAAAGTAAGCGTATGAAATTTAAATTAATTTTTAATACCAATGAATAAAAATCAGCATACATTGCAAAATATTTATAACAATTTTAATCACGTGTAAATACTAACGCGTTTTATTATGATGAAATAATGAATGTAGAAAAATAAATATTATTGTGTCAGGCATGATCTTTACTGTATTCAAATTTGAATTACATAATGAATCTTAGACATAGACATGATATTCCCTAAGGATAAAACATTGGCCTAAAATGTCCTAATTAACTAGATTAAATTTTCATCATCTGTTAAAATTCTATGCAACTTATTTACATCTTGTCTAGACAAGAAATTCATTCGGGACAAAGTTCGTAAACGTCTGGTACAGTTCGTCAATTTATAACTCTCTGAAACACACCGTACAATCAAAATCGAAGACAACCGTTCAACGCGACGACTGCCGTACTAGTATATACATATCGGTATTAAAACATAATTGACGGGCGGTAAGTATTTATATATTTCAAACATATCCCAACTGTGTTCGAGAACATCAATGCTATAGATTTATAGCCAACATCTAAAGGAGCCTGCTAACAAATTTCGGGTCCTGTGCAAGCTTTACTTAACGTTAATTTGATAAACTATAACCATAATTTTCGATGAGATGCTGCATTTAAAAGTAAGTCACAAAAACTTAAATTTTCTCATGATAATAAATTAGTTTAAGACATGATTCGTAAACGTCAAATTTGTCAATAAATTTTCCAAACCATACCATACCTTCAAAAATCCTTTTATTTTCAAAGATACAGAGTATTTAAGTTTAAATGTCTTCAATATTTTGGTAACGTCAGCAAGCATTTGCCTGTATATAATGATAATATCGACATCCACTCATCATAAGCTAGAATGAATAACTAAGTAAACACTGAAAACCGTTTAACGAAATAACTGTTAGGACTTTCGTGCTATAGTAACTAGGAAAGAGTGAAAAATTGTTTAAATATACATTAAATCATGGTACTTTCTAATGGTACATAATCAATCTACACTGCAATAATTTTTTAATTGTCCGCAATATAAAATGATTAATTTAATAGTATATCAATAAATTTTAAGTATGCTTTTCATTGTACTATCCAAATAAACCTGTCGCTGTAAGAATGAACATATGTTAGAAATAAATAAATACTTACCGCCCGTCAATTATGTTTTTATACCGACATGTATATACTAGAACTGCTGTCGTCGCGTTAAACGGTTATCTTCGAATTTAAGTGTATGTAGGTTAAAGATCTGAAATTTATGAGATATTGAAAATTATTCTGTTCATTAATAAAAAAATACCAAAAACTGATTTTGCATAATTAGCACATGCGCTGTATTTTGGACTTACCAATTATTAATTAAGGTCCGTGACTTCAAAACTATCAAATTACCTGTCCTGATATCAGTTTTCTTATAACCAGTTATTCCAGTTAATTTAGAAAAGTTTGAAGGTCCAATTTGCTCCAGTTTCCCGCCATCTACACTTAATCTGCTTACATGTCTAGAAATTGAAGAATAATTCATTTGCATATTCATTAAATACGGAAGCCCATTATTGTCATTTTATCTTAGTAGTTATGTCTTATGATTGATGACTTATGTATTATGACTTCTGTCTTATTCCTTATGACTCGTGTCAGTTGTAAACTAAAAAGACGGCAAATAGACCAGTTTCATTACGTTCGGCCATTTTAGCGTACAGAAGAGGTACAAAAAAGTGCGAAAAGAAGACTTCTTTGGTAAGTGTTTAATTTTGAACAGTATTACATAATTATATTGTTTAAATAACAGGTTTTCTGTAAAATTATTGGAAAAAAGGATGTTTTAACGAGGCTCCTTATTTTGTGAAATATTTTGTGAACGTAACTCCTCCTCGCATCTGTTTCATTTTTTTTTTCAAAACTGTAAGACATTATTTTATGCATAGCAACTTGGAACTTTGATTCCATTGATACCATTTATAGTTTTTTAATACGGCGTTTTTAATATCTTTTTAAAGCACTAAGTAATTTCAAGTGTTCTGGACCTGAATTTGGTAACAGACATCTTATTACTTATATCCCGCCCGCTAAGCTCGTAGAGAAGATATAAGTACTGATTTTTTTATCTTTTTCTTTCTTTGTAATTAATACGATATAGTAATACACTCATGTGAAAAAAGACCCTTATTTTAATTTTAGAATTGAGATAAATTTAAAGTCTTCATAGTGTCAAATGAGATTTGCTTATACAAATGTATATGTAACTAACTGAGCGAGCGAGCTTGCGTCAAGAACGGAATCATTAATTGTATGACATATTTTTTTCTGAACGGTTTCTGTGTATGATGTGTTGCACAGTTTTGTATTATACTGTACTTGCCTCCCCAGCATTATGGTAATCCACTAAAAAGGATATACATTGTAATGGAAACAGGAAAGCTCCAATCTCTCGCTTTTGATGTATTTTTAAAATATAAATAATACTGCGATAAAATACAACAATAGATTCCACATATGTTTGAAAATTAGATCATCATTTGGCATTACAAATTTATTTTGAAATATCACATTTATGTTTTAACAGGTTCACTTCCATTTCTGATGAGTTTCCCATATTATTTTGTTCATCTGGAAAAGTTCTAGTTCTAGTTACATAACTTATAATTGTTTTAACATTGTTTTTCTTTTTTATTGATCTCGTTTATTCTTGCACCTCTTCTCTGACTTGTCTAAATTTTCTGCAAGTGTCATAAAGTCATCCTCCTGTAACTTATCTGTGGGATGCCTAGATCCAAGTACCCCGCTGTTTCTGCAAAAAGAGATATCAAGGATAATTTAATGAAATTACACCAAGCCATACATATCTTTCTAGAAATTGGATATTTAAATTATCTCTATTGATTTTCCATAAATTTATCTTTTCGAATATTTTCTGTGCTTTATTCTTCTTATTGGCCTGTTATGTTCTGAACTAAAACAAGAAAGCGTGTACTTCTCGCATTTACCTGAAGGAGAAATACTTTATATTTTAACAAGAATAATGTTTCACGCATGTTTATTTCATTCAAATATCTTGGTATGTCCTGAGCTTTACCTGGTAAAGAGGTAATTAGATAAGCAGGGAGAAATAAAATACTGCCATACTGTTTAAACACTTACCAGCGTCTTCTGTTCCACTATCTGATTTACCTCCAACGTCAGCCGTGTTGAATGCACTTGATAAAACTTGTCATTTCGTCGCTTTTTTGTCAAGTTATTATACATAAGACATAAGTTATAAAACAAAAGTCGTAAGTCATAAGACAAAAGTCCCAAGACAAAAGTCCTAAGACAAAATCACTTAGGGGCTTCCGTAATTATATATTTATGATTTTATGAAATAGCCCTTTGTGCCTAGAGGCTCGGGTTATATATGTAAACAACTCTTAACATAGAGCCATAAAATCTGATCGAAATTGTTGTGACTATAATATACATGAACATGTTGTTTAATCATGAATATAGTTATGGTAGTTTTATATTGTTTGAGGTCCCATACAATTTGGATAATATCAAATATAAGGTGACTTTATATACCGATGACATAAACCTTATATACAATGTATATTTTTTCAAATACATAATAAATCATAAATATACAATTAAAAAAAACGAATAAAAGCTTTAGTTATGTTTGCTAAGTACCAAAGAAATAAATTTTTTATTAATTAATTCTAATTAATTTAAACTCTCCCTACATATACGAGAAATTGAGAGATAAAAAGTATGAAACTGATGTTCTTCAGGTTATTTGCTCTACAGAAAGTCACTTTGAAAAGGTTGTGCCGTACTTACTTCCGGTACCAGTCTGTGATGTAAAGTTTATCTCCAACAAGCGTCATGCCTAAGAAATAAGAATTCGGTTCCGAGGACAATATTTTTCTCACCCATGTATCAATGTTGATCCGCCCAATAACGCCATGATATGCGTCAATCCAAAATAAATTCATACCTGAAATAAGCAGGTAGAAGACAATGACAACATCATAAATGTCATTACTAACTTCGTAGGATTCCGACTTCCCAATCGATACATGGCTTTCTATTTGTTTCCCAACGATTTTAAATGAACAGCTTGCTATCATCAGTAATATCTAATCCGAAGTTTGACGGAAAGGGTCAAGAAGAAGATGCCTAGGCTTAAATAAAAAAATAATTGTAAACACGTAGTTTTCTCTCTGAATATTCAAAAAATTACAGATCAATATCTTACAATGGGGAACAAAATAAAAGATATTTGCTTATTATCTACACATAAAAAGTCCGAACGGAACCACAGCCCCCTCGAGCGCTGGCATGCTCTTAGAGAACATGTATGACATGTTAAATTTAAATCACATTTAAATCAATAAAAATATACGTTTTTATAAGTCTAACATATTTAAGAAAAATCTTTAATCCGCTAGACGCCGCCATTTTAAAAATTTCGACTGGTTCTATATATGAGCAATTTGAAAAGACATGTAATAAAAGCGCTTACAAATTTCTGACGCAACAGTCGTCTTTCCTTAATTACACTTCCGGTATGGGTATGATGTAGACAATTAGAAGATAAATAGTTCATTGATAAGAACTAAAATTACGATGATTTATACTTTTTAATATCCGTTCTGATTAATAAGATTAATTATTACGTTAAAATAACGTGAAAACAACAACTCTGATTAGAGAGTAACAAATATGGCAGACGAAATATTCGGAAACACTCGGAAAACTTCGATGATAAGTTGTAACCACCAACATGTGCCTGCATTTACTCATGATTTACGACAGACAAAGTCACAGACAGATCTGGTTAATATCTAGAAAACTTTATGTTTGTTATAAAATCATAGGGGCTTTCTGCATCGTATGTAGCACCTTATGTCATATCATATACATGCCAATTTATGACGCATTTTAAATATGATGTAATGATTTTCATAGAAGTAACTATGCTGTCGGTAAAATTTAAATTATGCCACGTGTCTTCTAAAAATAGATAAAAATTGAAAAAAGCAATTACATTTTCTTTATATCATATATTCGCCTTATTTCCATTGGGACGACAGGGAATTGGTGCTACCAAAACACCCCTGTGGAACCAGGCAGACCAGAAGGAGAGACGTGCCACGATTTAGTCAGAAGTCATGGGGGCAGAGGAGAGTGCAAGACAGGCAAGAGCAGTAGAGATGGGAGCACAGGGAGCATGGACTACATGGAACACCACAGACAGGAATCTGACTTGGGAAGACATATGGAAGTATAAACCATTACGGTTATCCTTTCTTATCAGGTCAGTTCATGACCTCTTACTCATCCCAGCTAATATCCACTGGTCGGGACTTATAACGGATCCAGCATGTGACCTGTGCGATCGCCTGGCACTCTGGAGCATGTACTATCTTCCTGTTCCACTGCACTGACACAGGAAAGGTACCGATGGCTTCATGGCAACGTCCTAAGGGAGGGAGGTGGCTGACTGGCTTGAAGTTGACAGGAAAAAGGAACGAAGGAGTAACCCCAAGCTTTGTCACATCAACTTTGTGAAACCGAATGAAACTGCCAAGACAAAGTCGCCACACCAATCATCAATTCTAGATGGCACACCAGCTTTGAACATGGAGGTGGACCTTAGCAAGAAGCTTGTTTTCCCAAGCATTGATCAGACCAACTTAAGATCATATATTGTATTGTGGTCTGAAAAAGAAAAGAAACTCGTCATGATTGAGTTAACAGTACCTTGGGAGACAAGATGTGAAGAGGCCTACGAGAGGAAGAAAGCAAAGTATACAGAGCAACTCAACCAACGAAGACAGAGAGGCTTGCATACATGGCTGTTTCCTATTGAAGTTGGTGTGCGCAATGTGTGAGCCGACTGATGACAGCGATAGGAACTACTGGAAGGGATAGACGTAGGACAATCCAGAGACTGAGCCAACCTGCCGAGCGTGCGTCTAGTGGCTGTGGCTGATTTACATGGATAAGGGCCGAAATATCAATGACGGCGAGCACCATGCTGATAATGGAGGTCGATCAGCAATCTAGAAGCACCACAGACAGGAGATCTACAGAAGATGTACATAAGGTGCGTTCGAGATTGTATCTTACTCACCAGAGTGACGTAACGGGATGTATGGTATCATTTTTTAGAAGCGGGTCAAGCGCTATATTATGAGAATATTGGGTTCCCGTTAGAACGCATTTAAATGTATTAAATTTTAGTTCCATAATGACGCATGTCAGAGTTCTGCCCTCCAGTTGATTTCAAGAGTGACGCTAAAAATTACCCAGTCGCATTGTTATATTTTGTCGCAATCTTGTTTTTACAGCATAGCCATAGAAGGACTTCTTCCCCAAAAATTAACATTAATTTTGCAAAATGTAACTAACCAACATGTTAATTTTACGACATTGTTGTGATAAAAGTTTGATATTTGGAATAAATATTTATTGTTTTGAAATGTACCTTTTGCGTACTTAAGGTAAAGAGAAACTGAATCTTCTCCGGATATCAAATTTTGGATGCCGAATTGTCAGATTATGACTAAAGTCTTCATTATATAATTCAATATTGCTTATTTTTATCTTTTAGGTTTGAATTGTTTAATTTGCTTATTCATTCATATCTGCAACATACATTTAAACCACTTTATTGTAAGGCTTTGGCAGAATATTCAATTTTTCTTCAAGGCTTTGTCTTTCTTCAAGGTATCGACAGAATGTCATTTGTTTTCTCCAAAGCTTTGACAAAAAGTTTTGTTTTTTTTCTTCAAGGCGCTGACAGATTGCATTTGTTTTTCTTCAAAGCTTCAGCACATTTTTAAGGCTTCAAAGAATGTCAAATATTTGAAGACTCCGTCTTTTTTATTTGAGGTTTTCTGTTTCAAAAGAGACGTATTGTATTTGCTGTCTCAGTAAAAGTCCTCATTTATTCATTTTAATCCTTTTCCTGTGACTTTGTTTTGATTGTTTTCATATGTTACATTTTGTGTGTATATTAAACATAACAAATACTGTAAGCACTTATTTTTAATTATATCAATTAATTGCATTTTCTGCAATATCATTATTTATTTGTTCGGGCTATATAAGAAGCATTTTTATGTACCCAATAAGTTCCTGTTAGTGATAAGATAAACATGTGCAGAACGATATATTAATACAGAATATAATAATAGCTTTCATGTTTCTACGGAAGATAGGTGTGACTTATTTAAAAAGATGAAAATAGTTGAATCAGAAAACCAGGCCCGTCACAAATTAATTAAAAAGTATGATAAACTTTGTAGTGATAAAATTTTAACAAAAAAATTAAAGAGAAACAGGCAGAATAAATGGTAGAGATGATGTTATAACTGTGCCTTATGATTTACAAAATGTACATCTCCTGCCCAAGTGTAATGTAAGAAACTAATTCTAGACGGATAAACTGTCAACCATATTCCTCTAAGCTTGTTGTGCTTATAACTGAATATTACATGCAGCTATAGGTGAAAGAGAAGCAATCGATATTACAAGTGGCAATCCTCAAAAAAATTAAAGCTGACTATACTTCAGTTCAATTATTTTATATTATGGACAGATGCATATGTGCCTTAGAATAAAAACTCTGTTATGTCTGTTGTCCTGGAAACATTTATGAATGACTGTAATTAATATTGAACTGATTTTACAAAAAAATGGTTGTCCTGGACACTATAGCGTACAGTAAGCGGATATCATTCACAGTGATATTGAATGGGTAACGCGGGTTTCAGAATATATTGTCCAATCGGACTGAGAAGAGTCTTGAAATCGATGCCTCGAAGAAGCCCAGTCCGAATTATTCAAAAGCAGAAGAAAGATTTGTAGATTATTAAAGGTATATATTGCCATTAAACCATTAAAGTTTAACAAAATTCCCTTTAAGTGCTTGAAATATGAGAATTTTATGCCATTCACATAGGATACAAACTTTCATTTAGCGCGTATGACTTGAGTATCTAGTATTGAATACAAACAAAGGTACTCACAAAGCAACAAAATACCGTTATTGTTTACCAAAACCCTGCACTTAATAATAAATTCCAGGTTATTCCGAAAAACAAAAAAGAGGCCATAACAGGCAGATAAAAACATGCCAGAGGTAGACAAACAATTCTACAAAGCATTAAAATTAATTATCAATTAGTCAGTACTTCAAGAAACACTCAAGTTTGACTTTTTTCGAGTTATTCTCATGACAGTTATGTTATTTCAAATCGCATGTTTTGGAAGAATTGTGTATGCCATTAAATCCAGATATTGCAAACGACAATATTCTGTTATAATTGTTATTTTGATAATAAAAACTTTGAAGCAATTATATGTTGGAAAAGGTCAATTGACTTTATTGCAAAGCCTGGCACGAACAGTCAGGTATTTCTTAATTGACAATTTACTTGATGGTTAAGCTAGAAACATTTGTTTGAATGGTGACGACCATTATTCAAGATAAAGGTAAATGAGAAGTTGGATGATGTAAAGATTTTGTTCCGTTTGTATATAGAGCTCTGAGTCTTATTAATGTATTAAGTCTAAGTTAACACATGACCAACATTGTTAGATTTTATATCAGTTTCTTCTATTCTTTGTTTCAAATTGTTATGGCAATTAGCCTTAAAATAAAAAAAATACTTTGTTTGATTTTCAGAATTGCAATTTTCTCCGATGATTTTGATGTCTTGGTCGATTAGAGATGATTTAGATCTTTGCTGCATCATATTTGTTGAAGCTATAAACCCGCTAATTCAAGTTAACACAGTTGTTCATTGAGTTAATGTATTCGGGTTGTAGCCAAAATCTTTAACCGATACAATACAATGCACTTTTTTCAGCTTTGAACATACAAAATTTGTCACAGTAACATTCAAGAGAAAAACATGAGAAATAGTTTGCACAGGGTATAAACTGTTTGAAATTCATAATAATGCTTGTGACTTCATTTATAGTTCATCGAGCAATACCGTATAAGTAGTTTTTTCTGCAGCGAATTTATTTCTGCGTTTTCTGCGGTCAGTTTCGGCACAAAAGAAATAAGAACAGCAGAATATTTCTCTTATCTGCCACGATATGTATCATACATTGTGACCTGTTTCGTCTAAAGTAATAATGACTCACAGATTATAAAGTTAAGCGGGTTTTCGAGTTGTATAAAATTGCTGTCGGCTAAGTATGTAATCTGTGTTTGTAAGGATGTACTTTTTGTTAATTATGCTAATTTAAGAATAAAAATATTTCAAACCATTCCATCCTTATACTGCTAAATAATTGTTGTATACTTTAATTGTCATCCGATTTACGGTAAACTTCTATCAATTTAATTAAATTAAAGATACCACCGGGGTATATTTTTCACACATCACTTCACGCTGATCAAAGATGTATACCTTTCTATTGTTGCGCATTATATTTGTTTGCAAGCATACAATATAATTGTTTGTAATTACTATACAGTTTTGCGGTGACGACGATAAACAAATGCGAACGTGAACATGCAAATATAATAGATAGTGTAATGTGACTTAGACTTTGATAAGACGAGTCACAGAATTTAAATCACGTTTTGTCCAAAGAATGTGCCGCAGAAATAAAGTCCACAGAAATAAAAACATGCTGAAATTTGGAAAAAAACGCAGAATTTGGAGCCCGCAGAAAAAAAACACTAATACGGTAGTTACAATCATGATAACGTACAAGGTTGAATTTTTAATCATTTTTGGTAAAAAAAAAAAAAATTCGATTCATGATAAGGTATGAGACCTTTTTTCAATCAAGCAGTAAGCAAACATTGACACATCACATATTTGTTAATTTGTCGTTTCGTGGATGAATATTTAAATAAAAAATACGTTTTCTTTTTGTTCTAGAATTATAAATATCGCTATACAGTGACTGATAAAAGGCGTCGAATAATATTTGTTTGATATGTTAAATCGATATATTGTCAATAATATCGTTTTGGAACATCCAAAAGTAATTCTGCCCAATTTCCTGTAATACAAGTTTAACCTGATGAGCTCAGCCTCCCCCTCCCTGTTTCAAAACATTATTATTGGAATCATACTTAAGCATGCCATAAACTTGACGTATTATACTAGATTCGTCTGAGAATTGTAACATCCGTAACGTACGTATTACAATTAACGGCACTCTGCCCAAATCCGCATAGAGTGAAGAGCCATTTGTTGTCATTTTTACGCATAATAATTTCCTTGGAAACGTGTGAATATGTTCTAGGTATGGGCATGGGTTTTAATCATTGAACTAACTTCCAAAATGGAGAATCGATGAAACAGATATGATTTTTGACTGATAGGTAGATCTATTCTATAAATATTGAAAGTAATCTATGCATAACAAAGCATTCGTGGTGAGCTATTGCTTTCTGACCACGATTCCATTGACCGTTTTTATATAAGTCAATGCCCAAATATTATTTAAATTATTTAACAACTTTCAGTTTTTTTTCTCAATAAATAAAAAAGTATCTGTGTGTGACGTCCTTTTTCAAATATCATTACTTTTGTTTTACTTATATTTGATTTTAATCCCAAAATATTGCAAAAGTTTTCAATGTCGTAAAGCATTGATTGCAACGACTCCAATGATTTAGCATAATCAACCTGGTCGTCTGCATAAAGCAGCCAAAATAAAGTTCTTTGTAGGTTAAAAAAGCATCATCTATATCATGATAAACATTATTAATTAAGTCAGTGGCGAACAGATTCTCCATGCTAAACGCATCGTTTAATACTTTTTTTCTTTTCTTTAATCGTACACAAGACCTGGCTGAGTCATACATCGACTTTAGTGCAGTTACCATGAGACTATTTACATTTTCATCCACTAATTTATACCATAAAAGGTTTCTTTAAATTATATCAAAACAACGGTCGTAGACAATAAAAGCTGCGTATAATTTACCATGAGAATTGAGGGGTTTGCATATAGCCACCTGTAAAATGAATATACAGTCAATGATGGACTTTCCTTTCTGAAACCCAAATTGATTTTTACATTTTCTTTTTCATATTTGTTTTACCATTTTGTGAGTCTATTTATTAATAACAGTAGTTTGGAGTATATCTTTGCAAGTATGTCAATAAAGGTTATACCCCTGTAGTTTTGAGCTAAGTCGGGAACACATTTCTTATAAACAGGGGAAATAATGCCCTTAACACCAAGAATCTGTATATATACCGGATAGATAGACTTTATTGTATATTTGCAACAATAGAGGCGAGATTATATCGTATTAGCCTTAACTATTCTGCGGATAAATTGCCAAGTCCTGTATCTTTGTTATTGTTGTTACTATTTTGTTAATGGACTACAAAGTGCAGCTCCTCTTTGGTTAACTCGCGGTCAAATCGTCTGCGTGTAAGTCACATTCTGGTGAATCATCAGTCATTTTCACTACCGATCTTTTTTTAAAGTGTTCAAATAACACATCCACTTTTAATTTATTTGTTTAAGAGCATTTGTCTTTCATTTTTATTTCAATTTTATTCCAAAACTGTCTAGGATTTGAATTTGCCAATGAACCAAGTCGTTGTCCTTCTTCCTGTTTACATTTATGTCTATTTTTGAATTTAGTTTTATTATATTTCGTTCTCGCATTAACCATATTCTTTCTATTTACATTAAATCTGTTTTTAATATATACATTTCTATTCCTGTTATATTCGCGTTTTGCATCGCGAGAATCATAATTAAACCATACTGGGTTGTTAATTTTCTTTTATATTTGAAAATGATTATTTGTGTTTATAAATTGTTTGCACTACTTAATTGTGTAATAATAAAGTTACGTCAAAAATAATGCTGTATCCATGACTTAAAGTACGCAGGGGGCAGGTCTAGCGGGTACACTCTAACCACGTTGATGTTAGGTTGAATACCACCAATTATTTCATATTTATTTAACGGCTCAAAATATCTGCAATAACTTAATCATTTACAAGTTCCTGGAAAGATCTAATTTGTATATTGACAATTAACTTTGTTATTAAATAACAAGGTCTTTCCGAGTTAAAGATACCACGTTATTTCATAGTTTCATATTATAGCATTACATATACCAAGATATTCTATGATGTTGTTGTATAATAAATAAAAGCAATTAAAAATCCTTTTTCACGATACAATTAGCTTATGCTATCAAGTGTTCCCTGTACAATAACTAGCACAACGGAAAAAATCGGATTTCATCTCGTATAATTAAATACTTAAATATTCCTAATGAGAATATCGGATGGCTTTCCTTACATGTGCATTTTAATTAAAATGTAATCTACTTACTTTTCACATCTAAAGCAAGAGCATTAGGCCATGAATTCGGTTCAAACGACATAATGGTACTTCTGTTACCACCGTCCATGGTTGATGTCCCTATCTTTGGCTCATTACCCCGGTCTGACCAGTATATTGCTCTTTGGAGGAAAAAGGTATGTGAAGAGGTTTCATAAATTTCCCGGGTATTAAATTAATCATAAACTTAATGTTGGCAACCAATTCTGCGACCAGTGCAGTAAAAGATCAGCCGAGCTGTGCTGTCTGATCTTGGTCTGATATGTTCGCATTTAAGTAAGTATATATTTTGTAAATTTTCCCTTAAGATGGTTGGTTTTGTCAAGACTTGAAATTTGACTAAAAACATTGAAGGAATTAAGCACGATAAGGGTTAATGAGTGTATAAAAAGAATATAATTATGCAAAACAGATTATTTATTTGTTCAATACTAAAACGTTACTCAATGTGTAATCTTGAAATTAAATAAAAAGTTAGAATCCTTGCAAACATGTATGAATATTTAAGGAAAACGTGGCGCATTACAGGTTTATGCATCAGTGTTATCCATAAAATATTTTGTTTATTTATATAAAAAATAACTATGTTACGCCATCAAATAAAACTAATATCAAAACATGAAGTATTATCGGATGTTAACAATCAAGCATACTTACCCTCTTTCCGGGTGTACGATTATGTCCTTTGGTATGCCTAACGACTCGTTAACGATTGTTTTATGAATATCTTTATTTTTCAGCGAGACAACTACAATGACCTTGTCAAACGTGCACGTGTAGAAGAGCAACTGATTTATATAGTCAACAGCGATGCCTTCTATTGTTGATCCTGCCGAGAAATCACGTGTATTGTGACTTTTATTTAAAGGACAATGCACGTTTGTAACGTCGATTTGCATTGGACAATCGTGACGTTTATATATAAACAAGACTGTTAATTAAAGACGAAATCTTACAAACGCAAGTTTGCTGAATTATAAATTTGTTAAGATTCCTTACAGGTGACATTGCCGCATATAAACAGTTGGATGAAACAAGAAAACATAATTTTTCACGGAAATAATTGATACACACTTTACAATTTATTTTTGTACATTAATATGAATTTAAAGATAGTTATTTTATCTTTTTTTAGATATCTAATTTTTTTTTTAGATATTGACATAATAGCAAGGATAAAATGTAAATTGTACTTTTTTGCAATGTTTTGAATTTTTCCTCTTGTGAACCATCCACTTGCGCTTTCATGATAACATTTGCAGTATTGTTGCTCCAAAATAGGGTTTTTGTTAATGGATTTATATCTATGGCCATTCCCTGATACAATTTAGCAAATGGTATTCTACTGACGTCACCATTGTCAATCTGAATCTTGTAAAAATGTTTCTGATCAGCATCCATTGTCACTACGTAATTGTCAGTTTTTATGCCTTTAAAACAAAAATGAAAGTACAAAAGCTATGTAAAATTAGCAGTCATAGGAAACAAGATAATTTCCTGAGGAAAACAAGTGCATCTATATTTTTCTACGTTAAACAATTAAGTGTGTACAAAAATCGGTTGCACCCGTAAATTGAATCTATATAACGTATCGATGTGTGTGCAAAACGGGTTGTATTTTGATATTGTATCTGTTAAATTTATGTTAATTTGAACTAAAACGGCTTGCACTCTTAATTCGAAACTTTTTAGTGTGCTTAGGTGTGTTTAAATACAAGTGGCATTTTATATAGAATCTATCTAGGGTAACTAAATAGATGTGTATCTACTTAGCGTAAAAATGCAAGTGCAGAAACGGTTTACACCCTTATATCGATTGTATATATTTAGTGTACCAAAATGGTAATGTATTTAAAATATTTAAGCGTGTGCACAAACGCGCACTGTTATGGTATATAGTATGTCTTAAAGCAAAGTCCACTTGCAATCTACAACTGAATCTTTTTAAGGTCAAAGAACGGGTTGTACCCTTAAACCCAATCGATCAAATATTTAATGGGTGAGTGCAAGAACGGATTGCATCGTTAAATTGAATTTGGGCACAGTCATGCGATTTGGGGTCTTAATGACATTTTTATCGATTTTGAGATTTTCACATCAAATTAAAGCTCATGAAATATGCTTTCCGGCGATATAATTCATATGCAAAAGAGATTATTATTTTTTTCAATATGACTTATTTCACAACGTCATGTTGAAACTTCTTGACGTTGTTGTTGTCGTCGCTAAATTGACGTCAATGTTTCCCATTTATCACGTCATCGTTTCCCGCTTTTCTTGCATTAGGTGTGTTCAAATGATTATACTATTTTTTGGCGAGGGAAAAACATATTAGGCCCTATTAACTTGAAATAATGAATAAGTAAATGGTATGGTAGTGGTACATTTTATATGATGTTATTATCATGGCCAAATATATTTTTTTCTGAGGAACATTTTTCGAAATGTTAATTGAATGGAGCTGACTGTTAAAACATGAAACGGATATAAGAATCATGACACAAAAAAGAATTAAGTTTTATCAATCAGTATCTTTTATTTCTCTATTTTAACATTTGCTTCAAATGTGTACACCGCAAAACTCGTCTCTGTACGCTGGTCTGACGTATGGACGTACGGAGTTGTTCAGGTAGGTTTGCCGCCGTTGACTAAGCCCACTTGGTTGAATTGGTTCTGGTCTTACAGCCGCTTCAAAACGCGAAGACTGATGCTTTAAAATACAAATCTTTTCCTCATTTTGATCATCAGATGAAATTCGCACGGTAACAATACCTGGTTCGTCTGCAGTAAACCGGAAGTACTGATATTTCCTGAAATTAAAACTCATCATCTCATTTCTGCTAAGCTCACAAAAGTTTTATTATGAAAGTTATACTGATTAAAAATCATATTTTTTTTATTTCAGTTACGAGAACTTCTATCCTAATTATATTATTCTTATCAAAATGATTTCTATTATTTATTCGTAACATCATTACTACCACTATTTTAGTATTATAAGGATATTATTATCATGATTATGATGATGATGATGATGATGTTCATTATTATTATTATTATTATTAAAGCAGTTTCTGTATGTTGCATCTGTTAACTACCTTATTCCTTTCACTGCTTTAAATTTTCCCTCTAAGAATGACTTTAAATTTCTCCATGCCCATTGTGGAAAACGGACAGCAACATTTGTTTTTGATGATTTGTTTACAACATTTTCAAGCTGTCCAAGCGTCTCTACATCTGTTCGTCTATATACTCGCTTGATGTGGGCGAAGCCGGAATCTACTAAACACCGGGCGTGTCCTGTTTCAATATAACAAGGCTGAAAATTTTAGCATGCTAATGTAAAGTTATAAATTGCTGCACATTGTTTTCATACTAAAAAATCTTTGCCAGGAAGAAACAACAATTTCTTGCATGTCATTTAGACACAAAGCATTTTGAGTAAAACTAACAATGAATGTTTTAACATTCCGAAATACATAAACATATCAAGCAGAATGTCTGTTATTTTTATTTTCTGAAAGATGCCTTAGCGGTATTACCGTGATGTCTCGATCAAGAGAACATAGCACGTGTCTTTTTTTTTATAAAAACCGCTTTCCGCAGGCATGGATCGCAATTTAATAACAAACTGCGTACGTAAAAGCGATTTTCAGCCTGATAATGTATCGTAATCTGTTCCTATTTTCTTTTTATTGAGTAAATCAAAATTAAATGATATTTTAAAAACGGTGCACGTAGAATCACTAGCGTGTAAAGAATATTATCAACTTACCTGGAATTTGCATTAAGTATTCTATTACTTCATTCTGACCAGTCATTACTCTCCACATAAAATAAGCAAGCACATACTTATTTTTGTTCTGCCCTGAAAAGCGAGAATGAATATAACAGTATTATCGGGGTATTTTTCATTTATAACAATAAAACAAATTTATCATCCCGCAGTTTTAATCTATTTTTATGTACATGTTTTTTATCAAATACGAACTTACGCTTGTATATAAAATAAAAGCCTTATAAACCAAAAATATCAATATAAAGTTGTAATGTTATTTCAGTACTGTTACATTCTTAAAGGTCCATATTATTCATCAGATATGCTATCAATTTTATTTCTCAAAAACATTTTGTCGGCATCAGGCTCCATTTTTTACAAAATACTCATTTGCTATAAAGGTTAACTTTCTTTAACTTATTTTGCTCTATTAGAATTAGTATTTGCATGGAAGTCAAAATACTACACTTTAACATTTTTCTACTTTTACAACACATTACGTACTGTACACTTTGCACTATTTTTTTCAGTTGTTCAACATTCCACATGCTCTAAATATATAAATTAGAATTATTAAATACGTTTTATATTTTTCTAAACAATTAAAATAAAATATTGATTTCCGAAGTATAAATGTGCCTTTAAACAGAATGAAATGTGTATAATTTACCTGGACAATTATCAGCATGGATTGAAAACTTTCTTGCTCTAACACAATGTTCCTGTAGTGCCCAATCAACCATGGAAATAACTGCATCAGGGCCATGTGTTTTGGATCCATCCTCTCCTACTGTCTCGTTTTCATCAATCAAAAAATTCAGTTGTTTAGGGATACCGTCTATACGGAAACCAAAAATCTGTACTTTTCGCAATGTTAGAAAATACAACGGTCCCATTTGTCTTGCGTGATGTGGCAAACTCACGTTTTGACAAAAATCAAAGGTAAAATGAAAGTATTCATCTTCATCAGCACTTCTTCTTAAACATGTGTTGTACGTGTCCCTCTCCTTAAATGTAAAAAGTTAGCAATTTCACAACTAAAGGTTTATCAAACTTTCCTGTAATCAAATTCCATAGATTTTAAACGTTATATTTCATAAACATAATTAAAAATCAAGAAAAAGGAGATAAACATTAAATTATTAATCTTGTATATAAATTTTGACTCATTCACATGTTTTAATTATAAATATTTCTTAATGTATAGTAAACTAGTACATACCCTTTGAGCTAAAAGAATGTGTTGTCGCATGTTAGCTAAGGCCTCCAGCTTGTCTTCCTCTGACACTGCATCTGATATCATCTTTCTCATTCGCTCACACGTAGCGCAGACGTCATCTCTTGGTGTTGCTATTCTGATGTGAGGCATACACGTAGACCAGAGAGTTTTGAACATAGAAAGCGAGACGTGCTTGATTTGTGGAACGGCTTCCGTGCAAGAAATACAGTAATCCTTGTGCATCTGGACCTTTGTTGTTTCGGACGGTAAATAAATTGGTGGAATATCATCTCGTCCCCTAGGTGCGGCAGGCTGGTGTATTCCTCTTTCATCAGCAAAGTTACTTATAAAATGTATTACTCTTGTAACGTCGTCAAAGGTAATAGCATTATGTGGTTTTCTGCCAGTATTTCCATGTATACGTGGAGCAATACCTTCCTGAAAAACTTGCTTACTTAAGCTACTTAGTGTTTTCTTCCCTATGCCATGACAAAGTAGAAATGTCTTTTTACATACTTCAGTACCATGAAACGTATACTTTCTTCTCATTCTTTGACGTTTTTTACCACGTTGTGTTTTTTCTGTAGATCTTTCATCATTTATCAGACCCATAATGTAAATTTCCTTTGTTTCTTTTTCCATTTCTTTCATATTAAGTAGGTACTGATATATTTGATCTTTAGTGAATTTTCCGCTACATGCTAACCTACAACATTTACTTGATTTATAAAGTTCAACCTGCTGCCGGTCAGAATCTGGTTCAACATAATCATCACAGACTTCATCTTCATCGGACCATTCAAGCTCTTCATCCCTTTCAATGTCTTCCGAACAACCATTTGCACCAGTACTTGCACCTCTATCCTGGTAAAGGAAGTCTCGCACACGGCTCTCCACAATACTATTTTCCCTGATGTCTTGGTCAGAACCGCTGTCGCTACTAACATCTTCCTGGGTATTACAGGGTGTAGTAAACGGTGTTCTGCCAAAATGCTCTGATAAAAGGCTCTCTAGTTCCTGAAAATAAAATACAAATAATATATTAATCATACCTCTTTATGCAAAATCTAATATCAAACATAAATGACTAATAAATAGAAAAATTAATTGCAAAATCTAAAAATTTAACATTTTACTGTTAAACCTTTTTGCTATTTGCTTAATCAGCATGTGATTTAAAAAAATAAGATAGGGGGAGGTTTTGAACCTCAACCGCCCAAGCGAAAAGCGAACGGCGTAACCGTTTAGCCACAGAGGCATTTACATTTAACAGTGAAGAAATATTTTCTTTATACAACGGCAGTGTTTAAACTGAAAAACAGCGCGGTTCCAGACGACAGTTTACACACTAATTCCAGCTATTTAACAAATTAGTTATCACATATAAAATGTACATGTACGATCCATATACCAAAGTTTTAAGGGTTTATTCGTTATGTGTAAATATATTCATGTGTAAATATACATGTAGACTACATCTAGATTAGTCTCGCAAAGCGGCAAATATTTTTTTTTAATTTATTAGATTCTAGTTCTAGATGAAAATAAAAATAGCTCTAGAGAAAAAGATAAATGTCGAAACATTCATGCTAGTCTAAACCATGATAAACTTTTTTCCAGCGTTTAAATAGGCACCTGATGTGAAAAGAGATTCACGAATGAATTCTACTTTCGTTTTCAAATAACGACTGACCTTCAAAACATTATTGATTCAAATGAAATCAGATTTAAAACATAAACATACAGTAGATTGTTAAAAAACACGAATAAAGAAACTTACCTCTAGCTCTTCGGCCATTTTACGCAAAGAAAATACGTGTAACCTGTCGATAATAATCGTAAACAAAACTTCTAGATTAACATGTGTAGTTTCGCAATGAGCTTCCGGTATGACTTTTGACGTCATTTATGACGTTTGCGCATTATGTCATTAAGACCCCAAATCGCATGACGGTGCTCATTTATCTAAGGTGTAATGGTATGTGCACAAACGAGTGGCATTTTTAAATTGTATATATTAAGGGTTTAAATGAGTATGCAGGAACGAAATACACCCCTATTTTTTGCTACTGTAACTGAAACTGTACAGTTCTGTATAAATTTGTAGAAAACGAATGGTAATAAATAACATGGCCTATACTGTATAAATATCTACGCTCATATTGTCATCTTTTTTAAATACAATCTCATTGTTGTAAATCTAATTATTTTAGTTTTAGTGTTAAAATATCAAAAGTATTTAAATGCATTGTAAAACTGAACATAAAAAATCTACAAGCGATTTAAATCACACAGATATTGTTGCAAAATAGTCGGCGAATTTATGGTTTTAAATATTAATCAAAATATGCAAATAAAAATTGTGATTTATCAAAACCTTTTCAAGTCTCAAGTTACCTTAACGTACTTCTAGAGGGATTCTTATTTTCTCTTTTTTACTGGACTAATGATTTGCTTCGATTTTTAACAGTGAGAATACATTTTACGTAATCATTTTCTTCGCGCTTCATTGCCGTTTAGGTGGTTATTGCAAAATTGATCTGCACTGTATTGAGCAAAAACGCGTTGCTTTACAGCTTTCCCTTATAAATTCTCACATTTTAGGCAGCGTTAACCAAATCAAACAATTAAAATAACATCAATGCGTCGACAAAAGTGATACTAAATACAAGTATCAAAGACGGTGGAAATGACCTGTCAGGATCTGACTTATTTTTAACTTTAAGATATGCGGGTGGTCTAGTTTACGCTATATATTATAAGGTTAAGTACTGTAATCGACTTTTCAAATGAACAAAACGCTACACAAAAACAAACCCAAGTTACAAAAATAATTTAATTTAATGTTCCATTCTTTTCCGTGCTGTAGATAAATTTAGACATGCAATAATTTCACTGTAATAAATCTACCCCTCTACAATCGAGGATTGAACGAGCCCGTTATGAAAATAACCCACTAAGACAGAGTCGTTCCACAATGTTACATTAAGGCAATATCCCATCATAGTCAAATTTAATATAGTTCACTTAAAACATTAACAAAAGCAATTATCTCAAATATCTCATTCTTAAGGTGACCATTGCGGGTGTTTTTGTTGTTGCTGTTGAAAGGGCCTTCAAAACGAAATGGCAGAAATCAGCCACAATACATTCTGTATGTCATGTAAAATGTTACAATCAACTTTGAAAGTTCTTATCACGTCAGTCTATGTAATATTTCATCACATCTGTCATTTAAAGGTTCATTGAGCCTAAGAAATGTTCTTTTTATGTTTTCATGACTGGGCAAACATGCGTTTAATAATGAATAATTTATGAATTTAGAGCATTTTAGATGCATTTTGTATGGGATATAAACGTTGAATGACAAATAATTAGTCAGACACGTAAGAAAATATAAATAATGAAGTTTTTTGACGTCCATACAAAAATACTTATAAACTAATACTTATTGTCAACAACTTATAGTATAGCTATATAGCAGGTATGTTATTGTCTGAAAACTGTATCAGGACATCAAAAAATAACGGTTTTATGGAGAAAGACAAAACATTTTTGGGTTTTATATGCCTTAAAATAGAGAAACCACAAGTCCTTTTCACATATTAATAAATATTCATGGTTACTAAATGCGTTATCAATTATCAGATATAGTTTTCTCTTTAAAAATGCTCAAATTTCACAAGTTTGAATCTAACCCATTTTGAAAAGCTGTGGGCGTATATCCTTTTTGCCATCAGTTAGCATTTCATTCCGGTGGAATTTTGTCCAGTGGGCTATTTTGCTAGAGGGCTATATTTATAGTGGGCTATTTTTCTAGTGGGCCATTTTCTTTGTGGGATATTCGCCCGTTCCTTACAAACGAAAAGGGGTTCTTTACGGCATATTTTGACAATGTAGAGTGATTTCTGTAGAATATAGAGTAATTCCGGTTCATCATTTCGCAAGTATTTTATTTTTTTTTTCAACATAAAAACATGAATCTTAAGATGTGGTAATTTCCAGTTTGATTTTTTAATTGAAGTTATTTTAAACATGATGAACTAAAAACATAATTACGAGATGTACACTTAAAACTATATCTTTCCTCTTAATATTTAATTATCACGTTAGGCGTAAAATACAAAAATTAGTTACGGTTTTTAAAGCTAAAAATGGTCTTCTTCCACAATACCTTGAAAACATATTTCCATCGCTGGTTTCAGAAACAACAAATTACTCGTTAAGAAACAACAACAATTACATAACTATAGCTAGGCGCACCGAAACGTACAACAAATCATTTATACCTTCTGCTACTGAATAATGGAATGCATTAGACACCGAAATTCGCGAAATTAATTCATTGAATATTTTTAAATCTAGAATGAAAGAAAAGTTTAAAGCCCCAGTAGTACCTAAACACTTTTTGTTTGGTATAAGATATTTGTCAGTTTTACATGCTCGTTTAAGGAACAATTGTAGCAACTTACACGCTGGCCTTTTCAAAAATCATTTGAGAGATAGTCCGACTTGTATATGTGGGAACCTTTGTGAGGATGCCGAGCACTATCTTTTTTGCTGTCCATTATTTAAACCTCAGAGACTTATACTCTTCGCAGAAACCAGAATTTTGCATCCTCTTTATGTTGAGCTATTACTGTGGGGTAGCAATTCTTTAGATGTTAACAATAATGAACAAATATTTGCGGCCGTCCAAAAATTTATCAAAACTACTGAACGTTTTCGAAACACATGATATTTTTGTAAATCGGCCGATTTTATTTAATCGAATAACCTGGTACCACAAATAATTGTTAATCACATTTATGATGGACGTTTACTCCCAATGACGAATAATGCTAAATGCTGGATCCTTAACCTTGTCGTCATTATATATATACATAAATATACATTTTTTTCTGTCTTACTTATTTCTTATATTGTTTTATTTTTTTATATTAATCTGTCTTTTTTTTCCTTTGTTCGCTTTATATGTATACATGTGACACTTTCTCATATAAATGCCATCAATGTTGATTAATATATTTTTCAGGGGGAGGGCCGATCGCTAATGTTGTAAGAACTTGGGCCCAACCCTTTTGCTATTTGTTATTTCGAAATCAATTTGTTTCTCTGTATATTTTCATGTATATATTAGCAATAAAATATGATTAAACTGAATTATTACGTCAGTGTTAGTATGGTTCGAAGTAAACCCAAAACGAAACCCGGCTTGAAATTTCTCTGCAGTTTATGCTTATGAATTTAAACATTTAAATGTTAAATGTTTGACTAAAAATGGCATCAGTTCAATCGTGGAATTGTAGAAAAGAGTTTTGAAATAATTAACAAGAATTTTGTGTTAGCGATAAGAAGTTGGTTCAAATATCGATACTGGTCCTAACATGTACACTTATAGTGATGCTGAATTTAAATTAAACTATTTTATGATGCCTTATCATAAAACTCGATCTTATATTGATCCTGATCTTATCATGTACTTTTATATTGTACCTGATCTTAAAATGTACTTTGAAATAGATTCTTGTCTATACATGCAGTGTTTTATTAATCTAAATCTTAACATGTTATTTTAATTATCAAGCTTTTAAAATGTACTCTGATATATCATTCTGATCTAATTGTGTACTCTAATATTTATATGGATATTAACATGTACTCGTATATAAATTATTCAGACCTTAAAATGTACACTTATATATTATCCCGATCTTAGATTGTACTTTTTATTGGTCTTGATCTGAACGTTGACTCTAGTATCATGCTATTTTATTCCCTTTTTGAATCCGACATAATTTGCTTTCTTTGCCAATCCGCAGGATTTTGTACTTTATATATTTACACATCTTACATTGTCAAATAGAGACCCCGGACATGTCACCAGTTATGTCCTTGAGGGGTAAATTTTGAAACACAAAAGGTTTGAAAATTTCCCTGCATGGAGTATAAGCCAAACATAATTTTAAACTAACAGTAGGTCCCTGTTCGGCGGCAAATGATAACCTAAATGTTCAGTGACTTTTTTATTCAACTTTTTTAAGCAGTGATTTATATACTCTCTGCAAATATGCATACTATTATTTACTGTACTTTACATTTTATAAAAATAATATTTTGTACATGTATTCATGTGAGAAAAAATATATATATAAAGTCTCAAACGTTTAATATAACTTGAGGTCAATATAAAATAGATATTTTATATGAAACGAAAAAAAATCAATATGTTAACGAGAGTAATCACAAATAAACTTACCATTATTTGTTGAATTTTCTGTCGGCGGCGTAAAACTTCCAAATTTAACGAGAATGATGTGTAACAAAGCTGTATTTACAAAAGACACTAAAGTTAACTTAAACATTGTATGAAGATATTTAATAAGAATTCATCAGAACGTTATCCAGCTGGTTTGATTTAATTTGAAGTTGGTGTGTTTGACACGCAATACTTCAAAAATAGCAATGCAAGTTCTACACCCTGTCATTAAGGATAAACTATTCTATGTTTTACTTTATTTATTTGCAAATGTATAATGGTACTTAAGTATTCTTTCATATTTTTCTAATTGGATGTCTGCACGAAACTCGAAAGTGCAGACACATACTTGACTGTATCAAGTTTCCTCCTTATTGCTTGAAAAATGCACTTTAAATTCATGTTCGCAAGGTCATCCATATCAAACTGGACAAGTTTCATTGCAACGGCATTTATATTTCAAGAACTTCCTTACACTACTCAATTACCCACTGGTTTTGAAATTATGCTTCCTTATTATATCTTGTCGGACGGTTTATCACTTGAATGATTACTTTGTTTAATTTATATTTTAATATAGTTTTGGTTTTTTTTGAGGTGGGGGGTTGTTGTTTTATAAAGATTTCATTACTGACAAGTATTAAAACTGTCGGTCACCATTTTCCGCTGCCTACCTCTTTCGTCTTAGATTTTTAAGACACTATATCAGTTTTGAAAGTACATATTTTAATGGAATTTGATACATTTTTATATACAATAGTTATTTATAATCGATTCAGTAAGTGTGTACTTAATTAATTCTGTGTAACATATACAAATGTTTTAGCATTTATTCACACATTCTATAGCCACTCGGTATCATATATAACTTACATGCATTTCATGAAACTATGTATTTATTTTTCTTGCTTAATGAGGTTTGATGTGCCCTTTAAGGCTACACACATCTAACATTGTCAAATAGAGACCCCGGACATGTCACCAGTTATGTCCTTGAGGGGTACATTTTGAAACACAAAGGTGTGAAAATTTCCCAGCTTGGAGTATAAGCCAAACATAATTGTGAACCAACAGTAGGTCCCTGTTCGGTGGCAAATGATAACCTTAATGTTCAGTGACTTTTATTCACCTTTTTTAAGCAGTGATGTACATACTCTCTCCAAGTATGCACTATTAATGACTGTATTTTACATTTTATAAAAATAATATTTAGTACATGTATTCATGTGAGAAAAGATATTATCCCTAAGCTTAAAGATACTTTTAAAATCAAATAAAGTTGAAATATAAACATTAAAAAATAACAACCCAATAAGTTCTATGAGAGTTGCCTAAACTTTGTTACATTCCTTTTATACTATACCAATTATTATCTCCCTTTGTCTAGTCTACACAGAATAATTAAGAAGACCCTAGAATATGTTGCCATTTAATATACTAGAATGTTTAGCAAGAAATGATACAAGTTTATCACCGGTTTGGAGTTTTAAATCGTATGAATTAACCAGGAAGACCGTAGGCTCGGACAATTATTACTTCGTTTCTACAAATTAAGGGTCCAGAGATCACCAACGCTATTTTATAAGGGGCAAACATTTCCGCTGCTGATTTGGAAATCAAAAATATAGGAAAATAAAAACATATTTTCATTTTAAAGAAGCATTCCTACAAATGAGCCAACCATTTTCAAGAAATCAATTCTGAAAAACAAAACTAATGTATTAAGGTGTTAAAAAAGTATTAATATATTTACAATTGAATATATGTTGCATGTAATGAATGACTGATTTTGCCATGTATATTTACCAAATTTCTGATGCGTGACTAGCGCAGTAGAAGCTGTTTTTGCATAGTTTTACATGTCTTTCTCAAATAATTTAGGTGGTTTGAAAGTGCTGCTTGGAATATATATATCACTTCTTTGTTCATTTGAGAATATTATATTTTTTAATCGACTTGCATATATTTAATGAAAATTAGTATTAATCTGGAGCAATGCTGCTTTAATTGTACAAATTAAGCTGATTTTTATAAGAAGTTAAGATAGAATATAGAGTATCCAAACAGGAATGTGCTTGATTAACTTTTTAGAATAAATATAATGTTTGGAATAGTTTTATTTGCTTGCCTAATGACCAGTCATCTTGTCATAATTTTATGTCAGTAATCCTCATGAAGCAGTTACTTGACTAATGAAATAAGTTGAAAAAGGGCTTTATATTATTTTATCAGACATTCTTACATGTTACTAATTTATATATAACCCTTTTGTCATACAAACAAAGGTGAATAAATGCACCTTCTTTATGAAGTGGTCATTTTTGCCTAGTAAAGGCAGTAAATTAATGCCATTTATTCTATCCATCATTCCTAGACTATCTTTATATTTTTCTTTTTAGTTAGCGCATCAAAACGCTCGTAAAAGGTGTAACTGACACTGTAGTTCTTGCGAAAAGTTATTGTTACATTTGTAACTCCGTAAACACTGACTCAATAAATCAAATGATGACAGAAGCTCATATGAGTTCATTTATTATAAGCAATATTTTATTTTGTACAGAATATTCAGGCATTCTCAAAGACGATTCTCACGTTTCAGTGTTTAGTTGGAGTTAATGTGCATGGCTCAAAACATAATGTTGCAGGACGTTTCTGTGGTGGCGATATGAACAAATTCCATTGCATCAGAATTCAGCCATGTGGCGTTTTTCAAAATTCGTTACCAGCTTTTTTGTTGTTATTGTTGTTTTTGTAACGAAGTCAGCTTTCTACCAGGCATCTTTAATTGAATCTATGCATCAACATCGATAAGTCGCATAAGATTATGATGGCTAATTTGTGCCATTCGTGTTTTCGCCACGCCAAAGGAAAAGTCGAGAATTAACAAGTTAAAATGACGAGGTTATTTTATTAAATTTTGTCTATTATAGTTTTTGTGTGAATCTCCACATTCTTTTTGATTTTGTCAACGGATGTTTCAGAATATTCCTCGTTATCTTATTTCAGATTACAGAGCATTTCGTTCTTGTTTTTTTGCAACATATTATAGATGATATGTAAAAATAATGTTTCTTTCAATGCGATTTTGAAAAATAAAATTGACTTTTTAGTCATTGTACTGTTCATGCTGGTTCAAAGAGTTTTGTTAACAAATTAAATACTTAAAAGGAGCTTTCATTTCGTATTCCGTATTTCGTATTTAAAAATGGACACATATTGTCCGAATAAAAACTATTTGCACACAAAACCTAAACCAAAATCCGTTGTAATCAATTGGAAAAATAATTAATTCTGACTTCATGGACTAGTTTATCAAAATAATTAAACAATGGATAAAAATGATTTCTTTTTTATGAACGCCCTAGTATATTATAAATTTCACAGTATCGTATCAAGTACTCGTTTATCCAATGACAAGAAAATAACTTGCACTGGAATAATTCATTTATTCTCCTCTAGGTCAATATTTTTTATGATAGTCAATGATACTGCAAAAGCCAGTGGTGACAAATAATCTGCAAATAATAACCAAAGATATGCGCTTCAGATATTTTTGTTTCAGGTTATTTCTAAATGATAATTTATTTCAGTTATATATCTTAGATGCAATTGTTAAAGAATACAAACCTTATTGAATCGGTAAATACCGGCAGATTTTGGGTATCATCTCAAAACAACCGAAGCTGCTCTCGTTGTCTCTCGACATTTTTCATATATTTATCTATTTTCAGTATAATTATTTTGTTCCGGTTAAACATTTTCGATCACTTTATTAGTGTATGGGAAATTACTACAACATGGTGCCGTTAACCACATTATGTGTGTTATTCCCCTTGACTATCTTAAGAAAATTGTTGTCTGCCACAACATATTTTATTTGTACCATTTTTTTCTCTAAATTACCTAGTATACTTACTAACATAGATCATGTACTAGACTAGTATTTCTTCAATGTGTTTATTATTTCACGTTTGCATGTTTTAAATGTTTTTTATATGTTTTTTTTATCATTTTAAACTTATGATTTTCTATTATATTTATTAGAAAGAAATCATTTGACTTAAAGTTAATTGTAATGGTTTTTTTCCATGAAAGTATTACCACGACTTTTAGTTTAATTGAATTTGGGAAGGAAAATGTAAAAAAGAATTGTTGCGTTGTGTTGTCCTCTACGTGTTGCAATTAAAACCGAGAAGTAATTAAATCAAACGAGTTTCCTCAAAGGAAAAACTAGTTCGAGATTTCACATTTGTTCCATGACATTTTATTTAAAATCCCGTTATCCTGCGCTGTTGTTTCAAATGATTTGTGTGACTTATTTTTAGTTAATCATTTTGACTGGTTACTGATCTAAGGTGTTACCTGTGGCGGCATCTAATTGTATACATGGTATGTGAAAAATAACATTAAAGTCATTACACTTCAGCTATTTTGCTTATTAATAATAAAAACGAAAGGCTCAACAAATTCTTAATTAAAATGAGTATGGAAAAGAACAAAAGTATCTCTAATGAATGCTTAAAACGGCAAAGTTGAAAATGTCGTTGGTTATTGTTTCATTAGTACTCATTGTACTTTTTAAATTATTATAAATTATTTGTGATGACTCTGATATTGTAGACATTTTACTTTCCTGATATCAACTACATGCTAGGACATGTTGAGGGTTTATTACAGGCCCATTATATCTATGCCTCAGAAATGAATCATATTTCTTTCTTTTTTTAAAAAAGGCAAAGTTTGTTAAATGACATTTTAACGATGATTTTAAAGCATATTAGATGCTTAACAAAGGAAGTTAGTGTCACAAAGGTGACATTATTTGTCATAAAAGTAGCAAATGTTAATTAGATGATGACTTTCATACTAAACACTTAAAATGTACTAATTGCCAAAGGAGAAAAAGAAGGTTCAGCTACAAATGTATGGCCAAAATTTGTGTGTGTGCGTGCGTGTGCGCGTGCGTTTGTGTGTGTACGTGTTTCTTGTGGGAGGACACCATAAAATGTTGCTCAGAAATAAAAACAATATCGTTTTAGACTAATGGGTCTTTTATTCCAATAATGACAAAAAACAATGATTTCAAATATGTCGTTACAAAAAGGAAATTAGTATTATATTCTTAAGCATACCTTTAAGCATTTGACTTTTATAATATAGTAATCGTTTAAAGCTGTTAGCAACGCTTTAGTATTGAGACCTTTTTGGAAATGATATTGAGTTTTAAAGACTTCATAAAAATTATAACACACTTTTGTGTACAAATGTTGAAGTCTGCTGAACATGTATGTTCTTGATCTTTCTTTATGTTCATATATGCACGTCTTTGTAAGTGTAAATATACATTTACTTTCTCCAGTTTACCTTAATTTCAATATCAAATTACAAAGTTTTTGCCTTTTACAAAGAAAAATCATGTAATATATCTCCGCTTATATTGTAATATGAATTTTTGTGGTTGGATATTTTGTTCCGTCTATAAACATTTAAATGTCATACCATGCTTCGATTACAATATCTGCAAAACAAGCTTCACAATAAACAAAGATATCAAAGATGTCATGGTCTAGCAATATCTTGAATACTTCAAAAATTACAAAAAGGCTTAAGTTTATTAAACAGACCCTTGAAATATGATGCATGACTGTTGATAATGAATTGTGCGCTGAAAATATTTCCGAAATTGTTAGATAAAATGGATAACCTTAATCTAGATGATTAGCAAAGAAAGGATGTAATCCATATAAAACATAAAATTACACGGTATCGATCTTACACATGCATGACACTGAAACCATTATCTAAACAATAGACAGTAAACTTGTTCCTTAAATTACTCATAATCCGTTTTTAACATGATTTTTGTAAGTTCGTGCAATTTTACATAGGTCCCGGCGTTGCTTATAATTGATGGCTCATGACAGTTATAATCATACGCGTTATCAAAATCTCACTGAAAGTTTTCAATAGAAAAATATTCAGATTCATATCCAGGGTTTTTACGAGAGCGTATTTCAAATATATGTTGACTCTTCTATACTTTTTTGTTCATACTCAAATTCATATCAACATCAGGAGGACGTTCTTTTAGCAGGCTTTTTTACAATATTAGTATGATGTGTCAAAAAAAATGATTGTTAAAAATAATTCCTTATTCCAAAAGAGTTCCGTGGTTGGTTTAATTGCCCAAGAGAAAATAATTTAATAAATCATACATCAATGTTGTTTGTAATAACTATTTCACATTTTTACGATAGTACGTACGTTCATTCAATGATATCTGCATAGAATTAACTATGTTTGACATAGTTGACATTTATATTTTACAATAATGTGAATTTTATTTTTTTTTTTCACTCTGTCCATGTCATTTTTGGTTCAACAATGGTGAACTGTGGTTTAAATAAAAAAACAAAAACATAAATGATTAAAATTTTTGTATTAACATAATCATTATATGAGGGATGAATTAGAATAAATGTCTTAAAATACCAATGCATTGTTAGTGTCAAACAAACTTCATTGAACGCCATCCGCCTTGTTAATCTTGTTTGTCATATTTTAACAAAAATTAACATTATATCAATCACTTTGTGAGGTTTCAAAGACATTTATTTTATACTGGTAGACTTAAAACTCCTATAGCACCAGCTTTCATCAATCTATTAATTTATTTATATCTGTAATCGAAATGACCATCGTCAGTTTTTGTTTCAAATTGTGTTGTTGTTTGGGGGGGGTGAATTCTCAAATGATGCAAAATGTCCATGAATATCAAAATCATGTTGCAGTGAAACTGCCACAACTTTGTTATATAAATATTGTTCATCTATTTTAAAGTATTTGAAACAGAACAAAATAATTTTTACAAATATAGTGATACATATATAGTTTTTGAAAGCTTTTATAAAAGCAAGCCTGTAAATGAAATAGATAATCTTAAATACTTAAACAAATGAAGCATTACAAACTGTAAATGACACGCAACATCTATCAAGATACCATGACAAATATCTCCTATCGAAATTTAAATCCAAAATGTATCACAGCGGCGACGGGTATATATCTTTGCAAGAACACAGTTTCATTTAATCTACATATTAAAAAAGAAACGCATCAATGAATACACAAACAAGCATAATTGCGGTATCACATACACAAGATTTGTGAAAAGCTAATAATAGGCGGTCATCCGATCAATGATTGTAATACTCATTGTAAGTTGTGAATAAGAAGTTGTTCTACAGATCAATGTTTAGAATACTTAATGCAAGTTGTGAATAAGTAGATGTCGGACAGATTAATGTTTGGAATACCCATTGAAAGTTGTGAATAAGTAGATGTCCGACATATCAATATTTAGAATACACAATGAAAGTTTTAAGTAAGTAGTTGTCCGGCAGATAAATGTATAGAAAACTCATTGAAAGTTGTGGATAAGTAGATGTTCGACAGATCAATGTTTGGAATACTCAATGAACGTCGTGTGTAGATGTCAAGAGATCGACATTGGTCTTTTAAAAAAAAACCTACATCGATGTATCAATTGAAAACTATGCAGACATCCGACACACTAATTTTTGAAATGCTCAATAGCTGGATTCACGGATAGTTGAGGAGACGCTCGACAAAGTTACAATTGAATACTATATCGGTGGATTGAATTTAATGAAAATGCAAAAATCTAAAATATCGGTGATATAATCGTGGTTAGCTAAGTACAAATATTGAAGTACGTCATCGTTTGATAACGATGCACGGAAGCTTTAAATGACAAAGTGCTGTTTTAGATATAGCCAAGTCCTGTTTGGCCAAACTGTCCGACGAATCACATTTTGAAATACTCCATCGATGAATTGATTCTTCTTGGCTTTCAGAAAACGGAAGAGTCTTGTGTTTTCTTAAAAAAAATAAAGAATGAATTGATGTTGACAATAGGCATATTAAAATACAAATACAACTGTTACGTTCTATTCTAAGCGATTCAATGTTAGGAGTTTTCAGTATCAAATGATAAATATAGAGCTAACAGAAGTACTATTACTGTTTAAACTGCCCGGAAGTACAGGCTGGCCTGGCTCTATACTGGTGACAAAGTTTAATTATTTTCGGTTCTAGTTGGTTAACAGTTACAAAAATAATAATGAACTTTAATAAACAATTTAACAATGTACTAGAAAAAAATATTCAACTGAATCTACTTTTTGAATTGACTGTAAGGCACAATTTGATATATATTAAAAGAAACAGAAAAAAATCTAAATGTTCTTTAAAATATGAAAAGTATGATAGTTACGTTTTTCTTTCCTTCAGAAACTCCGAAACTCTGCGTCGATTGAAACCACTTGTATCTCTGTTTTGAAAATGCATCTTTTAACTGCAATTAAAGTCGTGTTACATAAATGCTTATTTTTCATCAGCAATGTTACGTACTTAGCTAACCACGGTTTGGTTTTTGGACCACTAAAAATAAATATCCACATTTTAATTTAGGACTCATAATGTAAGGAATTTTAAAAGTTAATCTTTGTTTTATATTGAAATAATGTTTTGAACTCACTTCAAGTCATATTGCAAGAAAATACAATTTATTTGACTGACATTTTAAATGTTTCGCGGCAGTGGGATGGTTAATGCGGTCAGGTTGCCATATGAACATTTTATAATCCACCGAGAGCATTAACATTATAAACGAAGATGGTGACAGCATAGCTATAATGAAAGGAATAAAAGATCGTTAAACACGTAAGAATCGTTTTGTTTCATTACTTGTTAGCGCGCCAAGTCAATTTGCTATCGCGTATGATGCATTATACCAGTTAAAATGATGTTTTAGATATTTTATGTGTTTCGGTGTGTCTTACGGTTTGAAACTTAAAAGTAACCAAAATGATATATTTAAGATTGCTGATCCAGTCATGATACCAATTTTGGCAAATAATTAGAAACGGTTACCTTTTTGTCCATCACGCAGTGAAATATGAAGATCAGCAGTCCCTGAAAATTATATTATTTTATGTTTTTCATAAATACATAATTGAAATAAATAATTTAAAACCTCCATACGTTTGGTAATTCTGGCATCGTCATACTATTAAACACAGACTTTTCGAAAAACAAGTGTCTTTTGTACAGTGTCCGAAAGTAGTACAAATATAAATAAGAAAGTACATATTTAGCAAAAACACATGTATATCTGCTAACACATTCCTAAAAAAATATGACGCCCAGGGAAATTTAATAAAAGTATGAAAATGTATGCTCAACAAGAGTGTTGTACTCTTTCTTGGATTTAGCTAGGCTTAGATCCCTAAAGGCGCGCTTCGCCGTGCCTGATCCGCGTAATTAAAATGAATAAAAGCAAATACAAAGTATACTTCTATTGAATATCTCGTTTAAAATATATATGCATGTATGACTTAAATGACATGCCATTTATTGATCACATTCGTTCATGATAATCGTCTTTCTGTCAGGTTGTTTTTGTGCATTTAATACATTAAATAAATATAGCAAAAATATTCAAATAATAAGCTTACCACTCGTATGATAAAAACAGACTTACACAGGTTAATACATTTGTGAGCATATATATAGCCGTTCCAAAACCTTTGTTAAAGCATGTCCCTTATTTCAGACCCATTAATTGTCTCAGTTAGTAATTGTTGAAAGAATTCTGCTAATGCCAAATTGTCAAGGGTAATTATTTTATTAAGTTGTAGTCTATGATCAAAAGTATTGCAACCAGTTAAAGCCTGGTCAGGCTACATAAATTATTCAGATTTTTACAATTTGACCTAGTTTTTGAACCTTTGACCAGTTGTTCCAAATTATATTTAAGGTATCTCATTGCACAAATTATGAAGGTTAAAATTAAAGCCATTGAACACACTTGATCCTTATTAACATTTGAATGTTGCATTTTGTTTTGATTATCACATTGACTAAAATAATTGTTGGATACCTGAAAACTGTTAAGAAGAGCGAATATGTACTGGAAAACAATTGTGTCACTATTCAAAGACAATGCTCCAAATCCCCAAGTCAGACCCATCACCGGCATGAGCACCAATATGCATCGTAATGCTGCTCTGAAATATATGATACAATGTATGATAATGGTATTAAATAAAATAAATATAAGTAGTCATACGAAAAAGAATTAAAGTACTTTTTGAAACCGATATAATATTTTGTTCTTGATCCAATCATTTGGAGACGGCCATTTTGTTGTATTCCCAAAACCTTACACAAAACTAGCTTTCCAAATAAATCTGATTTATCATCTGAATAAGTTGCTTGAAAATAAAACTGTATTTTTATAAGTCAGTGTTCGTCAATATAAATATTTATTTATTTACGATAGTTGTAATACAAGTGTCATGAGAAATATGTAACAGATGACAAAAATAAGCAAGTATGGGATGCATGTAGTCAAGTGATCATGAACAAAGACAGACATCAAACAGTTATCAGTATCTCAGATATTTTAGACTGTTGAAAATTGAGCGTTTCGAGAATTTGACATTTGAATTTAATTTATTTATTGCTTTTAATACAGTACAATTGAAAAATATATTCACAATATCAAAATTGAAATCAAAAGAGACTTAATATAGGCAAAAGCTATTTGATATGGTCTAAACACAGCATACATATATAGAAATATATAACACGAACTGGGAAGATAGCACAGGTAAATATAACATGGCATTTTAAGCACGCAAATTGAATTTTAGTTACAAAAAAAAATTAAATCACAAAGACACGCAAAGAAGCTACTGTCATACTTTGCCCGTCTTTTGTTTGATTTCTTCAACATTGCTGTAGTGCCGCACATTGTCCGAATCACTAAGACAACAATTGTACAATTAACCTGAAATAAATCGTTTAAAAACATTTCCACTTTAATTTATTTATCAATCTGAAATTTGTACTTAACTTTATTATTCAATCAATCGATTCATTTATGAATGAATTTCAATGAATTAAATAAATTAATTTTCTAAATTAATAAATTATTAATTCTTATTGATTGATTGATTGATTGAGTGATTGATGTGTTTATTATTTTTTAATTTTCAGCAGCCGTGTATAAAGATAATTTTAACTTCATGACTACCTTATGAAATTCAGCGTTGATGATCACTTGGCATGTGTTTAAGGTATGATTTGTCACGGCTAATAGTATATTCTATTTTTCTCTTAACTTTTCAATATTTGAACAAAAACACATCATGTTCCAGGCAATTATTTTCCGATTCAAATGGTGCATATGTTTAAAATGTAGCTGTGATACTTTCCGGATGTATTTGCAGAATTGGTGACACATATTGCCATCAAAATGATGCCGCATAGAAAATCTTCTGCAAGCGTAACCGTTAAGTAAAAAGAGTTATTATAATAGATAATTATAAACCATTGGAATCGGCAAATGTTTACATGGGACATGGTAATTAATTATTAGCAAACATACTATTTGCGGTGACATAATGTACAAATTTATATGCTGCAGCAATAAAGTATGTCAGATGAATTGGTATTATATGGTTATAAACTGGTTAAAACTATTGAGATGTTTAACAAGTTTGACAAATATACCATAACACAGTCATAGAATGTACATACCACTATAACAACAACAACCGGAACAAGAAAGGCCCATATCAATCCAGTATCAGTCGATAACCAGCATCTGGAACAAATAAGGATATTTGAATATCATTAACATGGAAATATTAAATGATATACAATAAATTGTATCATAATTTTAGGACTTCTCAGTTGAAAATGTGTCATAGTTAAATCGTATATTACATAAATTCATAGTGCGTTAACTGGAGTGCAGGTATTAGTTACCCGCACTCACTGTATGTCTAGAGCATGCCCATTGATTGGCTCATTTTGTCTGGGGTTTACGTATTGTAACAACAGAGGATATGATAGAGATGGAAAAGTCATATTCAGATGCTTCTATGTACATTGTTTGCATTTTTCTGGGGTTTAAAATTGTGACGACATTGACTTTTTATTTTCGGGGTTTAATATTGCTACGTACCCTCGTGCAAAATCGATAGTCTCGTGTTTCGATGCCATATCTATTACGTCTATCATAGTTTGGAGACTTTACTATTAAAAACGTGTCAGATTTAAATCGTATACAATACATGCACAGTGCGTTACTAGAGTGCAGGTATTAGTTACCCGCACTCACTGTCTGTCTAGAGCATGCTCGTTGATTCGCTCATTTTTTCTTGGCTTAAGTTATTGCGACGACAGGGAAAGAGACAATGATAGAAAAGTCATTTTCAGATGCTCCTTCATTGGTTGCACTTTTCTGGGGTTTAATATTGTGACGACAGTGAACGTGTTTTTATTTTTTCCCTTATAATACAAAAGAGAAAGAACATCAAAACACTCGGCAATCTGATTTATACTCGTACATATACCGTATAAAAGATCATTTTGTATGGTCGATCAGATACAAAAAGTAGGTAAAACTAAACATACATTACAGTAACAAAAACATGCATCATACAATAGGTTGATTGCTATTGTTGGAAATGGTGCTATTTGTAATCAACATAAATGTAGCCTTTTGATCTATTTTGTTTTTTCATGTTTTCACAATTTATGTTCTTTTGGACAATACTATAAAAATACTGTAAAAATGCACATTTTCAGCAATGATGTTGACTCGTCCTAAAACACGTTTTTGCATGACGATTTTTTTAAGTTGAGGGCAATAATACTTCTAATGCAATGTACAAACAATTATAAATTTCAAAAAAAAAAAAAGATTTTTATGATATCAAGTTTCATAACAATAACACAAATATATTTAGGTATGTTAAGCCCATATATGATATTAAGTAATCACAAATCCGTCCGTAAAGAAAATGCAAAAACGCATTTCACCGTTAAAAAGTGTTACATAAAATGTTGGAAACTTACGCCTGTTCGGTGCCATATCCCTGTAGCTGCGATGCACCGATAGATATCACCACAATAATAGCTGCGAGGACTTGAAACAGATAAATGATATTGAAAAAATATGTTATTACCATTATGTTATTATCATGTTTATCACATTTCCCCCACAGATTATCGACGTGGGCACAAGCCCTACCACAGGGGCCAACCGCCAGGTCATGTCAATACAAAGTCAAACAATTATAACAAAATAAATATATTACTGATACTATTAATTATTATATTCATACATATTGATAATCTAATAAAATTTTATATCATATAATGTTTAACTAGAGTTAAACCGATATATAATAATGTAAATAATAAACTGATAAACATATACATATTTACCATAAGACGATATCATTAGTGGCATCCCAGGTTTTATAGTACTTAGTGGATTGAGAACCGTATATGAAAGGTTACATCCCTCCGTCAGCATTCCGAAGAAAACTATCAAAAACACCAGGTGGAGAAGTACCGCAATTGCTGTGCAAACGACCTACACATTGATGAAAAGCATATTTAATTCAAATTAAGTGTCAAGGAAGACATTTGTCTAACAGAAAAAAATCGACAATATTCTATTAGGCATATTAGTTAAAATACAATTGATGCCTTTATCCAAAGCGAAGACCAACTTACAAAAATGGCGTTTTCATACTAGAATATGATACCTTTCTCTACAAATACAAAAGCACAAGTAGAAAAGCATAATTATCAACTTGTCAGGCGCTATTTAGATGGCTATAAAGTTTTATTAAATTATTGCTGAAAACCGTTTAAGAATAAAGTGAAAGAAAAACATTTCAAGATATCAAATTTGATCAAAAGAGTTTAAGAAAAGTAAAATATTCCAAATTCAAGTGTTAATTTACATATTATGTGTGATAAATGACAGATTTTTCAGAATTTCACTATATTGTAACTGCGTGACTGACTCAGTAGTGGCTATTTTTGCTTATGTTTGTAATCTATAGGATTGTGAATGTATAAATGACTTCCTCTGCTCACTTCACAATCGTTTACTAATAAATATGTGTATGGCATTACCTTGATTTCTGTTCTGTTTATCCCAGCAAGAAACAGGATATAAGCAACGATTAACCAACAGGATAAATTCATACGAATGATGTACCGGACCGATTTAATAAACCTGAAAACATATTTTTAAATATTTATTTAAGATCAATTCAGATCTAGGTGTATGAATATGCCAGTTACGAGATGATTTATCTAGAAAATAAGTTTATATTAAAGCATTAACGGTTAATGCAGATACCGTGGTTCATACAGATACCAAATGCCAAAATAGAAACACTTTCTAAGATTATATTTTTTTTTCATTTTCAAGTACGATATGTTGCACATATGTCTTTGCTTTGTTGTTTTTAATGTTTTTTTCGTTTTTGTGTTTACTATCGATTTTACTAACACAATGCAATTCAGTAATTTTTAAGCACATTTTGCAGCGATTCCAAACACCTTTTAAGGTAGTAATCAAATTCATGGATCTTTAAGTAGATTTGTCTCCTTTTTAAACACTTTGAAGAAAGTGACTCAAAATTAAGTAATTTTAAAGACTGTAAGAACCGAAATTAATTAGAATTTGCCCACTTAAGTATGCACATACGTGCAGTTTTCACATGCTCTATTCTATTGGAATCACTTTCTTCAAATATCAAAATACTAATTAATATAAGAATTACTGAAAATGTAAAGTTCCGGATAATGGAATTTCTCTGTATACAAACAGTTCAAAATTGAAAACCGGACAAATTCAATACACGAATGTATTGGAAAAAAGTGACTTCCGTTGCTTTATATCATATGTATAAAGAATGTGCATATTATGTTTTGTGTTTCTTTGTTATGTTTGTTGTTGTTGTTGTGTAATTGTTTAAATTTTAAGGTTTTGATTTACTTTCAAAGATGTGTATGTATTTTGTTATTGTTTGTTTGTGTTTGTGGTTTGTTGTTGCTGCTATTTCTTCTGCGGCAGCAAATGCTGTGTGTTGGTTGTGGTGTTATTTAGTGCGTGGTATTTTATTTAAGTTTGCTGTTTTTCATTGTACTATCTCGTTGTTTCCGGGGCTTATTACTCCTTACTTTTGTTATTGTTTGTTTGTTTGTTTTGGATTTATCGTTTTGATGCGTTTGTGTTTGAGTAGTTTTGTATTATAATTTTTTCCTTATTTTTGCTAATAACAAATAATTTCTAACCTCCGGAAGAATGCGTGGATAGCTACATTCAGTACTAGACTTATCATGGAAAATATGCATCCTATAATGGAAATGATTGACAGTGCCTCCTAATGTTCCTCCTGTATCTGAAAGTATAGAACACTTATGTTAATATAATACGTGTTTTGTAAAATTGATTTGGAATTGGTAAGAGTGTGCCTATACAACGTATATATCCATACTATGGATTTGCTAAAGTATATATTTTTGTTAATATGAAATCGAAAGGCCAGATTGTTTGTAGCAAATGTGATATATGTAACAAATACATTTTGATGTAATATCTACAATACTCGAGACCATAATTTTTAGCAGAGCTTTGATATACATGTAATTGTACATACATACCGGTTTCTTGGATGGACTCATAAGCACAGCAAAATTAGTAAGATGGTCGCAAACGCACATAACAATTTCTTCGTCTTTGTCATATTTTTTCAGTCGACATCCCTCATCTGACCAGTAGCCTTGTGATGTTTCGCTTCACAAACAAGAAACAGTTATTATATTACGTTTGTTACGTTGAATTTCATCGAAGTGCTGTTACGTTGCAAATTGATGAATTATCCCCCCCCGCCGAAAAAAAAACAACAAAAAAAAAACAACAATTGAACTGTTACTCTTACGAAGCCATGCGATAGGTATAACGTACGCATGCGCACGTAAAGCAAACCGCATAAACATGTTATGGTTTTTGCGTGCGTATGTAAATAGCCAATGCGTGACACAATAGCTAACTCATGCGCACGTTATAAATGTCTCCTATATACCGTACAAACGAACACTATGATAAATAAATGTGACATGTTATCTCACTGTGTATAAACAGATATTTGCTATATAACCCTCACATTGTGGCTATATCGTCCAACAATATTGACCTGGCAATCTTGCATCGGACCCTATAATCGGTGAATTTCGTAAACGTTATGATCTACTTGTAAAACCATGCATATGTATATCACCAGCATTGCCTGTAAACGTCTTTTACTTCAAGAATATAGCCGTTAACTCGTATTTTTGAGTCCTGGTTCAGCCATTTTTATTTGGTTTCTTATTTTAATTTTAAAATTTCCTTTTTCTTAAAAATAGAGAAAATGTTTTAATTTTGTGTGTGTATTCTATCTGTGTAGAATTTTTGATTTGCATTATAAACGCCCTGTTCTTTTCATTAAAGATAATGAAATAAAATAAAATACAACTGTATAAAAAGCATAGCATAAAAGGTATCCTGAAACCAGATGTTGTAAAACAATTTCAAATAAATTCCAGCAAGTTAATTCAAATTGAAAAATCGGATATCTTCATGGTGGTGTTGTTAAGGTATCGAATCAAACACCTGCTGATCAGTAATCCGGCAACTAGTCTGTATCAATACAACACACCTCACTGACGTGTGAAGTAAACAAATATATTGATGTATTCTTTAGATACCACTGTTTATCAACTGACCTTTACGAAAGTTAATGAAGGGACATGTCACTATTGTTGGACAAAACACGCTTGAACTGTTTATTGTACGGGATCATATAACCGCATGTTTGATTTTACACACTTGATAGGTTAATGTATCTGAATAAATGAATTTTATCAATGAATATAATTTTATCAACGATAAAAATGTATCACTATTAAAGATTTTACATTTTTTCATTGTGCATGTTAGATAAGGTCAAAAGGAAGATTCTAAAATATATTTGTCAAAGTTAAACCATGGACATTGTCACATATGTGTGATTTTCACCGGCTTATTCAGAATGAGCTTTTCAGAACTTAACCTTACATTTCCCATTTTCCTTATAACAAAAACAATGTGTTTTTCATTTTTACATACATCTATGTGTAAGAATCATAACATGCCTATAATCCAGACCATCAATTTTCTCATATGATTTAAACAGTGTGCTTTCTGAAAGTACGGAAAAAACGTACTAAATATGTTACACAAATATGGTGGTATATTTACTATCACATGAATTATGATACTACATGTAACCTTTTTAGCTTTCTTGTTTATAAGATAAATCAGGGTATTTTCTAATGATAGACTAATACTAATTTGATTAATCAGTTTATTGAAAGTTAGGTTATTATTTGTCATTTTACTTTTAAGGGAAAACATTACTCTTTAGTCTTAATTTAACTGTTGTATATATTTGATTATAAACAAGAAAACTAACTTGTAATAAAACAATAAAGTGTTTAATTGGAAGACGCCGCCATCCAAAGTACATCAACAAAGGAAGCCATTTATATACTTTACCTTTTTGACTCCTTCCAAAAAGAACACCTCGCATTATCCAACAAATTCTGAATTTAAGGAAACAATTATGTTTTAGGAAAAGTTATCTAGTATTCTTTATCTCCATTTAAACCCTATGAAAAACTTTTAAAAATACATATATTAAGAAAATATTTCACAAATATAACATTTTGGTGATTTATTCAAAGCTTTTGCATGTTAAAGCTGTTAATGAACCATATCGGTACAAAAACGAAAAGCCTACAATCATTTAAAGATATATAAACAAGAGCCCGGTTTGAGCCGGGTAATGCTCCCCGAATAGGTTTTGGACACAGGAAAGTACACTTCTTGTAGTTTCAGAGTTATGTCCCTGGAAAAAGTTCAAAGTACAATAATTCCAAAATAAGGCAAGGCAGAATTACTGTTCTTCGCACTGCAAGTTCAAAGTGTTAAAAATAACAAAGGGCAATGAAGGGCAATAACTCCAAAATTAGGCAAAAAAGAGTTATGGTTCTTGTGCACTGAATATCAACCCATTAAGATCTATTTACCTACACAGTTTGATGTTGATCTCTCCAATAGTTTTAGAGTTTTGTCCCGGACAAGAATTTTCTAAAAGGGGAGATAATTAAAAAACCGGGCAAAAAAGAGTTATGGTTCCTCGACACTGCACTCCCCTAAATGTCCTCTACCACTGAATGAAGTTTAAACAAATTATCTTCAAGGGTTTTCAAGTTATGCTCCGGCCAAAACAACGGACGGACGGACAGACGGACGGACAGACGGACAATGTGGCGACTATATGCTCTCCCTTCGGGGAGCATAAAAACAAATCTTAATCCCATTATGATAGCCTTATTTCGTTACGATATATCAGTATTTCTATGAAGAATGGGCTCGAATAAATTATGTTTCAGAAATATAAGTTAACATGTATTGAATGAATGCAGGTATATCAATGCCCTTGCATTTATATAAAATTGCATGGTATTGAACAATTTGGTATATTTGATGTAAAAGAAAAGTTACTTACGTTATACAACTGAAATTGAATTTCAACTGGGCTAATAAGTTGTCGCTTAATGTTGGGGTAAAATGTAAATGATATGACTGGGGCATTTAGCTGAAGACCTTCGGACCTGATGAGAAACGAAAAAAGAATATAAATTAAATTTCTTTACGATACATAATATGTTAGAATTTCTGACATAATACATGCTTATTTCAAAAAGATATATTTTTAAAATGAAGTCAGCACAATGATACAAAAGCCCATGGAAAAAGTTAATGTAATGTTGCTAGAACTTTGCCAAACTCATTTGTTTATGTTGATTTTGCTGTGTTTTATGTGTATAGTTGCATGTATATACCATATTTGGCAATAACAATAAAATATGGTTTAACTAAAAAGTAAGCATTTAAAAAAACTTTATTTCATCTTTTCTGTGCCATTTCCCTACTCGAACCGAAAGTGAATGGCCATTGTCACCAGTATAGACACAGGCAAGTTTCTACATTTAGACATGGTAATTTTGTGCAGCTTTTTTGTTGCTTTTTATATTTTTGTACACATTTGTAGTTTCCTTTTTGATACTCTAGTAATCATGATCAGTCAGGACATATCATTTGACAAAACATGCTATTTTTATAGCTTCTAACAAATTCTGAATAATTTGACCAGTCGCAACCTTTTTTCATGCATTTTGGTAAGGTAAATGATGGTCCATTGTACAAATTAGTAAAAATGGATCTTTGTGTAGTACTACATGCTACAAGTACTAAAATATAGTCTTCTGGTCATTTGATATGAATAATTTCTGTGGTATAATACAACATGACAAAAAGAATATTATGATGTTAAAGTTTTAATCTACTAGGATAAGACATCTAAAGAAATTTTAACTTACATAATGCTGTAAGTGTTGTTACTTGATGATGGTATTATCAGTGATAAATTTCTGTACATGATTCCACTAAAGGATTCAACGGTGCCTGCAAATTGCAACATTGAAATCACTTATCATTAAATATAATTTATGAATAATGACAGTATATTGATACTTGAGACATTTTTTTAGAAAATAGTTTTTATTATGATTTAAAGAAAGGCGGCTGAAAAAAGTTATTTCCATGTGATATTACGTCGTATAAAGTACGCTCTCAACACCTATATATGTGATATCCTTCCAGGCAGGGCAGGGCGTCTTGTTGCAAATAGTCAAATCAACGGAAAATAGCGGAGATTGGAGTTATTTAAATGAGCAATATATTCACATGTTACCTTGAAAAATATCGAGCATTTTAAGATATAACGGAGTTCCATAACAGTTTTAAAATTTGCGATTCTATTCTACTCATACAATTGATAAACAATTTTACTTGTAAACAATCTACACTTTTAATATAATAATGTATGTTTAACAGTCGAAACCTTTACTTTTTGCGACCATATGTTTTATACATGTTATTAAGCGTTACATACTGTCACAGTCAATAACGAGCAAGTCTTTCCTTGATCTAGCCCACTCTGAGACACCTTCTTTTCCGCGATCAGGGAAATTAAGAGTTTCGTTACATGATTGTACAGACGCCATCTTTAAATCTGCAACATAATACAGAAAGATAAAATGTATCATTATCTTATTGATCTACTAATCTATATGAAAACATTAAATAAATTTAGATCATCTTAAAGTATGTCTTATCATTTGGTTTTAAATAAGTAATCTCAGCAACATTCATTGTAGCACTAAACATTGGAAATCATTACTACACAATACTGCATGGTATAGTTACTTTAAAAATAAGTTCATTTATAACTTCCAAAAAGAGGCGTACATAAATTAGACTTTGATATCTCAGCAGTGACATTTTTGGATGTTGTCAATATCTTCTCCACAAAACGATCTGTTGTCTTCAGAACAACGTCGGCCCCGGAACCTGTCTAAATGAAACATACATGACGTGAATAATATCTGCCCCTTAATATGTCTTAAAAACATGCGATAACGAAGTACAGATAAATTTCTGCCCCGGAACCTGTCTAAATAAAGATATCATTGTCAGAACAATGTCTGCCACGGAACCTGTCAAAATAAAACATATCCTTATAAGAGGTGCCTTATTAGATCAATGTCTTACCCGAAACTTGTTCATGAAAAGCTTACCATGAAGAAAGCACTGTCTGCCCAGGAAATGTCTAAATAAAACATGCAATGTTCAGAACAATGCATATCCCGGACCATGTTTCGGAATAATGTCTGCCCCGAAAAATAATTAAATAAAACAAACCATGATAAGAACAATGTCTGTCCAGGAACCTGTCTAAATAAAACATGGCATGGTGACTGAAGCTGTCCGAATAAAACATACCAGGACAAACCAATGTCTTCCCCGGAATAAAACATACCATGATCGGAACGATGTCTGTCCCGTGAAGTTTTTGTGTACAACATTATATGATGAGAAAACTGTCGGCCCAGAAACCTGTCGAAATCAAACACACCATGATCCTTATATTAAAAGTTATTTCTTAGCTCAATTGGTGAAAGTTTTAAGCTGATTTAAATCGCTGCGTGGTCCACTTCCTTAAAAAACTTACCAACACTGATGTTGAATGAAGAAATATGGTTGTGACCCTGGAAATGCTTGAGCATACGGTCCCCGGGTTTCGAAACATATTAACAAATGGTCTGTGTTTTGTGCACAAGCTATTTACGAAAACTCAGATAAGTCCGGGTACAGCAAATCGAAATTATTGTGAGGTTGCTGCTTGTAGGAATAAGACCGGAACAAACCTAACCTGTAGCTTACACACCTTGTGAAAAACTATTCTTATAACCAGTTAACAAAATAAAATAGAGAAAAGCAGAATCCCTAACGAAAGTCCAACACAACAAAATTGAAAATGTTGCAGGCTCGGTTTGATTGAGCCTGTTCATGGACGGTACTGGAAAGGCAAGTTACCGTCCACGCCCCCTAGCACCGGCTTAAGCAGAATACAACATTTAACACGAAAATGGTGGAATTTTGAATTTGGAAACATCCGCAGACGTGTTCGTACGGCGGTTATCATGGAACCTTCAATGTGACACAGTAGTGTAATTCCATGAAAAGCGGCGTAAAAGAATGTTTTTGCCCTAAACGAGAAAACAATGGGCGGAACTAAATAAAATGGAATTTTAGAATTTTTGGAACAAAGTTGACTTTGAACAAAGAAAACATAATTATTTTATTTATGAAAGTAAGTCAGAAAAAAAATCAAAATCTGAAGTAATTCGAATGAAATTCGTTATCAAAAATTTTGCTATTTGTTGTATTGTCAATATTCATTTATGATGATGTGTAAATAGATAAATTACCAATTGATGAATATTTTTTTTTGAGGTAAACGAATGCCAAAAATGTAATATTGTTACGCTCTAGTAATTGAAAGTCTCTTTGCACCTGGTCTTCTTTGTTTATCAGTCTGTCTGCATATGGTAAATTCTAGGCTAGAAAGTTGTTGACTGGAGTTTAGAAGTTTGCTGCACTCTTGTTAAAACCAGTTATATCAAGACAGTTTTAGTTTTGTAGCTTTCTATGGCCTAGTTAATCATGGACCAGGTACTATTTATCAGAACTTTGCTAGAGTTCTGGGCTTCACCAAATGTTTGAATTATAATAAGAAGAACAAATAGGTCTGTTTGAATTTTGACGTTTCACTTGAATTTAAATATCAAGTATATAGAAATTTAGTATATTTCAACAGTTTATAACTACTGTAGACTTGAATAACATTAAATAAATAAATGAGATCAAAACATGTATGCATCAATGTTTGCATTAGCAATAACAGTAAATCAATTCTTAATCGCTATTATTTCTTTAAAAATGCACGAGATGATATGGTATCCAGAAAATAAACGAGTCTTAATTTAAGACTGATAGATTCGCCGAATTGAGATACCAGTTGAACAAAGCATAAAAAGATCTATATCAAGTACTAATTTTTTGTTATATAATAAACAAGAACCAAAACTCTAACAAATGTGTAAATTTAACTTTTCTGAACAATTTAGAATGACTGTTGTAAAATTATTACTTATGAAAAATATTTATTTTCAAAAATCTAGAGCGCACCTTAAGTATAAAATACTGACGAAAACGTCCGTAAGTTCGGAGCAAGAAAAAAATGTGTGAAGCCAAGATTATTTGTGAGCAGGGTTTATATACTAGCAGAGCTCACAGCTCACAATGTGTGATTTTGGGCTCACAGTTCACATGTCTGTGATGTGAAACTTACTGTATTGTGTGCAAAGTGCAAGGTGCTCTTAATAATAAAAAACATCAATATCTTACTTAAAAATTAAAGGAAAAAATAATTGCTCTCTCGGAAAATTTATTCATCATTCTTTGCAAAAATCGATAATTTAAACAATAAATTTACGGTTTCAAATAGCCGCCTCAGGACCTGGGTTGCTGTAGCAACTGCCTCCCCCCACCCAAGTGCCCCCCCAAAAATTCCCCAAGATGACGGAAATCTGCACCAATACAGAACCGAGGGTCAAAATTATAAATATTAAAAATGTGAAGGATTTTAACATTTCTAGAAAAGTTATATTGCAAGAAACGTTCGCATAAACATGAATTATAAGTTTTGGACATTGAAACTAAAAGTGAAATTATAAGAGGGTTTTCAAATTACTGGAAAGATTAAACAAGTCCAGTAAAAAAACACATGAACCCCACAGATTCTGGTATGGAATTATATAGGGATTTAAACTTAACTCACAGACTGAAAAAAATCTGGCTTGAATACGTGACATTTATCTGTTTGTCTTGTGAAAATTTACAAGAACCAGTAAAACAAATGTGCTATAGCCAGAAAAGACTTTTAAACGAAAGAAAGATCAAAAAAATAAAGGGAAAGAAAAAATAAAACAAATGAAGAAAACATGAAAACTTTTTTAGATCTTTTAATTACCCCCCTTTTTTCCAGGGGAAAACCCTTTTGAAATAATATTAAAAGTTTTAAAGGGTCATTTTTTAAAAATTTTATTGAGAAAAATTTTGGACCCCCACCTTAAAAATTTTAAGTATGTAAATCCCAACCCATAAAAAAAAAATTTTTTTTTTTTAAACCCATAAATATTACTATAATAAACCCTTAACATCATCTTTAGTAAAAAAAATTTAAAAACAAGATTTTTATAATTACATTAGTAAAAAATATTAACCCTTTTTTTAATAAAAAATTTTCAAATAATTCTCCTTAGTTTTTAACTTTAAACATTGAAAAACTTAAGTAAAGGGGAAATGAACCGAAGTAATAATTTTCTAATAAAAACTTTTGGGGTCACATTTTTGATTAAAATTTTCATTTTATTTTGGGCATGTCAAAAATTCAAAAACTTTAAAACCTTTAAAATTTTAAAAATTCATCTTAGATTTTCCCATTAATTTTTAAGGGAAACAATTTTTACAAATTAATTTCTTTTGGGTTTTTTTTTTTTGATGGTTTTTGAACCCATGGGGGAAAGGGAAAACCTTTGGGCCCAACGTACCGGGAGCGTATTTTCCGGGGTGACCCAATATTTTTCGGGGGGTTTTTGGTACCTCTGGGCCCTTTTCTTCGGGGAAAAGGGTTTGGTTTCCGGGGTTTTGGCCTGCTCCGGGGTTTTTGGGTTCAGGGGGTTCTCTGCTTCTGGGGACAGATCCCCGTTTCCTACAGGGGAGAACTTTCATGGGAGTGCTGGTACCCAGTATTTGATCCAAGGACGTTCTCCTCCCTGTTGGCCTGGTGTTGCACCTGTGTGTGGAGGTCATCCTCGTCATTACGCAGCACTGGTGTGTGAAGAGGTGTCCGCTTGGCTACAGAAAGGGTAGTGCTCTGCGGCGTAGGGACATACACACTACTGGATAACTGGGTGTGAGACTGTCGAGATGTTGGCATGCTGAGAAGATCGCTCAGGTCGTCAAAATCATGGAGCCCAGGCCTCAAAGGATCATACCTGGGGAGCTCTGAGGTGGATGCTGGCACTCCTACCTTAGTGACAGTGGATGGAGCCTTAGGCGTCATGGAAGTCAGTGTGGCCAGGACGTCTGGTGTCACCCTAACTGTAATCAGATCCTGGGATTTGGGCACACTGAGCGACTGGGTTGGGCTCTCCTCAAATGGGTCAACATGTTTGAATTGCTGACCCACTTGGTCTTCCAGGTTAGCCAGTCTGTAGTCAACACCCTCTGTGATCTTACGGGGACTTGGATTCGCCACCAAGTATCTTCTTTGGTCACCAATGCCAGGTGTGTTGGCCATCATCACATGACGTTTGTAGCCCGTCAGGTGTTTTTCTAACTGCTCTCTGGTGAGGCATCTGAACATGCAGAGGTTGCAATAAAAAGCCGCCTGGTCTAATGCTAGGTGATGCTTCTGGATATGATCCATCACACGGTACCTCTCGGCTACATATGTCACCTTATTGCCAATACAATGCAGACATGAGTACAATCGGCCTCTCCTTTGTTGAGCCTCCATCATCTGAAAATATACAAAAGGGGGACCCTTTTTTACTTTACAGGTAGACTTGTATCATATAGTTCACTTGGTATCTCGCCAGCGCAGAACTACGATGTTCTTGTACAAAACGTTCGACCGCTGTTACTGCGTGTTCTTCGGTTTCTTTGCGTTCGAAAAAGTTCCGCCAATGGAGGAGAAAAGCACATAAAACTGAGTAAAGTTTTATTAATAAAAATAGACATCAGATACATAAAATATGCGATCAATATACATAATGCTATTGAGATGCTAATAATAACAGATTAATTATTGCTGGATTTAGCATCTTTCAGCAACAACTTTTGAGCTCTTTTTAACCAGTCTGGTATTTCGCAACCTAAATATTTCTTCAATTTGTCATGATGAGCAACTCTCTTGGTTCCTTGTCGATCAAGCTGCAATACATACGTAACTGGTGACATCTTTTTCTGAATCATAAATGGTCCATCAAATTTATGCTCCAGCTTCGGAGTAACACCTACTTTTCTGCTTTCATGCAAAGCCCATACTAAATCACCTACATTATACACTGAAAATTCTAGGTTTGAATCATATCGCTCTTTACTTCTTTTTGCGGAAGTCTTAAGATAGCGTCGAGCAACATCATGCGCATTCATCATCCTTTGTCTTATAACTTCTACATGTTCTGAAGGAGAGAAAACTTGCCCTTCACAAACATTGCCGAACACTAGATCTGCTGACATTCGAATCTCTCTGCCGAGGCACATCATATATTTTGTGTAAGCTTCGTCGCTTCATGGGGAGAAGACCGATATGCTGCAGCAATACAGCCTTAATCAGGCGCGTAGCTGCCTATACGCGAGTACGCAGCTGAATCCACATTATTTTGACCAAAAAAAATTTTCTAGTAAAAAAAAATGTGGTTTGAAATTTGCAGCTCTTCAAAGTCGGAAGTTTGCACGCGCCGTATTTTCGAAATGTAAACAAATGTTTACATCGAGTTCTTAAAGAAGTCATCAGCAGAATCAGCGATAGAAAAGAGGTAATTATAACTAAAATTATCAGTTTTCAATCAGAAAAAATAACAAAAGAAAATTTTAGTCATATGAATATATATTTTTAGGCAATTGAGAGATCACATGAATCAAATTCATACATAACATTCACCATATATATAAGTCATCTATTTCATATACAAGTGATCATAGACAAATTCATACAAACATTGTATGAGAACACACTTATATTATGCATTTAAGACATTTATAACTCACATCATAACTTGTTTGAATGTCTATTTGTGAGCATAATGATTACTACAAGAGTAATATTTACCATAAAGCCAAACCCGCGGCCAAAATAACAAACAAATAAGCAAGAGCATATAAATACACTTAACAAACTATGAACAAAACCTACTAAGAGGCTTTCTTATTACCTCCTTAGAAGTATAACCTTCAAGACTAGCCGTCGCCAGCTTGCAAGATAGTCTTTCATGAGAAACAGTGTATCTCAGGCAAAGACAAAGAACATAATTTAATAGTAAAGAAATTCAAATCATTATTCAATACAACAACTGAATCAGAAACAAATTAACAAATCATCAATACAAATGAGCAGTATTAAATAACCCACTAAGAGACTTACATATTATCTCCTTAGCAGTAATAACCTTCAATGCCGGCCAATACCGAATTGTAAGATCAAGCCTTTCATGAGAAACAATGTATCTCAAACAAAAGCATAAAGTCAGCATATTTCTAATACTACCCATTTGACAATTTATCTTAAAGATTATTTATAATAATGCTCTTTATAATCTTTTTATCCCAAATTTCATGTATCATCCAACACTTATTATTTCAAGTGCG